ATCGCTGAACTTTACTTCTTTTTGACAGTACTTTCTACTTTTTGATTTTATAAATTTATCGACAGCTTCGGTAACTGACATATATATCTCATCTGGAGATTTAAATGTGGGAATTCTGTATTTACAACCGTAGGAAAAGTACTTCCCTAAGTTCAACATTATCAACAATATCTAAATTACCAGTAACTACATGTCCATGAGGAGGATAATTGAAAGGGGAGGAGTGACAATCGCATGGACTACCTAAAATAGATTTAATATCAGAAATAGAAAGTTTCTTTAAGAATGAAGCATAGTTACAAATAGAAAGACTTATAGGATCATTATACTCATAATAAATCTGTAATGGTGTAAAAGACTGAATCAAAATGGGAAGCAAATCAATGACTGAAGTGTCAGAGAAAATAGATTTTAGGTTAAGATTATCAATGAATTTGCAATTAAATGGAACAATTATAAATTCTCTATTACTGGATTCAGATTTGTTCTGATGGTATTTGGGGGAAAATGTTGAACAGAAAGAGGAACATACGTTGTAAATCAATCCTGAATTATTTTGACTCAAAGAGTAGAGAGTGTCTAAATCTGATAAGCTATAACATTTTAATGTTTTGTATATGGAATGTTCTGAAGAGATGTTATCTTTCAGCCTGTTAATATCAGACTCTATGGTATCCAGAGACTTCTTAGGCTGAACTTTCTTCTTTCCATTCCCTCTGCCACGTTTGTATCGAGCAATCTGTCCACTAAAATAATTCATAACCCGATCTTGGGAGATGTTGCCCGTTCCTTTCTTCTTGTCATTAAGACCAAGAGGGAATGCTGTCCCAAGCTTCTCTATCCAGTAATCCTCCAGGAGAAGTAAATCATTTTTGACATCAGTGGACATGTCAGAATCAACATAATCTACAATCTGTATGGAAGCATCTGAGAAGACGTGACCAGGAATATTAAAATGTTCATATAAAAATGTGGATGATTTGGCTTTGACACAATTTCTGTGGCCATTGACTCTTTTATGAAGTGGTTGAGTTGTTTCTCCAACATATTGTTTTTTACAGGTGGAACAGGTAATAACATAAATAACATTATTAGTTTTACAATTAAGTATAAAATTTGTATGTCCAAAGATAAAATCATTATTAAAAGTACTGCTCCTAAATGTATTAACAGGATTAAAACTGTTGCAAGTGAGACAACCTCTACCATTGCAACATCTAAAAGTGCTAGAAAAGACATTACTAGGGGTTACCCATTTATTCAAGGATTTTGAGAAAAATTTACCATTACGTTTAAGTCAAGAAGGTAACATCATCCCTTTCGGCGTTTCCGCCTAGACCCAACGACTCGAGATAGGCCAAGGACAACGGGTCGGACATCAACCTATTGTCATGGGGCTGCCATGATTGGGCGGGCGTTAGATGTCATGAACCTAAATAGTTCTCCCACCGACGCAGTGTAGCCTGGCGAGATTCTTCGCGACCATAAAAATCTCTTAGAACCGGATCTTGCACTGCCGCTGTTTCTCGTACCGTAGCATGGCGGACAGCTCACGTCAGAAATGAAATAAACAGGTAAATACAGGATAAATCAGGAGATGTATGTACAACAACAAGACTTCAAGGAGGGCGCCCAAGAAAACAAAGATCAACCAAATCTCGGAACCAATGGCCGGGAGAGATATAAATGTAATTATAGAGCAATATCAAGAAAAGCTATCAATTATGTATCCAACGGGGCGGAAGAACCGACCACCAGTACTTGATACCATGATACGGACGTAATCTAAGTAAACTATAGGTAAAAATATAATATTAATCATAAGCTAAAATGTACTAATCTTTGTATTCTAAATGGGGAAAAAGAAGAAACATTGTCAGTCAGTCGAGAAAATTGTCAGTCAGGCTATATGGCAGCTTTGTAGATGTTGTGACTATGCTAGTAGTGGTCCCAGGCTTGCGACTGGAATTGCGGTGTTAAATCGATTTAATGGTACCAACGATCCACCTCCCACTTGTTGTTTGGTACTTAGCATTAATAGTGTTAGCTGTAGCCATTTATAGCAAGAATCTTAAAACTAAAGGGGATGACAAGGAAAAGAGGAAGGAAAAAGAATAACGGGACAAACAATTAATTAAAGTATTTATAGGAGCATTAGATATTGTAATTACAAGCTTCAATAATAAATCACTGACTAAAACTTCTAATTAAAATGACACTTGGTACGCTCGCCCATTTTCACTGGTCAGTCTGAACTTCGGTTTAGCACGTTGTACACTTATTCACCTAAGATTCAGAATTTGTTCAGTTTAGCAGAGTTAGTACCCGTGTTTCAATAAATCAAAAGATATCAGGGAGTTCTTTAATAATGTTACGGTCATCTAGAATACCGAACTTCCTGAAAACGTTATCATATTTCCTCAGACAACGTTTAATGCCTTTAATCAGTCTATCACGGCTATATCCTCTATCAATTAGAATTTTGAATATTTTGTGAAGATGGGAGGTAAAGATATCCAATCTAGTGCAAACATTACCATATCTAAGAACTTGACTTGAAAAACAAATAGAGTTTCTAGGTTTTCAGATATATGGGACAAATTGCCATTTACTGTAGCACTGAGGGTATCACATACATAAAGAGCGACTCCAGTGCCTTTTCTTTTATCTTGCAAAGTGTTTTGGTAGAAACTATTGTATCCAGTCAGTTGGTAAAGGTCACTTAATTCGGGGCCTTCATTTGTTTCTGCTAAAGCAATGATCGAAAATTTCATATATCTCTGTAGTTCTATTGCCAGAGTATCAAAGTTAGATTTATTACCATCGATATTTTGAAATAATAATGATGAGTACTCGTTCATTTGGTTGCAAAATGTTTTATTAAATTCTTTAACACTATATGGGTTACAGTTATTGAGTAATCGGTTGATGTTTACAAGTGTTTCATCAATGTCAGTACTATTATTTTCAGAGTCAGTATCTTCATATATAAACGGATTGTAACGAGTACTTGCTAAGTGTACACAGTTAGGGCAGTAAAAATCTTCATATATTTTGTTTGTACTGGATTTAGTATAGCATTTATGGTGCATAGCACAGTCACACCTACAACATTCAGCAATGAATTGGCCAATGGAAATGAATTTTGTACAGACAGGGCATACCTCTTTGGTCAATTTATTCATGGGTACGGTACGTAACCTTCCCCATGTTGAGTCGCAGCAGCAGCAGGAGAGGAACCACCCATCGTCTGGGAGTATAAGCGATTGTCAACTTTATCCGATCTCTTCTTCCTTCTATCAGTCCCTCCATTCATCCCAATACAAAGTATTGTATTACGTATAAGAACCCCCAGTTTTGCTGTACCACTCCAATAAACTGAACTGGAAACCTCACATCGAATCACTAAATAAGAAACTAAGAAGTGCTTGTGGACGTATTTACCGCATAAAAAACTGTCTACCTATAAAACTGCACAAGCAGATATACCACACACTATTTGAATCACACCTTACGTTCGCCATCTCAGTATGGGGTGGTGTCTCTAACCAAGTTATCAACCCTGTATTCTTAACACAGAAGAGATGTATTAGAATAATTTTTGGAGATGCAAACTCATACCAAAACAAATTCAAAACATGTGCTCGTTCTAGACCTATTCAATGTAAAATACTGGGTAAATATGAGTCTAATGTTAATAACTCTGTTAATCCACGTATTAAACCATGTGCAAAGTGTGTCCGCTCTAAATCGGTAGTTCATAATAAACTTGTTAGACCCTTATGTTGTCAAAAACTAGGAGCTGAATTCTATTCCAAGGAATCAACCAAACCATTATTTAACAGTCATAAACTCCTTACTGTTCATAATCTTTACAAACTTCGTACTATAACTGAACTTTTTAAAATAGTGAAATATAGGGTACCCATATCTCTCTACTCTTTACTTAACATGTCTGAACTGAGGGATGACCGTCTAATACCACCAAAGCCAAGCCATAACTTTATTTATAAATCTTCTTGGCTTTGGAATCAATTCAAGGACTCCAATCCACAGAATAAACCTGACTTTGTGAACACATCCTGTAACTCAATCAAATCAAGGCTAAACCGATCTCTTCTAGATGCCCAAAGCAGGTTCGATAATGAGTGGCATAATGACAACTTTAACAGTTTTGGACCATGCTAGATTATTGATAAAAACGTGGAATTTATGTAAACAAATACTTAATTACTTAAATATTGCCGTTTCCGTACGGCGCTATACGTAATATATGTTAAAAGCGCGCCGCAGCTACTCCCTACCTCAACATTTGCGCGGGTTTCTTAAGCGCGCACGTACGTTTATTCTTGGCCGTTAATCAGACCCATGACATAACGCTATAGGTGGCAGTGACTGTAATTTTCTTCAACAATTACTGAATTATCCATCCATAAAGTGATTTACAAAATGACACCTAAACCTCGTGTTTCGGTGTTCACTTAAACGGTACTTGGCGGCTGAACTGTGGTGTCTGACGTTTGCAGCTAGATCGGACTCTGCATGATATTGTATTAGCAAATTTGTATAGTGTATAATTGTTTAGTGTTTATAATACTCTGCAACCTGGTAGCACGGCTGACACAAAAACAAAATGTTGGCCTGGCTTGTGCATAACCAAGTAAATAACACGCACTCCGATAAAAGCCGTCTGGAGAAACTCTGCAAAATGTTCATTGTAGTCAACGGGCACAAAGAAGCACTACTAGCAATTGTGTCCTTTACCCTCCTACATAATTTGAACATTTTTGTGGCTAACTCATTGAACAACATCTGAATTAAAATGTGTCTAGTATTAAAAGATTCAGCAAGTAATTTTTTCATGTACGCTGTACACTGTAGTTAGTAAATCAAATCAAACTTTTTCGATCAGCCGCTGTACTGAACCAGTGTTGCACTATAGGTAAAAATTGTGTATATTTTGTTCATTTTTGAGTGTAAATTAATTTATTAATTTATCACAAATTATTTTATTATAATATGACCACTTATGTGAAATGGTTATTTTGACTTTAAATATTTAAACTAAATATGAATTGATTGTGGGTATGAAATAAAATTTGTTTTACTAAAAATTTGTTTTACTAAATTGAGGTGTAAATAGTCCGGTCTCTGGTTTCGTCCAATGTTCCTAGAGAATTGCTGGCTTAGGAGCCCAGCCTCATCACAGAACATGTCAAAACCAGGTACCAAAGTCACACCAAAGTTGGAATGGAGCAGCTCCTTAAAAATTAATTCATTATAATGTGCAACTTTACGATTTAGCTCAATGAGTTTGGTTGGCAGCAGCGGACACACAAATATATTCGCTTTGGGGTTAAGCGCTTGGATCATTTCTACTTTCTGAACAAATGGTTTAAAAACATTGTTCTTGATATAATATAATACATGTTAAAAAGTTAAGTGTCTAGTATTTATGTTTGTTGATATCAACTATTAAGTTCGATTGAAATATTTATTTAAAACACTACTACATGTTTTAAAAAACAAAATATTTACAAAACAAAACGACGGGGACACAGAAAGGAGAAGAACAACACATCACACGGACGGAAACTGTATTATCTCCTTTGAAATTTGCTGGTGATATTTCAGTTCTTGCTGATGCCTTCACATCACATCTGGTCTGAGCTGATGATTGTAATCTTTTCCTACTCGCTGTAAGACCCAAAGCACTACGACTCAACATCAAAATTCTATATGACTTCTGTATATCAGTGTTTATTGAACAAAACCAAGATTTTTATATTTATGCCTTCCAAAGACAAAGAATCCATTAAAACATTTACATTGCACATTGGCCCGGAACAGTAAATCAAATCAAATCAAATTTAAACATTTATGGCATGGCCTCAACCTGGCCTGACCTGATTTGTTGCAGCTTGTAAACTTACTATAGATTTGCAAACGCTACAGTCCCCTTTGAAAATATCAAAAATGCATACTTACTACTAAATTTCCTACTGTAATTATACAGATCTTACGTTTTTCACTATTCTTTTTTTTTTAAGTAAGTTGCATTGTCTACCCAAATTACTTAAATACTTCACTTAAATACTTCACTTAAATACTTCACATAGCCATAATAAATCTTCACGTACTGCGAGGGCTTTGGTTAAAGCAATTTAAATACCATTTAATGAAAATATTTACAAATATCCAAAAATTAACTATTCAGGCATACTCGTTGCATCAAAATTTAATTGACGATGTCAATTCATGGCAGCTCGGCGCGGCACAGTAGGGCATCTCGCCGATCTAGCCAGTGAGAAGCCTCATTGAGTGCGCGGCGCGGCACAGTAACGCATCGCGCTACAACATCAAAATCAGAACAGGCTACCATGTTCCTTAAACGAGTGGCAACACTTCTGGCAGCCAAGACCAGCCAGGACAAAAGCCTCATCATGGCAAATCTTAGGCGTCGTTTGCGATTTGAGCTACTCAAAACAGTTTTGATTGCAGTGAGAGGACACAGAGGACGGTATTATGAGAAAGCAATACCTGTTGACGAACTGGACCTAAACCTCGCACACACCACCAGCGATGAAGACAGGGGTGATGATGTTGATGATGAAGATGAGGAAGTTGATGATGAGGTGGAGAATGTAGAGGAAGAGGTTTCAGAAGAGTGAGCTGAAAAGAAGACAATATTCTATTCTAATTTATTGATTATTATATTTATTGAAATAAACATATAATATCCATTACTCCAGGAGTGATGACAGGATATATAGAAAGAACAAAAAAAAAGTTAATATGAAATTTGCTTTGTTTTGTATTATATTTGTATTCAAAAAATTATTGAATAACGCCAGTCAAATCAATTTTGTTTTTGAAACCATAAATTACATATTTTTGACCGTTTATGAACATATTTTGAGTGATCTTGTTATTTCGCTTATGTTGATTTGAAAAAAATATGACGCGATTTGTGCTTGATACATGTTTCGTATCCAAATATCAGAAGCGGCGGCGCGCGCTTCGCGCGCGAAAAGTGGCATGCAACGTATGTCAAATTTGTGCTGCACTAATAGCTTATAAGTTGGAAATTATATGCGCGGCGTTACCAAGAATTTAAAATATTTTAATGCTAAGTTGTTAGTTATAGTAGTAGTAGAAAATCTTTCAAAGTACGAAATATCTCTTTAAAAGAGCATCCTAGGCACCTTATAGATATCAAAACGCATAAAAAAGAAAACAAAACATCAACCATCTTCTAACTTCTTCCACTCCTCCCTATCTAAAGCTAAAAATCTAAGGTCTTCGAAATCAGTCAAATTCTTAAGTCTAATATCAAGATTTCTACTAGTCAAGTCTTTTCTAATAACATCTAATAAGTTTAAACATGGTCTACCCCGTCTCCCTTCCATAAAAATATCAGAATTTATAGCAAATAACATAGAGGTGTATGCTGGTGAGTCTTCCTGTCCTCTTAAGATATGTCCTAACATTCTCCATCGAAACTTAGAGACTCTCACAGACAAGGGAGTGACATAACAACGAGCATAGAGTGCCTCATTAGAAATAACCCCAGTAGGCCATCTGATGTTGAGGATTCTTCGGAGGTGTTTGCGATGAGCAATGTCAAGTTCATTCAACGAAGCTAGTGGTGCAGCCCAGGAGTTGCAGTTGTAGAGTAGAATGGAGACTACTTGTGCCTCGTAGATTTTGATCTTCCTTTGGACTGAAATCTTGCTCTTCATCCAAACTTTCTGAAATTTACTAAAGGCAACATTACCAAGAAATATTCGATTCTTGATATCCTTAACAGTGCACATCAACGATCCTAAAGTTTTGTTAGAGCGCCACTCTTCATCACCTCTATACACTTTTCCAACAATCACCTTGCGTTTAACAGTGGGTTTAGGATCTGCTAAATAAAAAAGTTGTTAGTTATACAATAAGTAATAAAATTCTTAATTGACGAGTTTTGTGAAAATTATAAATTTATAGTATCAAGATAGCATTATATTATACATAACAGTTCGCTACTCATTAAATATTGTAAACGCGACTAAAGTGTTAACGCGCCGCGCACACAGAAGAGCTAGACTTTGAAAAAAACCAAAAATAAATCGAGCGCTACCATATTTCGGGGATCATAGCGCTCAATTATTTCGAAGTTATTCCCTGCGAAACTTCTTGCGGTACGCTTGTACGTTGCCGTCGAAATTTTCGAAATCTGCCTAATTTTCTGATATTTGTACCCATTGTTCGGGATTAACTGCACACTTTGCCTTAATGGTTTCATTCATCTTTCTCACGCCGACCCTATGCGATTTCGTCAAGATACTGAAGTACGTGGCTTGCACAGGCGGGTAGGCCCATCAGCGATGAACTCGAGGATCTGTTTTACAACTCTCATGCCCGTCCCATAAAATATGAAGTTCTTATTTTTTGGGTGAGAGACTGCAAATGTGCTCATTGAATGGTGCCGAAGTCTCAGTCATCTGCTTTTGGTTTAATAATAAATCCTCCAGCTCTGTTGTCTGCATCTTATCCGATTGTGTGCTTACCATTACCAATGGTGACCGGATTCGCGAAACTTTATCACTTTTGCAGGGAGACCTACATTTCATGATTATTACATCACATCACTACATAACTTACACATCTTCATGAATTATCAGCTGCTCTAAATTATCAGCTGCTTTTGGTCCCATGGAAAAATATTATTTCTAGCCGGTCAAAGGTCAGCGCTTGTGTTTAATTGTATTGCGTGAGCGATTTTCAAAATATGTCCTAGGGATCATTTAGAAGAGATTTTCGGCCAGAATTTTGATTTTTAAATCTTGGACCTCCAATAATTTTCAAAAAATCGCGCAATACAATTACACATAAGTATAAAGAGTTACTTACTTAGGATATAGATAATTAGGAGAGATTTGTAGATTCTTTTACTGGGTCATCGAATAGTTCGACCACCCTTGCAGCATTGCTGCTGCCTTATTCATACTCCAGTCCAGCAAAGAATTTCCCAAGGGTCGACCGAGTCCTCGGCCTCGGTTTTACCGAGGAATAGCGATTTTTCCTCGGCCTCGGCCTTGGTCAGGAGGACAATTCCTCGGTTGTCCTTGGCCTCGGTTTTATCAAAGCAAAATTTCCTCGGCCTCGGTCGCAAATCCTGCCCTCGGTCGACCCTTGGAATTTCCATCAGGGCAGCTGCAGTTGCTCACAGATGGGTTATCTGGAAACTATGTAAAAAAATGATCATACAATGACTGTTGTCGTTGAGTACTGCTCTTGCTGAGACTTGGAATGGTGGCCTTGATTCCGTGTCTTGATGGAATAGAAAATGGATCCCCAGGTCATTTGGGCAGCGTTGGTGTAAGATTTTCCACATATGGATAAAACACTTTTAAACATAACGCTTTTTTCCATTTGCATCGATATTAATTTTAGTGCTTTGAACCGCTGCCAATAGTCAAGATGTCGAGAACCCCAAATCCTTGAGGTGAAGTCAGTTGTGGTACTAGTAGTGTAACACTGAACACTTTTGGTTCGATCACTGAATTTCATTTATTAGAGTTAATCCATAATATAATGGAGATATTGTAGGAGTTTCCTTCTTTAATCAGAGTTTTGGTTGAATTTGTTTGATCGCTGAATTGTAATAAACCCAATAAATTATTGTTCTAATGACATGGACAGTACAAATCACATCTTGAAATTCTTGAATGTTACTACGACTATTTATACATGTTATTATATCTATCAATTTAAAAGTTTCTCTAAATAAAATAACTGAAATTAAAACTTGTAATCAGTACTCCATTAGCAATGTGAATCAGAAGGAAGGTTCCACATAGTCCACAATGACTACCATTGACAGCTCCGCGCCTATCCGTAAGGTGGTGCGGGTCCAGTTTGGTATTCTCAGTCCAGATGAAATCGTAAGTGCTCTTTTTAATTAGTTAGACATCTGCTTTCTACAGGCAAAAGTTAAATTTTAATCGTTATTTTAATCATTATCAAGATAAAGTGATGTTATAATAGTTGATCAAATCTTAATTTTTGATACAATTAGTAATAGAATATTCCAACGTTGTACTGTCTAACTCCTCATTTAACCAAACCCAGAATCTGATCGTATTTTCTAACAATATACAGAGATAAGAAGATAGCATAGTTGGAGTTTCATTCCGATTTATAAATTTGAAGACGTGTAATAGTGCTAATTTCAGCGTCAGATGTCCGTGACTCCGGGCGGTATTAGGTATCCTGAGACTATGGAGAATGGGAGACCTAAATTGTTTGGCCTTATGGACCCTCGTCAAGGTATGATTCACTTAGTTGATCAATTTAACAAGTTTCTCACTTGTATGTTTTAAAGGTTTAAAATGAGTTCTCAAATTCCTTTGTTTAATCCACACCGAATTTATTATTATATTACTTTAATTACTACTACTTATTGTACCTAAAAAGTTCTCCTCGTAGTCGCTGGAGTGGCCTGCACCACACAGTAACTCCTCTTTTCGATGTATGAGACCTCTACAGTCTACAACGTACCTGTTTGTTGCCTTAATTAATTATAGTATGATTCCAATGTTTGTACTTTACATTTTTACTCCCCAGGTGCGGTTGATCGTTCAACAATCTGCAAAACATGTGCTGGAAACTTCCACGACTGTCCAGGTCACTTTGCGCACATTGAGTTGGCAAAACCTGTCTTTCACATTGGTTTTATGAGTAAGACAGTGAGGGTCTTACGGTGTGTTTGTTTCTTTTGCAGTAAACTTCTTGTCAGTCCCGTAAGTTGACTCTTGTTATAGAATTTATTGTTTAACTCATGTATTGGTTGAATATTGATGTTTAGGTGTTATTGAACCACGCATAATCTGGATGTTGTTTTCACAAAATTGTTCTTAAACTTGCAAAACTTCAGGTAACACTTAAATTAATCCGTCCAAATAATTCAGGAAGATCCTAAGATGAAGGAGATCTTGGTAAGATCAATTGGACAGCCCAAGAAACGGCTCTCCCATGTCTACGATTTGTGCAGATTGCGCAGAATCTGCGAGGGTGGCGACACTATGGATAAGAAGTTTGCTGGAGATGATAACAACGAAGAAGAAGAAACGGTACGTGATTTTTGGAACTAACTCAATTTACGTTATTTTTGGACGGATAGGATCATGTAAAGTGCATATCATTGATCGACATACCGGTACACGTACTCTTGTTCGATATGTACCCCAGTTCGATATATATTGAAGTTCGACAAACCCTAAAGTTTTACTGTCATTTCCAATACCCAACTAGACTATAAAAATAGTTTTTCAACATATTTCTGTACAGTTTGAGCTTTGTATCAAGTGATAAACTCTTACTCTTACTCTAATGTAAATTCGCTGGTCGCACTTGCCAGCACTATAATGATAGGTTGAACTTGTGACAAAAGGTGGCAATTGTCCTGTAAAGAAAGCCGCTCTTTCAAGAGGGTCTACAGCAAAATTGTGCGGCACGCGCGAAATATTATTCGATAACCTGAAAACAAGTTGTTCGCAAAACTGGCAATTTTGGCGCGCGTACGTGCAGCGCACAAACAAGCTTTTGCTTTCTTTCCTCGCCTCTTGGCACATGGCGAGGCGGTCGCTATTCCATTAGTTTGATAGACGGCAATTTTCCAGATCCATCACGGTGGTTGTGGCCGATTCCAGCCCAACATCAGAAGAATTGGGATGGAAATCACGGCAGAGTGGAAGAAAGTGAACGAGGAAACGCAGGAGAAGAAGATCACACTGTCGGCAGAGAAATGTCTGTCCATCTTCAAAGGTAGGGTCAATATGATCAAGAACATTTTATTCAGTTTCAGATGAAATGTTATTCTTTGCATAGTCAATATTGTGATTTATTGTCGCCGATACTCTTACTGATCAATAATCACGCAATTATTCACCGACACAACTCCTACAGGAATCACAGACGAAGAGTGCAAAATTTTAGGAATGGATCCAGCTTTTACCCGTCCCGACTGGATGATAATCTCAGTCCTACCGGTCCCTCCGCTAGCAGTCAGACCTGCCATCATGATGAACAGTTCCCAGAGGTGTCACGATGATATTACTCATCAGCTGGCTAGTATTATCAAGACAAACAGGAAACTGCAGGAGGATGAGCAGAATGGAGCTGCTCAGCATATTATTGCTGAGAATGTTAGACTTCTGCAGGTACGGACAGCTCATTACTGATAATATTCATTGAATATTTGAAAAAATGTTATTGAAGTGAAGTTGGTAAAATAAAGTTTCATTAAGAATATTAGGACACATTTGAATTTGTATTTAATTACATTTAACTTCAGTTCTATGTTTCCACGATGGTAGACAACGATATCCCAAACTACGAAAAAGCAACTCAACGAAGTGGAAAAGTGCTCAAAGCTATCAAGTCTCGGCTGAAGGGAAAAGAGGGGCGTGTCCGAGGAAACTTGATGGGAAAACGAGTAGATTTCTCCGCAAGAACTGTTATTGGAGGAGATGTTAACTTGAGTAAGTGATTAGAAATATATTCTGAAACCTGAAATATATTTATATGGTTATACAAATTTGATATTTAAACTGATATTCTAAATCACAAAATTCTTCAGGAATCGACGAGTTAGGAGTGCCGAGGAGTATTGCTCAAATCCTCTCCTGGCCAGAAATGGTAACCCCCTTTAACATTGAACGATTGAGTGAACTGGTGAGACGAGGTACTGATAACTACCCCGGTGCTAAATACATCATCAGAGACAACGGTGATAGGATAGATTTGAGGTTTGTTATTTTCACTTTCGCATATACTCGCTTACAGTAGATTACTGGGCACGAAATGACAGTCATATATTCGCTTGCAGTTAAGAATTTGTAATTCGTGTCGAGAGAATTGCAGAAACATTTCCTTGTTTGATAACACGAATAAATATCCAATTAGGTATATATTTCCATGTAGTGCGATGATACTTTGTAGACATTAGTGATGATGTTATGTAATTTTTTAAACTTTACTTTACTTTACTTTACTTTACTTTACTTTACTTTACTTTACTTTACTTTACTTTACTTTACTTTACTTTACTTTACTTTACTTTACTTTACTTTACTTTACTTTACTTTACTTTAGGTACAACAAGAAATCGAGCGACCTGCATCTACAAGTAGGGTACACAGTAGAACGGCACATGCAGGACGGGGACTTCGTAGTGTTCAACAGACAACCTACTCTCCATAAAATGAGTATGATGGGTCACAAGATCAAAGTTCTACCCTGGTCCACACTAAGGTTTGGGATATGAATATTTTGGAAAAGTTTGAAATTGAAAAACAAAATTGATATTTAGTGAAGCGGTACACTTTGCGAAGGACCTACGAAATTGCTATGAAAGTTAAGACCGATTATTTGTTCTAGCACGAATCTATGCCATTTTTCATAAATCAACTACTATAAATCTATATATACTAATTGACAATCAATCCCTTTCACTAGATTCAACTTGAGTGTAACAACACCCTACAACGCTGATTTCGATGGAGATGAAATGAACGTACACGCGCCCCAGAGCATGGAAGCGAAAGCGGAGATAGCTGAAATAATGGCAGTACCACGTAACATAGTAACACCGCAGAGTAACAGGCCTGTTATGGGTGTGATCCAGGATGCTCTCTACGCTTGTGAGTTCTGGTCTGATATTGAGGGGCAATTATAAAGCTATTTCCTCGAAATAACAGGAAACTAGACAACATGAAAAGAGCATTTTCCCTTTGTCGCATACACGGAATTATCACAAATATTCATCAGAAACATTACAACAATGCAACTCATAAATAATGTTCCGGATAATACATGGAGCTCACAGTATAACATTACAGGCAGAGCCCTAACGAGACGGGACGTGTTTATAGATAAAGATGTCTTCATGAACCTGCTCATGTTCCTTCCTTCCTGGGACGGCAAACTACCCCAACCCTGCATCTGCAAACCTAAACCTCTGTGGACTGGTACTAACACTTTCATTATTCTCCCTATTTCTTCAGATTGAACTATGTTTAAATCATACTTCGCGACTAAGATTATTTCAATAAATCAGAACCTTTCTGAGTCGGTCTGACGCTATCATTGATAATCACACACTATTTCTCCTCAGTTACTTTTCATACTAAATAGATATCTTTAAACACTATTGTGTGAACTGCAATCGAGTTGAGTGCAGTTGGGTTGAGTCTTGTAGAGATGGCTATGTGGCCATAATCTTTATTATTATTACCAGGTAAGCAGCTGTTCTCCATGATAATCCCGGGTCACGTGAACTTCATGAGGAACACCTCTAACCACAAGCAAGACGAGAACAGCACACAGTTTAAGTGGATATCCAACGCGGATACCAAGGTTTGCACTTCAACTTCAATATTAAAGTCACTATTGTGACGGTACATTAGAACTAGACAGAAACAAAGTGTGAAGGGCCTGAACGGAACCCCTCGGTTTCAGTTCCTTGTTTAACACTGCCGTACAGCAAGGACATCCACCGGGTTCTCCAAGGATGGGCACATAGCTCACTCCACACAATATGTAATGCCATTTTACATGCGTGGAATATGTAATTCAGCCATGTGCGTTTGTGCAAATTTAGGTGTAGCATGCGCATTGCGCATTGCGCTTGGACTTCTGGCTTTTGCAGTATGTGGATATTTTATCACGATACTAGTTGAGTTCCAACACGTCTCTCTCTCTTTTCCAACACGTATTTAACAACACGTATTTAACAACCCTCTTCCAGGTGATAATAGACAAAGGCGAGCTATTAACCGGTAACCTCTGTAAAAACACTCTCGGGCAAAGAGGTGGCTCCCTGATGCACATCATCTTCAACGAGCTGGGGAAAGAGGTGGCTGCTGACTTCTACTTTAATATTCAGACTGTGGTTAACAACTGGTTGGTCTACAGCGGTCACAGTATTGGTAGGTTTTATTTAACTTATGTTAGATAACGCAACAGTGTTGTATTCTTCATTTATGCAGCTCTATTATTGAGATTTATTATTGTATTTATTTTTTAGAATTAAATCTTGAAGTTTAAAGCAATTCAACTAACTAATGATAGATATCAATGACTTCTTATAAATGAATAATTAACAAATAACTTTGCAGGTATTGGTGATACTATTGCTGATAACGATACATACTCCGAGATAACCAAAGCTATCGACTACGCTAAGAAAGAAGTGAATGACGTCATCAAAAAAGCGCACAACAATGAACTAGAACCCACCCCTGGTAACACACTGAGGGAAACCTTCGAGAACCAGGTCCTTTTCTACTTTCATTTCAACTTCCTGTTTCTATTCTAGTCTCTGTATGTTTTTTTTTTTCATTTTGAAAAATACCCTTCGGGTAAGACTATATTTTTTTGAAACTTTTGTTCAAGATCTTAATCACTTTACTAATCACTTAATCACTTAATCACTTTACAGGTGAACAAAGTTCTGAACGACGCTCGAGGAAAGACGGGTCGAACAGCCCTCGAGAGTTTGAACCACTTTAACGCCTTCAAAAACATGGTCATAGCTGGGTCTAAAGGTTCCAACATTAACGTCTCACAGATTATCGCTTGCGTGGGACAGCAGGTGAGTTCAGAAGCAGTGTTGGGAAGGGAGCGGGGATATTTTCCAATTCTTCCCCCCCCCCACTACACTTTAGAAACGAATAATTTTACTCGCAGCATCATTTTGAATGTTATAATGTGGCAATATACTGATATACTCGACGGCTTTCAATATAATATAATTCACTAAAACTTACTGTTTCCGTCCAAGTTGGGTCCAATAAAAAATACCCACAATAACCTTACTACGACTCTTCTCAGAACGTAAACGGAAAGCGTATTGCGTTCGGTTTCAAACATCGTTCCCTACCCCATTTCATCAAAGATGATTACGGTCCTGCTAGCAGAGGGTTCGTGGAGAACTCCTATCTTGCGGGGCTTGTTGCTAACGAGTTCTTCTTTCACGCTATGGCTGGGCGAGAGGGTTAGTTGATTTGATATTCAAACAGTCTGATTGTAGGAAATACTGATTATTAATATTCAAGCTTCACCGGCAATAATCAATATACGTACCGTGCCACATAATATTCGTACATTCTTATCAGCCGTGTTATTGTTGTGTATCGTTCTACCACTAGTATTACGATTTAGTATTCCCCACAAAGTTATCATTAATATCGCCTTTTGTTAACGTGTAATCTCTGGTCAGGTTTGATTGATACTGCTGTAAAGACAGCCGAGACAGGGTACATCCAGCGTAGACTTGTTAAGAGTATGGAGGCTTGTACTCTGAAGTATGACGGTACTGTCAGAAGTGCTGGTAGGTTCATAACAAAGATACTATTTATTTCTTGTTAACTCCTTCAATTTGTTGTCGAAATTCCAGTTTAATAGCATTCAAGATCCTGATATATAACTGTTAGGCGATTGGATTGTGAATTGTTAGAGTTAACATTGACATGATTATGTTACTAACAAAATTGTTGGTTTATTTATTTATAATTGAGATTTTAATTTTTATCATTTTAAAAGGTAACCAGCTGATCCAGCTGCTGTACGGTGAGGATGGTATGGACGGAGCTAAAGTTGAGTTCCAGAGTTTACCAACTTACACCGCTTCCGACTACGCGTTCGAGGACAGGTTCGTCCACATTCAATCTTCCACTCAACAACTTAAATTGATTGAATTTATTCGAATAAGTCAGCTAAATGTTGACTAGCATATGAACTAGCCAATCTTTACTCCAACTCTTCACACCCCCTCATTAACCACAAATCAGTTTATTACCTCTGTTAACCACTTTCTAAAGGCCCTTTCTCCACCCCCCTCAGATTTAAGTTTGACTACACGAATGAGAAGAAACTGAAGCACGTGCTGCAGGAGCACATTGTCAGAGACATCCTCATTAACACTGATGTGGAGAGTCAGCTTCAGCAGGCAAGTTTCGATAGAGTCTTTTAATACGTATTTTAAATTTTAAGTATCGACAGACAATTTTGTTGAACGGCCCGATAAAAATGTACTCATTAGTGTACATGAAATTGTACTCATTAGTGTACATCAGGTTTTGGAAGTGAAATTTGAAAATATCAGGAAATTCATTTCATTCTAAAGTTCAAACAGAATAAATCAATTTTTGGTAGTTAGCATTCATTTTATTTCAAAATTATACAGTTTTAATGATCAATAATATATGGTAAATAGTCGACAAAGTCCAAAATACATGCTATTTCAAGGAATAATGTCTTGTCGCCAAAAGAAGGCTTTAAAGATTGTGACTTGCTTACTTTACATCTGATTTACACTTTGATCTCCTGTGCGAGCTGTTGACCAGGTTCCGGGAACTTGTGCGCATCCATTGACACATAAATAGCATAACTCCCATACACCGGGCCAGACATCAGACTGGATCCTGATCCGTGGTCCGTACCTTGCAGTCTGACGTGATGGCAGCTCCCTAACGGGCAATCCTGGATATTGGACACATCATGGGGCCACAGACTTCCTATTCTGGTGTTGTCTAACGGATTACACCTGTAGTCGTTTCCCAGTCCGTGTGTGTTATCGTCATTTTCATTAGCTCCGGATAGGTGTCCTTCTGTTAAAGCTATTCTGCAGCCATTGTTGCCGTATGCCCAGTTGAAAGCTAGGTCTCCACCTACGGAGAAGATGGGATCGTCTTCTAAGTTTTCAGCGTCCTCAGCGATTGATTCTTGGATTGGACCTCCTTCGGTTACAATTTGTCTGCCAGGGTTCATCTTCTTCCGTCCAAACCTGAGTAGTTTATTTCTTATATTGTATTTGTCATTTTATAGGGAAAAGAAAAAACGCAATTCCCAGATGAGATCGAGTTAAGACCAATACAATATTGCTTATAATGCTGACTTTTAAACGTCTAGTTTAGCTGTCGAGTTGAACTGTTACCTGTGAAGAAGGGATTTGCCCCAGTATTTGAACTGCCAGACCTTGACTGCGTCCACAATGCCACCCTGGTGTCGAACTATGGCGATATGATTAGCCGGTTCCTCCCAGACTTCAGCGCTGAGAAAATCCGCTTCCAAAGCTTTTTCGTCACTTCCAATATTGTGACCGGTCGCCCAGCCTGAAATGTGGTTAATAGTTCTTGGCTTTTGTGAATACTTTTCCAATTTATGGATCTCTTAAAAAACGTGTCATTGGATGGTAACCGGCATGTTAATTACCTTGGTAACCGGCATGTTACTTACCTTGGCAACCGGCATGTAACCGGCATGTTACTTACCAGTTACCTTGGTAACCGGCATGTTACCGGCATGTTACTTACCTACAATATAGCCAAATATGTGCCCATCTGCTGGGTTTATGTTCATTCCAAGGTGCCATCTCGCTTGTGTGAGTTTAGCTTGTTCAACTTTATTCTTCTCTAGAGCCTCAACCCTATTGGAGAGTTCACCAAGTTCCCCTCCCAAACTCATAAACCCATCCTTGATACTCTTCCCTCCCCCGGAGTAGCAAACACAAACTAAACAAAGTAAAACGATCGCAACCTTCATCGTCAGGAAATAATACCTTCTCTTGGCACCGACTCTAAGTTTTGGATTGGTGTTTGGATACCAGTTAATGAAATTACGGCTGGGTCACAGGATGATTCTTACATTCATTTTGCTCCGGTTCTTCTTAAATTCCTGCCCTTAAATCTGTTGAATACGATCGATGAGGTCATTGATCATGGTGAAGGTGGATCGAAATTTGAATAAATTCTTAGTCTGCTCTTTTAAATCTAATTTGCCAAGTGCTAATAAAGCCCCGTAGTTCGTCTCCTTATATATCAGCTCGGTACATTCATAATAAATTCCCTTACTTTCACCACGCAATTACTTAAATAATTCAGTCGCCTTTGAAACGATCACTACAGAGTCCCTCAGTTGGCGGGTTCTTCATCGTAAGATTTAACGTTTAATTTTCTGTGTAAAATAGTAGAACTCGAAGATCAAAACCTCGCTATAATATGAATAGAAATTAGAATGCAGTAAAATTGGATAATCCAAAAAGAACGAAAAATCATGAATCAATTTACAATGGTTTGATTTTTTATTTATCACAAATCAATATCTATATAATGTCATATTATAAGATTTAATTTAAGAAAGTAACATATTAAAGTTTTAAATTTGAATGATGATAATGTTAACACTAAAATGTTATTATAAACTGAAAATAAACTCTTGTTAAATGAACAAGCTATGCAGATCATAATTCCATCGAATATTTGTCAAATATAAAATGTGGTTTATTCGAATCTAAAGTGCCTAAATCAAGAGTAGGATTGTGTCTGTAGTCAGGCACGTAGCCCCTCCCCCTGGCTACGTGCCTGTCTGTAGTGGGTGAAAAATGGACAAATCTGAGCTTTATCCCGGATTCAATTTCAGATGAAACGTAAACTTTGATCCATCCATTTGTGGTTACAGTCTAGTGAGCTGTCCTAACCGCTTTTAAAAAGAAGAATAGCGATCTGTCCAACGTAAAAGTAAATAAAATGTTTCGTTTCGTGTGTGACATAGGAACCGAAGTTGCGGCCCACAATACAATGCCATGTTGGGTTAAATTTCCGGTCAAATTCTTTCTTGATGAAAGCTGCGATGTCCTTCTCAATATTGTACTTCTCCAACGCCTAAGAATTGCAGTATATAAGATCATCACAAATCACAAGGGAAAGTAAAGATATCACTATTCTTAACTCCTCTCATCGCCTCCCCCCGTCAGAAACCATCAGCAACACAATTTACCTCTGCCCCCAAAAATATTTCAGATAAATGTATCTACCTGTGTAGCACAGTCGAGAGCGTCTTGTTGCATATCCTCCGACATGTCGGCATTCTTTATAGCCGTCTTTTTTTCGGGAACAGCCATTCTTCTAATACTTCAAATTATTAACTTTTTAAACTTATTTTTAGTTATTAATTTAATTTCTACTATATGTAAATAAATTATGACAATTATGTTAGTTATAGAATTTGTTTGTTTTTAATGACGAAGGCTGTGAAATGTTCACAGTTCTGATAATGAGGAAATCAGAAAGAATGTTTAAAACTAGTGATGATGTTTATGTCATTGTTCTTAATATAATCTAATCTAATCTAATCTGAAAAAATGGCGACAGGCCCAATAATTCGACTGAGGTTATATCTTACAACTTTCAATTTTATAAATGACTGAAATGTCATAATATTTTAATCACTACAACGTTTTCTTACGTAACCTAAAGGATAAATATCGAATATCTTACAAGTAAAGTCGACGTCGTAATAGGCTCTATACGTAGGCACTCTGTGTTTGAAAATATAAAAAAGCACTAATAATACGGAAAACTACTAAAAACTATTCGTAGAACTCGTGGAATTTGACAATAATTAAACCCGCAAATAAATGTAAATGAACACAGAAAGTTGCGCAGTATTGGATGATTTTGTGAGGACCTACTATTTTTTATCACTGATGGAAAAGGGAGCTCGCAACATTGTGCAAGCTGTTGTTGCGAGCTTTTATCTTCGAGTTTTCATTGGCTCTCACAGATTACGAATGGCTTGGCTGTGATACAGACTCAATAATATGTCTTCCTGATATCAGATGCTGATTGGATCATTATATAATTGAATTGTAATCGTTGAGTTGGGCGTGTAATATCCACATTCCACACATACACACAAATTGAAACAGAGCTGAATCAATCAGTTTGCAGCATTAACCAATCAAAACACAGAATTGCTGTCACGTGTCGAACAAATATCTCAACCAGTATCCAGATCTACAATATTCACGATATGTAATAATTATATTACTGTAGAAAAACTCGTGTAAAACATTCACGACCTATATCACTGTATAATACGTGGCTCCTACTGCACTGCACTGACCCCTGTATAGTACATATATATAGGGGGGGGCCGGGGGGGGGGGGGGCATAAATATAGCAAGGATGGTAAATGCGTTTTGGGGAGACTACGCGTAGGTACTACGCGTAGGTACTACGCATACGTATTTCCCGATGATAAATTATGTATTTCAAATTAAGTTGCAGTAACGCGCGAAGATCGATATATAAATATTACATCACAGCATATGGAATCGTGGCCTAATTGGTTAATACGCTAGCTCCAAATCAGCAGATTGCGAGTTCGTGACTCGGATAGGATAATTTTTCCCATACTTTTTGGCAATTATGAATAACTAATGAATAACTAAAAATACCTCTGTAATATAACTAGCAAGGTGAAATGAAATCGTCATCCGGCCGAAAAATTTATTATAGCCGTTTTAAAAGTTTATTATAGCCGTTCTTTCTTTCCAGGCTGGATTCCTAGTCACTTTTTAAACTTATGCCACTGGGAAGTCCGTGTTAATCCGGTAACCGGTTTCAAAATTCAAGCAAGAGAGACTTGTGATCTTAGTCTGCGAATATTGTAATAGATAAAAATGCACTGGAACTGGGTCTCGGTTGAAAGTCTATTCCTCGAGGGAGGCATAACTGCTTTATAACCTGAGAAGCTCTGCTCTGCAGCAGACTGACTGATTGGTTGGTTCAGCATAAGAATAGCAAGTCGCTGCAGCGTTTTCATTCGAGCACCGTGAAGTCTCCAAAACGACTGTCAGTATTGCTATATTAATATACCACTGGGCCAGCGACGCACGCGCAAATATCACTAATCTGTAATCACGTATTTCGAAAGAGATACGCGCGTATTTTGAAAAATTTTACCATCAAAGAATTTAACCGCCAAATTTTGCCGTATTTCACGTATTTCTTAGAATTTTTGAATACGGCGTATTTACAGGCGATTTTTTGACGTATTTACCATCGATGAAATATAGTACTGGCTGCACAATGCTCATCCCGACGAATTCAGTTATTTTCAAACTTCACTGACATAACTAAATCTGGTATCTACTTCTAATTCTTACCTTGTATAAAAAGACAAAGATTTGACTTTTGTCTTCATGCAGCTTCAACAATCAACACAAAACTTGAAACACCCCACATCTCAATTCTAACTTCTCTAAATCCTCCCAGGAGTGGGCTGTGTTGGAGCAGGACAGAGCGACTATCCGGGAAATCTTCCCGACCAGACTGAAGAGAGTGGTCCTTCCCGTACCGCTAGAGAGATTGATAGAAACCGCGCAACATACCTTCAAGATCAACAAGAAAACACCTTCAAACCTTCATCCCCTCAAGGTATTATCAGGCGGCATTTTCGTCAGATCACTATTTTTAAAAGTTCGCCCACTTTTTAATTTCAATTCAAATTTGCTGTTAACTAAATTCTAGAGTAATTATCTTAGCTAGAACACGTGGTTAAACTCCGAGCGACACACTCAACGTATAAACTCCAGGTGATAGAAGATGTAAGAAAGTTAGTGAAGCAGCTGATCGTAGTAAAGGGAGACGACCACTTGTCCCTAACAGCGCAGTACAACTCCAACCTGCTCTTCTGCGTCTTGCTGCGCTCCACGCTGTGCACGGCGCGTATCGCTAACGAGTTCCGCCTCTCAGAACAAGCGTTCGACTGGATCCTGGGAGAAGTAAAGAACAAGTTCCTGACCGCGCAAGCCCATCCTGGTGAGATGGTGGGAGCGCTGGGTGCGCAGAGTATCGGTGAACCTGCCACCCAGATGACACTGAATACTTTCCATTTCGCTGGTGTCTCCGCCAAGAACGTTACTCTTGGTGTGCCCCGTTTGAAGGAGATCATTAATGTGTCCAAGAAACCCAAGACACCCTCACTGACTATCTTCTTGCAAGGACCCCCTGCACGTGACATGGAGAAAGCTAAGGTAGATTATTATTGATTATTTACCAATATACTTGCTAATAAATTACTTAATTAATTGTTTTCGTTTGTTTATTTGCTTGTTTTCTGTTTTTTCCCCTTTGTTACCTTTGTTGATTTCTTTGTTTCCTTGTTGATTAATTAATTTAATTAGAATATTTAACTAATAGTCCACTTCACCCAGGAAGTCTTGTGTAGACTAGAATACACCACGCTTCGTCACGTGACAAGCAACACAGCCATCTACTACGATCCTAACCCGGAGAAAACAGTTATTCCTGAGGACCAGGTAAATTATGTCTTTGGTCTGAAAAGTATATTTAGGATAGAACCAAAACTGTTTTCCCACGTTGGTTAAATGGGTTTTGATAGAGATACAGACTACGGTGGATCATTGCTATTTGCCATTCGCAATAAATCTTTGATTCGTCGCTCCTATTTTTGAACTATTCACACGTTGGAGTGAAAATCAGCCAGTTGCTCACAAGCTGTTATAATTAAGATAGAAACGAGTTCTAGTACATTCTAACCTCCCAGGACTGGGTAAACGTTTACTACGAGATGCCTGATTTCGACGTGACCAACATCGAGCCGTGGCTTCTCAGGATCGAGCTGGACCACAAACGTATGACGGATAAGAAGATGACGATGGAGCATATCGCTGAGAAAATAAACCTGGGATTCGGGGACGATTTGAACTGTATATTTAATGATGACAACAGTGAGAAACTGGTACTGAGGATCAGAGTCATGAACTCTGAGGGTCAGAAGGAGGTTTGTTCAGTGGCAACTGTGTGGCCATTATCGTTTTTTTGTTTGTTTTTTTTCCTATTTAATTTTCTATTCAGTCCTTAATCACTGAGAATTATTGATTAGTTGAATTAGATATTGAGTAATTGACTAATTATTGATTAGTTGAATTACATATTGAGTAATTGACTAATTGCTTAATAATTACCAGGTTGATGAGGAGGATACTGGGGTGGAGAAGATGGACAGTACTCGATTCCTGCAGTGTCTGGAGGCCAACATGTTGAGTGAAATGGCTCTCCAGGGTATTGAGCAGATTAGCAAGGTACTTTCACTAAAATATAGTTTATATTTCTCTTTATACTTCTCTAAATTCACTAAAATATAGTTTATATTTCACTAAAATATAGTTTATATCTCTCTTTCTCAATTTTTGCTGTTTCTTTGACGGTCTCTGCTCTGTGCTCATTGTTTTTTAAATTTATTTACAAATAGTCTACCAATAGTTTCTTCCAGGGTTACATGCATCTGCCTAAAGATGAAGGCAAGAAAAGAACCTACCTCACAGAAAATGGAGAATTTAGAAAAGTAGCAGAGTGGGTCCTGGAAACGGACGGTGTGAACCTGATGAGGGTCCTCAGTGAGAAGAACGTAGATCCCCTCAGAACCACATCCAACGACATCTGCGAGGTGTTCCAAGTCATGGGTATTGAGGCTTGCAGGAAAGCGCTGGAATTCGAGCTGGCAAACGTCATCGAGTTCGACAGCACTTACGTTAACTACCGGCATTCGTCCCTGCTGTGCGAGGTCATGTGTCAGAAGGGCCATCTGATGGCTATCACCCGACATGGTGTTAACAGACAGGACACCGGTCCGCTCTCCAAGTGTTCCTTTGAGGAGACTGTGGATATTCTGATGGAAGCAGCAGCGCACGGTGAGAATGACTGGATGGACGGTGTCAGTGAGAATATAATCCTCGGACAAGTTGCCAAAGTTGGTACTGGAACATTCGATTTGTTGTTGGACGTCGACAAATGCAAGTACGGTATGGAGATACATTCTAATCTTGGACCCGGTGGTATGATGGGAATGATGAACTTTGGAGCTCATGCTGGATCCCCCAGTGATGTAACAACACCAAGGATGACACCTTGGGGCGAGTCTCCGTCGTACGGTGAGGATGCCTTCAACAACCCTCTCTCCATATCAGGCATGACACCAGCTGCTGTCTTCTCCCCCGCCCCGATGAGCGAGTATGGTGGAGGCATGTCACCTGGTATGTCACCTGGTCGCTACTCTCCCTGGTCACCTGGCAGCTCAGCAGGAAGTAGTGTTAGTCCGGGGTACTCTCTCCAGTACCCACAATCCCCCGCCGCTGGCAGCTCCAGCTACTCACCTGCCTCACCCTCCTACATCCCTGCCTCACCCTCCGCTGCGAGCTCCTCCCCGGCCTACTCACCTAGCTCCCCTGGTTACACTCCCTCCTCACCACGACATGGCTACTCACCATCCTCTCCAGCCTACACTCCTACCAGTCCTGGTTATAGTCCATCTTCTCCCGGATACAGTCCAACTAGTCCTGGGTTCAATGCGGGCGCTAGCAGTCCCGGTAGTGGTGGATTTAGTCCTAAATCTCCTGGCTACAGGTAAATATATACATGAATTCGCAACTTTTAATAGCTGAACTTTAACACCGAACCAATTTAATGCCTGGCCACAATTTTAATTAAATTTAGCATCTGAATTCGGACACCGATCATGCAATCTTATGTTTCCTTTAATGTCATGACTAAATTTTCTTCAAACAGTCCTACGAGCCCGAGTTACGCATCAAGGAAGCATTCACCATCTGATCTCCGATACTCTCCTACTTCACCATCCTACTCTCCCACCTCCCCATCCTACAGTCCTACATCCCCGTCCTACAGTCCTACCAGCCCATCCTACAGTCCAAGTAGTCCGAGATACAGCCCTTCATCCCCTGGACGCTCCAGCTTCAGTGGTGAGTTTCAGTTCAGATCACATGACATGATGACACATAACATTTTCAGGTAATTGTCAAGGCAATTAAACATTATAACAATTTCAATTGTAAAAATACATAAACATTAAAAATTCGGAAATCCTCCGGTCCTTGGTTGGATTAAAAAACGGATGAAACTATTATTTTATAATCAAAATCAGGTTGTTTTTCTCTCATAGCCCGCGCTAAATTGGTCATGTGCTTTTTCGTGGCTATCTCTTTTACCCTAGTTCCCTATCTTCTTGTCCCACCTTTTTTCTTATCATATGACAAATCATCTGAGGAGGAAGAAGACGACTCTGAGCATCTCTTATCTCTAATCTTCATCGGATATTGTTCCCGTTCCTGATCAGAATATGAAATATCCTCCATCTCATAGTGATTCCTAACCATGGAGACCATGCTACCCGCTGAATCGTATGTAGTTGTTGAACCTGAACATGTAGACTCAGAATCATCAGATCCTCTGTTGAAACAAGGGCAACATCTGATCCGATTACATCTGATCTTACAGGGTATCCGGGGTTTCTCCAGTCCTTCCACCCCGTACTCAATCAACTTTCCCGCGTACTTATCATTTAGGAGTGGGAAGCGGGACCAAATGATTGCGAGATGGTACTTTAGCCTGGTTTTCTTGATGAGGAGGACTGTAGTGGCGATGAGAAGGAGGATTATAGATATCACTACAACCATGCATACTAGCTCCTGGAGACCTGTTATACCTGAATAATTGGTGATTTAGACAATATAGTCACTTAAATTAGCATGTTTATATTAATATTACAGAGTCAAAATTTGATAGGCAGGAAAGTGAATCTCAACTCGAAAATAATGGCAATAACAAGATAAGTGAAAGGTAGTACCGTTGAACCACTCAGCAGGATTAGTATAACGTTTCCACACAGCTGGGTTAGCTAAACTCTCTCTGTCTCCTGCCTTGTAGTCTATTGCAGTGCTGGGATAAGAGGTTATTGCTCAAAACCTTCCGCAACATTCAGGAATAAAACCAAACATACGAGCTCTTAAAGTGAAGGAGCTCTATTATGAGTTTGTTATCGCCCTTTATTTATCATAAAATAATCGGGACACAAGCACTATCAGGAAATGATAAACTCAAGATAACGAGATCGGTACATAGAGTGGGAATGAGTGACCAATTGAATATCACGTATCTAGTCACGTGGCCTTTATCTTAAACCGAGGATATGGCAAGAGCCGCGCGCACCTGTCCACTCACGCCTGATTGGCTGAAGAGTGGTCACGTGTGGCGGTGATAGGTCGGACGAATCATCGGATCTGCTCAACACACTCATTATTAATATCGTTATCTCTTATTCGTGGGACGGGATGACAATTCCTCTTATTTTTATGTTCTTATATCACGATGTGGGAACACTGGTTAGACATTTCTTCTGGACTTGATGAAATCAACTTCTAACATAAGTGGTCCGGTTCAAAGTTATAGGCAAACTCAAGTTTTAACTGTGACAAATAAAACCACAGAACTCACCTTGGTATCTCGAACTGTCTGTTTTCCTCGGCCTCACAGTAAATTGCTTTACATTTCTCAACATTACTGTCTCCCTTGTGTAAACACAGCTCAGTCTTCCCTGAAACAGCGTTTAAAGTTACATATTATGATTAATTTCGTTAAATAACGGTTCTGGTAATTGCTTAAATTTTAAAGTACTTCGTGAGCACCCAAAGTAATTTACTTAAAGGACCAGTTAACTGAAAAATTTGTAGTCTCCAATTTGGCTAAGATTTAAATCAGCTGTGACAAACTCGTAAAAAATTGTATCGCCGAAAGAACCAACTCTCTAGCTTACGTGTAACGCGTGTTATTGCAATAATAAGCTGTGGCCGCGTGACGTCATAAAGTCCCTCAGTGCGCGCTGGCATAGCGTAATACAATGCACAAATGTTTATCATCGTCAATAAAACACGTGTAACTCACTCAAATTTTAGAGTTATGACTATTTCCCTAGTTCTCCAAAATCCTTATAGTTTTGGCTATCACCCTAACTATATGAATAGCTGATTGGATGTACAGTGCTCACGTCAGGATTTTAAACAGTGACATAAGTTCTTGAACAGTGGCGGGTGAATGTACGGTTAGAAAGTTTCTGCTATTACAAGTTATGTCATATGTGATAATTTTGGATTGTTTTCATTGCTTCATTAAAACGAAGGGAGACTGTACCGATTATTTTTCCCCAGTCCATGAAACTAATACACAAAATAATGTGCTATATATTAAATATAGCTGATCAGAGTGTAACTCTGTAATATAATATTACAGTTGTTCGGAAGAATGCGAGCAGTCAAATGGTTCGCTATCCTAAAAGACATAGTTCCGAGAGCAATTATATTTCTAGCATAGCGAAATTTCTTACTTTAATCCACACGTGCCAGACAGTACAGGAGACATGAAGTCTGGCTATTTTACGGCCGTTCCCATCGGACCATCAGTAGAAGTAGCTCCTATCAGAACGGTGCCGTGGGAACTGAAAAATACCCGGTATACGTAATACTGATTGGAGTGTACGGTGAGCGGTGTGTTTTGAATTTGACTTACCTAGTTATCGTCCTACTTGTATGATCATCGGTAGGTACATAACATAAATAAACTACTGGTAAAATTAAATACCAAGTGCAAACGTGTTCAGTCAATCGACCCACTGAACAAATATAGAATTTCCAAGACCCTATTATTCTTTGGCCATATATATTGCGGCACGATCGATTCTTAGATGGCTAAACGACATACGTTAATCTATACAATTCTTAAACTATGAGATAGCACTTTAATCTAGAAATACACTTATTATATTACTCCTGATTTTTACATTTCAATTTTCATGTAAAACATTGTAGCCATAGGTTGATCATGGACACTGACAGCTTAATTTTAGATAATAATGATTTATGAGTTTCTCTAAAGTTAACTCTAAACTAGTGTAGTCCAGTCATTTAAGGACATTTATGGAATTGAACCTGCAAATTTTCGTATACTCACGAAATTTTGCAAAGACCTTCTCAAAAGTATGAATAAACGATTTTCGGTTGGAGACATATTGACCACGCCGATATTGACCCAATAACGTAACCGACCCTTTGCTTCTGAAGGTCGTAGACTTCTAAATAGGCTTAAACGAAGCGGCATATGCATGTTTATATAGGAGTTACTGAGCAACACATGGCCTAAAATCCTTACTCTTCGAGAAATTTGCCAAAAACCATTTTGGGCGTGGTGCTGAGCCCATTTTCGATAGGATCGTGATAGAGTCTTTAGACAGGGTGCAAAAGAACCGCAATTAGCATATTTATATATGACTTACGAAGAAACAGATGCCTTAAAGTGCTTACTTTTTCAGTTATTGGCGAAAAACTGATTTCCGGTTCCAGAAATCATGCAAAAGTATGGGTATCTTGTAAATTGGGCTATGAAGGCCCTACAGATTTTTGAATGATTGCAAATTGTGCAGAATGGCCATGTTTATATACAACTTATGAAGCAACATGTACCCTAAAACACTTATTTTTCGAGTTATTTAGGGGAGAAATATTGTATTATGTCCATTTTTACCTGTAAAATACAGTCTCACGAGCTCTTCTGTGCGCGCAAGGGACTTTATGACGTCATCGCCAAAATAATACAAACGCTAATTACACGCGTTAGAGAGCAGTTAGAGATTTAGGAATTTCGATTCGTTGCTCAGTTTGCTATTTGTCACAATCTGTCAAAATATGAGGATAACTTTTTTTTGAGTTAACTGGTCCTTTAATAAATTTACTTTAGCATTTCAATAAATTTAATTTGCAGAATTTATTCTAAATCTGAATATTTGAAATATTTGTAACCTACCTTTATTAGTACACCACTGAGTGATCTGAACGTAGTTGTTATAATCAATCGGCACAATCTCTCCTTCCTCGTCGCGCTGATTGTCTATAATGAAATCAAAAGACTCCACCGACTCTCCTGCCAGCCTCATTGACCCATGAAGTTTCCCAACACCCCCAAAAACCGTTATGTTCAGAACTCTGTTCGAATGTTTGTCCAGGAGAGCCACTCCAATAAAATCTGTGAACTGAGAGGAGGAAAAGTGTTGGATGACCCTCATTTTACCAGGGAATGTCAACATAGCTTTTAGTTTATCGTACTGTCTGAATGTGACGATTAGGTGCCGATCCTCATCGACTCTCTGCGCTGTTTGAACTGTTGATGAGAAGTAATCTTCAAGGTTCTGAGCCTCGTTAACCTCCCTGTTGCTGTAATCGGATGCGAATTCAACGTTCACTACATTTTCCTTGCAGTTCACCGTTTCAGCGCTAAAAACTGGTGTCACCTCCTGGTCGTGGTACTGAAGCTCGTCTTTATTGTTGTACTTCAGCCACCCTAACTTGTTCACGTCCCACTCGTTGAGCCCGTTAATCTTGACGTTTGTGAGAACTTCAGCCGTGTCAGATCCTCCGTAATACCAACCATCAGGTATAGGGACAGTCTTTCCAGGGGTCTCAAACGAAACAGCCACCTGCTCCAGGAATATCTTACTCCCTTTATCTAGATCTGCTATAAACTCCCTCGCTTTACTTCCAACCCCACTGCTTAACCTGAAGCTCCCTCTTGTTATGGGTGTGGATATCTCAAAAGCTTTAAACCTCCCCTTCTCGTACGCCTCAAACTCTACAGAGCAGCAGATCTCCGCCGCACCCATCGGACTGAAAACCCCGCACCCATCCGAAGATTCGTCTCCCTTGTAAAAGTTCCAACACCCATCATCACCCTCCCTCCCATCTTCCTTACAGCTGTTCCTGTTCGGCGAGCAGTGATCTTCCAGTCCGGGGCAGTCACAGACGCAGGTAACTGAGGGTGCACCCACAGCGAACTCGTAGGAGTTTTTGTAGGTGAAGATGCTCTCCACGTCGGAGAAGGTGAGGGAGTAGATGGAGGGGGGTGATCCTGGGGTGTAGATGTCTTGAACCTGGCGAGGAGTATTTTAGTATTTTATCACCTGATTGAAATAAGGCATAGTAACCACACTTTTCCTGTGGTTAACGACGCCCACCGTTCGAAATTATCTGTTGAAAATCGCAATGCTGCTAAGACTATCTTACCTCGAAGCATACAGTCTCTTTGAGGCCGATGTTAAAATGGACTTGTGTTTCCTCCGTGTAGCGTTTTGTATCCTGAGTTTTGCGCGTTTATTTAATTAATTAATTTGTTGTTCATTATTTGGCTCAAACTCTGTTAATAGATAAAGCATTTCCTTTTGTTTATGTAAGCTCTCCTTACCTCATTGTACAAATCCACAGTCTCACTCGTAAAGAGCACATTCATACTGCAAATGTTGGATAACACGGTGTGTGGAGAGGCAAGGAGGAGTAGGAAGTAGAGTTTCATTGGTGGTAAAACAGCTGACAGATGTCCACTTGTGTTTGGCTGGTGTTGTTGAAGAAATGTCCACTTTGGTATATGATATGGATTCACTTAACGGCCCGTGGTAAATCAGACATGGTCCTTCTGATCTGTAATCGTAGATTTTAAAACTTTACGTAAAGGTTGATCTGGTTACAATTTCAACGATCTCATGATTGACAATCAGTACAAGCAGAATGGGCTATGGCAACTATTGACAAAATCAATATCCAAAACGAACTAAACTATCCTTAGTGGATTGCCCCTCGTTAAGCATTGCCAACAAAGCAGAACTAACTACAAAGTATACACAACTAATTATATCAATACACGTTTTTAAACAACAAAGTACCAAAATAGCTGGTATTATAATAGCATGTATTTTATGTCATGTGTATAGAATGTAAACAACAGTCAAATTGCCAATCATTAATGAGATAGATTAACGGTAATTAACGGTAAGATCATGCCAACATTGTATACATAAGTAGACTGCGGACTAAAATAAGGAATTGAGAAGCGATCGATCGAAACCGTCCGGTATAAACATGGTTATGATACTCTGTTAGCTCAATGTTACCCAATGTTAACTCTGTTAGCTCAATCCGATTGAAAGACGCGTCCTGACAAAATACAGGGTGGCCCAAAAGTGACTACCCACACGCAACCTCTTAATAACTCACGTAATTCGTCTCCAAATTGTACCAAAGTTTCAGAGATTATAGATATGGGTCAAACTTAGAGTTAGATTTCATGAAAGTTTCGTAAGCCACGCCCAATTACAGTGGGCGTGGCGTGACACTCCCTCTTTTTCACTATTGTCTTCATAAAATGAAAACGCTTTAAGCTAAGAACTCAAAAATTTTTGCACACATTTGGCTTGATAATTTAAAACCTTTCCCGAGGTTTCAAGTTCATTGTCCAAAATTTGGACGCTAACGCCTTACTTTTGATCAGATTGGGTAACGAGATCACTGATTGAGTGCAAAGATCACTGACTGAGTGCTCGGATCACGTATCCGATGGACTTTGAAATGGTCATAACTCAGCCGAATTTTGAACAATCAACTTGAAACTTAAGGAAAAGTTTTAAATTATCAAGCCAAATGTGTGCAAAAATTTGTGAGTTCTTAGTTTAAAGCGTTCTCATTTTATGAAGACAATAGTGAAAAAGAGGGAGTGTCACGCCACGCCCACTGTTATTGGGCGTGGCTTACAAAACTTTCAGGAAATCTAAGTTTGACCCATATCTATAATCTCTAAAATTTTGGTACAATTTGAAGACGAATTACGGGAGTTATTAAAAGGTTGCGTGTGGGTAGTCACTTTTGGGCCACCCTGTATGATAAAATCGTGGGCGTATCTGATATTATCAGATACGTGATAGCATGTGTACGATTTAATTTAAAAGGATGCAACAAGTATTAAATAATCCGAAGAAAAGGGTTTTGTATACTTTGATAAAGCATGATAAAGGCCGATGTAAAGCTTAGAAATAGGAATCATTATCACTTTCATCACGATGACAGGCTTTATAATTTAAAAGTAATTTTAGCAATTAAGATACTGGACACAACAAGGAATTATGTTATGTCTCATGGTTTAGCTTTAGGTAAGTGTATTATGGTTACTAAAGTATATAGATTACAATTTATGTCTCATGTCAACCTAATGTACTTTTTTTGCGTCAAAAAATGTTTCTACAGCAGCGCGCGAAATTTCGTAAAATTTAAAGATTAAAGGTTAATCTCCGTTAATCCTTACAAGTTGGTGATCTTAACATATTTATCTTAACATGCTAAAAGTTTTTTTTTGTTTAATTCACTGAGCAATGAACATCTAGTCAACAAAATGTTTACAGGAGGAGCCAGTCCAAACTACTCTCCTACCTCCCCTAGCTACTCTCCAACTTCTCCATCTTACTCTCCCACCTCCCCATCCTACAGTCCTACATCCCCGTCCTACAGTCCTACCAGTCCATCCTACAGTCCTACCAGTCCATCCTACAGTCCTACTTCTCCATCCTACTCACCAACATCTCCATCCTACAGTCCTACTTCTCCTAGCTATAGTCCTACTTCACCGGGATACAGTCCAACTAGCCCTGCTCTTTCTAGGTAAGATTTTAAGATCTTGTTTTTAAGTTTATCGAGTTATTTTGTGGCACTTTAACATAAAATTGGTACCAATTTGTTTTTTTTTCTAAATTGTTTCTTACTTAATTGATCAGAAAAACTATAACTATGTACAAAGTGAACATTAAATATGTGAACCTACATTTCTTGAAACCTAAAATCACTCCTTTTAAATTCTATAATCCGCTACAGGAAGTCGCCAGCCTACTCTCCCACTTCCCCATCCTACAGTCCTACCTCTCCCACCTACTCTCCCAACTCACCAGGACAGAGTCCAGCCTATAACAGGGGCAGGGACTCTCCTAAATACAGCCCTAACTCTCCCAGGTGAACTTTATGACTGTTAGCAGAAAGGTTTTACAACCACTTAATATTAGAAGTCAGTATCTGAGCAACTAGGCCTTGCTGATACAGAAAATGTGTCCCAATGTGAATATAACGTTATCATCTTTTCACCCTAACACCTCCCTCAGCTACTCCCCCACGTCTCCAGCCTACTCACCAGCCTCCCCCAAGAACACCCCCAGCTACAGCCCTGCTAGTCCTACTCCGCACTACTCTCCAACCAGTCCTGCTTACAGTCCTACTAGCCCTGCTCTGTCTCCTAGCTACAGGTTTGTTTGTTTGTTTGTTTGTTTGTTTGTTTGTTTGTTTGTTTGTTTGTTTGTTTGTTTGTTTGTTTGTTTCTTTGTTTCTTTGTTTCTTTGTTTCTTTGTTTCTTTGTTTCTTTGTTTCTTTGTTTGTTTCTTTGTTTCTTTGTTTGTTCTCTGTTTGTTTGTTCTCTGTCTCTCTGTCTGTTTGTTTGTTTGTATGTCTTTCTGTTGATCATTCTGTCTGTATGTTTGTAAAATGTCTCTCTGTAAAATAGCTAATTAACTAATCATGTCTCTCCCTATCCAGCTAATTAACTAATCATGTCCCTCCCTATCCAGCTAATTAACTAATCATGTCCCTCCCTATCCAGCTAATTAACTAATCATGTCCCTCCCTATCCAGCCCGACCTCACCTGCTTACAGCGCTGGAGACAGTCCTTCCTACAACTACGGAGGTTCTGCAAGTCCAGCTTACAGTCCAACTAGTCCTGCTATTAATACTAAATACGGTTAGTTTCAATTTATAAACTATCTGATAAATTGGTTTGCAGTGATACTGTCTATTTTTAAAATCTGTAGGTTTGAATTATATTTCTCTATTTAAGTTGTTGCTCTCTACCAGGAGGAGTAAGTCCCAGCTACTCCCCAACTTCCCCGGCTATGGGTGCTGACGACGCCTCCCCGGCCTACTCTCCCAGCTCACCTGGTGACCAGTCTCCCTCACCTGATGCCGGCTACTCTCCTAGTTTCAGAGAGGAGACCAGTCCTGCTGCTGCTTACAGTCCTAGTACTCCTGCGTTAGTAAAAACTTTATTTAAAGTTATCGCATGACTACGTGAAAGAGTAAATACTCTATCTTTGCTATTTAAATTGTTTAACTTGTGTCACGTGACTTCTCTAATAATAATGTTGTCCAGGTACTCCCCTGCTAGTCCAGCCTACTCTCCTACAACACCGCGGTACAGCCCCGCCTCCCCCAGGTTTCTAAATCTTTGTTAATTAGAAGATTATAATAAATCTAATTCACTAAGCAATGATAAACAACACTTCTTACTTTCTCCTTAATCTTCACCAACACGTATCTGGTAACCCACCTCAGTAACCCACCTCAGTAACCCACCTCAGTAACCCACCTCAGTAACCCACCTCAGTAACCCACCTCAGTAACCCGCCTCAGTAACCCACCTCAGTAACCCGCCTCAGTAACCCACCTCAGTAACCCACCTCAGTAACCCACCTCAGTAACCCACCTCAGTAACCCACCTCAGTAACCCACCTCAGTAACCCGCCTCAGTAACCCACCTCAGTAACCCGGCCCACCTCAGTAACCCACCTCAGTAACCCACCTCAGTAACCCACCTCAGTAACCCACCTCAGTAACCCACCTCAGTAACCCACCTCAGTAACCCACCTCAGTAACCCGCCTCAGTAACCCACCTCAGTAACCCGCCTCAGTAACCCACCTCAGTAACCCGCCTCAGTAACCCACCTCAGTAACCCGCCTCAGTAACCCACCTCAGTAACCCACCTCAGTAACCCACCTCACTAACCCACCTCAGTAACCCACCTCAGTAACCCACCTCAGTAACCCACCTCAGTAACCCACCTCAGTAACCCGCCTCAGTAACCCGCCTCAGTAACCCACCTCAGTAACCCACCTCAGTAACCCGCCTCAGTAACCCACCTCAGTAACCCACCGCACCTCACTAACCCACCTCAGTAACCCACCTCACTAACCCACCTCAGTAACCCACCTCAGTAACCCACCTCAGTAACCCACCTCAGTAACCCACCTCAGTAACCCACCTCAGTAACCCACCTCAGTAACCCACCTCAGTAACCCGCCTCAGTAACCCACCTCAGTAACCCACCGCACCTCACTAACCCACCTCAGTAACCCACCTCAGTAACCCGCCTCAGTAACCCACCTCAGTAACCCACCTCAGTAACCCGCCTCACTAACCCACCTCAGTAACCCACCTCACTAACCCACCTCAGTAACCCACCTCAGTAACCCACCTCAGTAACCCACCTCAGTAACCCACCTCAGTAACCCACCTCAGTAACCCACCTCAGTAACCCACCTCAGTAACCCACCTCAGTAACCCACCTCAGTAACCCACCTCACTAACCCACCTCAGTAACCCACCTCAGTAACCCGCCTCAGTAACCTGCCTCAGTAACCCACCTCAGTAACCCGCCTCACTAACCCACCTCAGTAACCCACCTCTCCTCAGGTACTCCCCAACCTCCCCCCGCTACTCCCCCACCACTCCCTCATACTCTCCCGCTTCTCCCAAATACTCCCCTGGTGCTGAAGACGAAGATGGGGCCGGAAGTAGGAGCCCCCGATATTCTCCCACTACTGATACTCCTAAATATAGTCCTACTGATCATCTCTCTCCTGCTTCTCCTAGGTTTGTTGCAGAAAATTAGGGGGGATTTTTTGAGGGGGACTTTATATCGGATAAATTTTAATTTCAATACAGGTATCTTTAACATTTCAGATATTATTCCTCCTATCTCGATCCTTACGATCAGGTGATATATTTTGAATTACATACTCAAATGTAACAGCAGACTCATATACCTCTCTTAATCAGATATAGTCCGACTGAAGACGTATCTCCTGGACCGAGATATAGTCCTACTGATACCATCCAATCAACAAGTCCCGCTGCTGCCCGGTACAGCCCAACAGAGACAATACAATCTACCAGTCCCGCTGGACTGACCTCCGCAAGATATAGTCCGACAGATACTATACAGTCCACTAGTCCTCAACTTCCAAGGTAAATCATGGGACAGAAATACAGAACTTAATGAGACAAAATGAGAACCTAATGAGAAATGCAGAACTCAATGAAATACAGAACTTAATACAGAACTTAATGAGAATCATTATTCTGTTTCGCTGTGCACAATCTTGTTCAAATAATTCTGTATTTTACATTTATTTTACTCTTCCTTGTCTCAGATACTCTCCCACTGATTCCGTCCAGTCTACTAGCCCAGTCCTACCCAAATACTCTCCTACTGGTAAGTACACTGTACACATCTCTCTTTAATTAAACTTCTATCTTATTAAGTTATCACTCGGACATTCCACTCCGCAAAGTTATTTTTGACATGTCCGTTTATTTTTATGTTAACCCCGTTTGCAGACCCAGTGGAGTCAACAAGTCCTGATGCTCGGTCAGTTTACTCGCCTTCAGAGAGGCTTGATACCATCAGTCAGCCAAGGTAAATATTTACATCTGATCATTGGGGTGGGAGATAGGGCCGTCATATTTACTTGTTTTTATTTTAAAATGGTTCAGTGTCGGTATTATTGTACTCTTCATACAGTAGTCACATGATCACCCCTCCTCAGATACTCTCCGACGGAGATGCTGGACACAGTCAGTCCTCAGAGCCCTAGTCCACCTGATTCTGATGACGAGAGCGACTGAGATAAGAGTTATCTAGGTATGAACTGACATGTTGGAGTGAAATCACGATTTATGACGTCACGCTTCGATTTGTGACGTCATGTTCAGTGACCTTGAGATGGGGTGACGTCACGTTATTATGGGTAATGGGTTGTAGACATTGAGCATGCCATCTACTAGGGCTTAACTGAATTTATGTTATAGCCTAGAGGAAGGGCTACTCATAACTATCGATTTAGGCTTGAATAATCAAAGACTGATTATTTAATTTTATCTGATGGCTTCTCGCAGAAAGTCACAAAATCACGGCACTTTAAATAGTTGCGACCACTAGAATTTCAATGGTAGCTTGAATGTACCTTCATTTGGCAGAGCTAAGTAAGTGCCTTTGTCGTGCATGATTTTTACGGTTATTTCTTGCTTTTTTATTAGAAAAGATTAAATTATGTTGGGCAGAAGCTTGATAGCTAAATTGCTATAGGTAGAAACCCAGTCTCATGGGTATTTTTTAAATTCTAATTTAAATGAAATAAGCTTCATTTCTTCCCGATTTGAAGCTATCCTACTAATTATAATGTGCCTACAGCAGGTATAAAATTAGCTATTTAGCTATCACAGATTTGTACGTAAATTATTTTATGATAAAAATAAAAAGTTAAAGCTAAATTAAATCATCGCTGTTTACTGTCTAACTCAAATCATTTATTATTTTCTATTGGTCTCAATTATTTTATTTCTCTTTTCTTGATACTACAAAAAGTATAAAATACCACAAGATGAGAGTTCGACAGACAGCGGCGATGTTTTCTAATGATAAGAACAGATTGAATTGAAAAGTGCCAAGTTTTCACTTAATTATCTTAACGGTTTATATTTTCACTATTATTGTGAGAGTGCGATTCGACCCACCAATTTTAATGATTTACGAACTTTTAAAAGAATATTTTTAAGTAACGATAATATTAATAACAAGGCCATATTTATTAAAATGTCCATTTTGGGAGAGAGTTGAACCTCTTTACTTCTCAACGAAGTGCGAATAAATATTATCATCAGTAGACTACTATTTTTCTACTGACTATCTAGTCAGTAGAAAAATAAGTATTATAAGTAAGTAGACCAAATGAAGTTAATCTAGATTAACTTCATTTGGTCTAATCTGTTCTTGTGCCTGTGGTTTCAAATTCTATTTTATGTTCAAGTGAACTTGGCAAAATTCTTGTTTCATTTTGTATTACTATTAATTACGTATCTCTTCTCTTTCCACTAAATTACTTGTCCATTGTCAATGAACTTGCTAGTCTGAGAGCATGCAATTATATTGTCCCACGTTGTGGGCGCACGAATGCATGGTTACGGTAGTAGCGAAATGAACATGAGGATGATCGCGGCGTGTAGTGATACAACAATTGTAGCTTCACGCAATAAATGCAAATTTTTTTGGACTGTGGAAGCTGACCGCTACAACTCATTCCCATTGCTTACCAATACCAGCCACGCATTCCACATTCGCAATTCGGTTGTGCATACTGCACAGCGCGGCGCGGAGTGCAATGTTGAATGTACTGTGATTGTAGCACAATTTACTACTGTTGACTAGTAGTGTGACTATTAGTTATTACTAAACTGAACGGTGTACTGCATGTCTGCATGCATCAAAAAACTCAGCGCACGTACGTTAGTAGGTTTGAAATGGTAAACTTACTTGTATCACGTCGTGACCCCATTCACCGCATTGTCGTTTTACTAGGTAGTGCGCCATCGACAGTGAGCCGCGCGTGCCGACTGTATAGTAGGATGGTTTTTTAGCGCTAATTTCGGCCAGCACAATTTTCTTCAAACAAATAGATATTGAGTATCCTTCCCGACCTCCAATTGCTACAAAAATTGGTAAGCTTACTCATAGACTTACAAGGAAAGTGTCCGAAAAATTTAAAGCATATCCAACCATCAGACATTATGTTACAGCTAAAAGCAGCGTATTTTGCCCCATTTTGATCACTATATTAACTCCGATATCCACCAAATTTTTCGGACAGTTGTGAAAGCCTTATTGGAAGGTCATCGCCAATTTCCAGAATGATCTCATTTAAGGAACTGAAGATAAATCCGAATAATACGACAAAAATGGTCAAATTTGGACGAATTTGGTCAAATTACGCTACTTTTTACAGCTACTTTTGCTCCAAAAGCCGCGCACCATCAAATATGGCACCTAGGCGAAACTCACTGATCTTTCCAAAAAGGTATGACAAATTTGGTATTGTGAAAATTCTCACAGTCTCGAGAAAACAGTGCACAGTGGTACAAAAATATTTAAAATCCGAGCAAGTTTATTTTCATCGTGCACCCCCTAGTTTTACTAAGTATAAATAAATAGTATCGTGTGGTAAAAGACACGTTACGTGCGCGGCAGGTCTACAACGTGCATTAACGTGTGACAAAAATTACATGACAAAGAAATTGTAAAATAAAATAGATATTTACATCACACAATCATGACTAACGACAAACGAGTGATACTGGATACTCGTAATTAAGTATTTGTTGCAAATATTTAAGTTCCAGACCGTTAACAGGTCGATACTCGTAAAATATTTGTTTCGTCGACGAGTCCATCTCGGCGCGCGTCTTGGTAAGTTATAAACCTACAACAAGACCGTCAACGAGTCCAGCTCGGCGCGCGTTTTGATAAATTACTAATCTACAATACGCGCGCGTTATAAACCAACAACAAAAGATCGCCGCGCAATTAAAGGTGTAGAGATTGTTGTACGCGTTGACGGATGTTACTCGTCTAAATTTCTTCGAAGTAGCGCGCGCCGCTTTCTTCTCGAAATGTTACTGGCCCGACGGCAAGTGCTACAAAGTAGCCCGCGCTGGGCCAGACCATTAACAATGGTCAATTGTACGCAACGAGGTAAGATGCTTTTAAATATAATCATTGTTGCTTAATTCATAATTACGAATTTAAAATAATTTTTCTTACCTGGGGATCATACAAATTCTAAATTTTTGACGGCTGACGATGGTAAGTCGCTACGTTTAACTCGGGACTTTTATAGTTTTAAGTCTTGGAGCTCAAAATGTCTCGTGCTGTGGGCCGTATAAACGGCGCACACCACCGCCCCGCCTTACTGCTTACATTACTAATTCATGGTTGCAGGGCGGAGCCGGTGCCGTTTGTCTCGGCCTCGAGTGGCGAGTACTTGCCCATCGAATACACGATTGAAACACTAATTATTTACTGGCATTATACAGTTTCCAAAACGAAGTACGAAGGTATATTAACTTTGAGCTTTGTTTTGGCGACTGCTTCATCGATGGGCAAGTAGGCTATTATGTATTATGTTCATATAGAGAATAGAGATTCGGCGGAATGACAGGCTGATCAGCGCGGCCCATTAAAAATGTTCAAGTTTAATTTCAAAACTCAAACATCAAAATAATTATTAATTTAATTTTTGATCTTTGGGGCTTTGTTCCAATAAAAATAATTTGCTTTAAAAATAAAAGGACACAGTATATACTAAGGAAAACAAAATTTTTAAAAATAATGAAAGCCCGTCAAAATGTTTTAAATATAATTGTGAGGCGGTACAGCTATTTCCGTACATATACACTACACACTAGCAAGCCATATAATATATCGATATATTTTATGTTTACTATTTGATAACACGTTTGTACATTTTATAATATATACTAGACAATTTGCAATTAACAAGTGGAATGGAAGACAAGCATGTAATTTCTTTAAAAAGCTAGCTGATAAACTTTTTAAAATCTTGCTACACGTTGCACACCTCTCGTGTCGGCTGGCTAGGCGCGCGATCAAAAGGGGTTGCAGCGTGTACTGTGTCAAAAATCATATCAGGTCAAAGATCAAAGATAGTGAGGCAATGCACAATGACTTTTATCAGGAAAAGAGTAATATTTGATTTATTGAGAACAGCGACCATTGCTCTTAGAGGGAAAATAGGGTTGAAGAAAGACAGAATTTTAAAGAAAGACAACATTTTTATTTACCACAAAACAATCCATACATAATGTTATATTCATAAATAAATTCAAATTTCAATTTCAATTTCAACCATATATAATGTTGAAGTAGTGAAGTAAAAATAGCAGACTTAGATATAAATTTATATCCAACTAAAATGAATGCTTCTGAAACAACACCCATGATTATTGGTATCATTTATACTTATCCACTCTCATCAATTACTAAACTAGAGTACACAATATAATAATAGAGATGATTCGATTTGCTTTGCTGTTGCCCATAAATTTTTTTTACATTTTAGGAAGGGAATAGTTCCTCGATTGAAAATTTTGATAAGGGGTCGTAATCAACGAGGGGGAGGGAGTTTCTAAATAATTCAACGTTTGTGTAATTTTATCACATTAGTAAAACAGATTACAGAGGGGAGAGGAGGTTAAAAATTAGCCAAAAATTAGTGAAGCAATATGTTGATTGTCATGTTGTAAAGGTCAGATGCGCTATGTTTATGTCACTGGAAAATGCAAGAGAATGTCGATGGTTTATGTATTAAAGCTAAACGTTAAGCTAGAGAATTTTCCCATCAAAAATATAATTAATTAACCATCCCATCTACTGAAACGTAAACTTCAACAAGGTGGCATAAATTTTAGATTTTGCATGTACATGTACATGTACAGATGGAACAAGAATTTTGCTGCCGTTACAGCATGTACGAACAATTTTCTCTACAATGTAATTCCAGTAATTATTCTAAGTGGAAAAATCCTATAACAGCATGCTGCTTTTCAACAATGTATTCGCTTTTTACCATTGCCGAACTAAGAATCAGCGATGAGTTTATCAGATGAGTTATAATGCAATTTGTTTTGACATAGCTGCAAAACTTGAGCACCGGATGATTTATCAGGCTTGTTTCACTAAGATACAATTTACATTGACGTTTCCGTTCAAATGAGTTATATGCTATTATATTCCTGAATTTTATTAAAATGTTATTTATTTGAAACCTGTGTTACAGTCGTAAACCACTAAACATGCTAGTTGCTATGTGTTTAATTAATTATCACACAACTTGCTTGGTGTCACACAGCAAAATAGATGCCTCCACTGAAAGGGTGTGGTCTATATAATACATATAGCTGAATTCAGCCCCCACTGTAGCAACTTTTGGCAACCTCATATATCCAAACCCGATTACTTGTAATAAATGTATTTTAAGCATAGCATATTTAAAAGCGGATTGTTGCTTTAAATACATGATTAAAGAGATTCAATAATATACAAATAATTGAGAGTCCCATAAACAAAATATCAAAACATAGAATAAAATATTGTATTATAACACAGGACAAATGGCTGTTGCTGTGCTTCTAGCAACTTACCCTATGTAATGAAAATCTGAACTCCTACTGCACCTTGATAACTTTATGCACCCTACCACCAGATCCATCAAAGGAAACAGAGTACCAGTCACCCCCAACCAAGTAAGATATTTTTAATTTGGATAAAAAATTTAAGTATCTCATGTAGTGATTGAGTACCCACTGTACTGCAAGTTTTCAGTTTTTACAAGGAAATTCTCAAAGTTACAGGGATGAAGATGTTTATGAATTTCAGGTTTCTACGTATGATCACTCTGGTACATTATACCCACAGCGAAAAGTGTACGGTGTAGGGTCGCTTGCCTTCAACAACAAATCCTTCCCCAACTTCACTGATTCAAGGCCATCAAGCAGATCAAACTTGAGGTAATGAGGTATATATGCACTAATTTAGAATAGCATGCATGGCAGTAGAAGAAGCAGATTAAAATATAAAACAGGGAATAGAATTAGATTTTTAGACCAGAATACACATTAAAGCTAGGTGAATAATTTAATATTAATTATATCACAAAGCTTCAAACTGGTAGAAATAAACAAACTCTGCTATGGCCTTAAATTTATAATAATAATGTTACTATTAAACAAAAAATCAAAGTCACCCTGGTTACCTCAGACTGATTAAGTTTTCAAATCAGATGTGTTTTATATTGTTTCAAAAATTTTAAATCTGGTGCAGTGTATATTCACTATATAATAGTTTAATTATCATTTAAATACAAGCCTGTTACTTGACTTTCTGCTCGTTTTTCTATGGCTAACAATTTGAGTCTGAAATTGAGCAGGTTAAATCATTTTCAGTAACCCTGGCACGCAGCAAAATGTTTTGCCTCAGTCCCATGCCACCGGAATAGTCCCAAATGAGCAGACCACGGCCACGGATGAGAAAACAGGATGTCTCCCTGGGGATAGAGTCGTCTTTGCAGGTTTTTAACATTTACATCAAAATGATTGTATTTCTTTAATTTGTAGCCCTTTACATAGGTTTATTGATAATGTAATTATCATGTAATTTTGTTGTGTCAAAACACATTCTTAGAATGTAGTTTCCATCTGCCAAAATCTGTCAGATATTATTAATATCTATGAGCATATATTGGCTGAGAAAAGCATAAAATTGACAATTATGCACATTTGCTGCGTGTCACTGAATTTTTCAGTCACGTGCACGTTATTTTATCTGCAGATTCATTGAACTGAATGATATTGTTTAAAACCTCACTCTTGTATCATCTATCGTTTGTTCAGCTAACAGTGTTGTTTGAAAGATAGTGGTTTTTAAAATCATGGACAGATTTTTAATATTTTAGACTAATGTACACCGGTTCACTATGATATGCTCTGTTAACAGTTGTGGTAGTTCAATGATCTACTTTCTGACATTGAAATTTTCAGAATCCCCCTCTGCACCTGGAGTTCCCATAGTTTACCGACTACCTGAGGAGAAATCAGCTAACCCAGATCGGTTAAACCTGGACAGGAGACGCCTCACCATTTGTCCTATTTTGGAGGGGGAAGAGAACCTTCGACTTCTTAATTTTCAGCACAACTCTATTGCCAGAATTCAACATTTGTCGTCCTTGCGACGTCTCATTTTTCTGGATCTTTATGACAATCGGATTGAAGAGATCTCGGGTTTAAGTACACTTTCATCGCTGAGAGTTTTAATGTTGGGTAAAAATAGGATATCTAAAATTGACAACTTGAACAACCTTTTGAAACTTGACGTTTTGGACCTTCACGGAAACCAAATTAAGGAACTAGAGAACCTGAACCATCTCTCAGAATTACGTGTACTCAATTTAGCTGGCAATCAACTGACAAAAGCTTGCAATTTTCTGGGACTCTCCTCGTTGACGGAACTAAACTTAAGAAGAAATAAGATACAGTACGTAGGGGAGTTGGATCACCTGCCAAAGTTACTGAGACTGTTCCTTAGTTATAACGATGTTCGCAGCTTTGAGAGCATACGGTGTCTGGGTGGCAGCCAAAGTTTACAGGTTACAACACTTTCTCTTTCGTATAATAAAACAGCAGCATGTACTAAATTAATTTCATGTACGTGTTGATAAACTTAAGTGCAGTGCAAATGTAGATACGATAAAGATCGAGCTAGGAAGAGATCTCAACTGGAAGTGAAAAATGTTCGCAATCGCAACATTCAAACAAACAAAACTTAGAATTCAAATCAGCAATGCTCTGAATTATCAATTTTAATTCTAGATTAAATTTATGCTGCCTTAAAACCCGTAACCAGGTGTACAGTCTATAGGTTATTGTTACGACTTCTGGTCGGAACAGTTCAATAAATCATGCATAATTATGTAGCGTAATTAACATCATGCACAAAATTTTACAGATGATTTGTGGACAGATTTCACAGATTTCGTGTTAACAAGTTTCACGTCGTTGATCTTTCAACTTGTTTCTTTATCAAGGAGTTAGCTCTGGACGGGAATCCATTCACGGCGGAAGCGTCGTACAAACAGATCGTTATAGACCAAATGCAATGCTTGCGGCAGTTGGATCTGAAGAAAGTGACTGATGATGAGCGACGCATGGCAAGCATTGTTGTGAGGAAGGAACAGGAGAAGAAGAAGGAGTGTAGTAAGGTGAACAAATCTTATCTGAACGCACGGCTTTGCCACGTTTTACCTACTTCCAACTCTACAGTTGTACTACAGACTACAGCTGAGTTTCAAATGTTAAATCAATACAGATTAATGTTAGTCATTTTATTGTTTAAACAAAGTGCAGTGTGTATGTTACACGGAACCAAGCATTTTAGTTCCTTGTTTCCTTGTTATCATAGAATAAGTGTATCACTGTTTTTTTTATAAACCTAGCTGTGATCGGTATTAAAAAATCCTGCAAGCACACTCTTCCATACCCCCATGCTCTGAAGAATGTAATGCGAAGTCTCCAGGCCCAAGCAATGAAGGAGCGACGGCGTGTAGCAATACAAAACGCAGAGAAACGTTGGCAGGAGGACAATAACATAAACACGGGAGCAGCACCGTCCCTCAACAACGGGAATCCTGATAACCACACTGTGTCCCTAGGGTTCGAATCTCTGTCTCACTACACCGAGGTCAGGATATGTTTGGCGAGTACTCTGTGCTACCTTTCCATGTTATTTTTACTAATCACTTATTTTATTAATAACTTTATTAATAACTGCTATAACTCTTTGTCAAAGCAGAACATTGTTTGGGTCTGGCTAGAACTGGGAGAAGCTGGAAGTTTGTTCAGACACGTGGCGTAGCTTTCAAATATCCCAAAGTAAACTTGAACCCTAACTGCTACTAATCTAAAATGATTTATTAACCCAAGTTTATCAATGTGTTAGGTAGAAACAGACACTCTGCGTTTGTACGGAGCGGCAGCATTGGACGGGCTAGACAAGAACAACACTGTTAGCAATGTGGCAGCTATATCTCATATCTACTTCAAGTTTATACCTTACGATAGTATTGTTCCTCACTTCCCTAAACTACGAGTCAGGTTTGGAAAAATAACATTTGATTAGTCGTATTCATAAAAAGTTAGTATTCATAAAAAGTTCCAGAGAATTTTGGTATGAAACCCAAAATTGTTCAACTTTTTATAAATACGGCTTAATATGCATTAGAATTGTTCGCTTTGAATTAAATCGAAATTGCTGATTTCAAATCGTAATCACTTGATTAATCATCCAATTTCCAATATCCAATAATAACCTTGTAATTATTCCCAGGTTCCCTGCACTTCAAGGCCTCACCTTCTCCTTCTCCTCCATCTCCTCTCTCAAGCAGCTCAGTTCCCTAACCGCTGTTAGACGTCTTGACTTTATCTCCCTTTCTCCCGAGGGCAACCCTGTTACTAACTTCTCTCTTTGGAAGTAAGAAGGGATGGTGTTTGGGCTTTTTTTGTTTATAACAGCCATTCTCCTATGATCATGGTATGAATGTCCGTTATGTAAAATTCTCTCACTCTTGTTTACGCTAATATATTGTAACTTACCCATGTGATAACTACTTGAATGTGATAACTATGTTCTCTTATGAGTCCTACATTTAGGGTGTGATTAACAGGTAAATAGTGGTGTGATAACTCCTGTTATCACACTCCAAGCAGTGATGAGACTGCTTAATATCAAACTATTCGTCAACAGAAGAAGCTATAATTATTGCACAGATTCTCTCATAGATTAGGTTAAGTAACTCTCCCTAATAATAATAATATCAAACTATTCGTCAGTAGAACATGTAACTATAATTATTGTCAAGATTCAAGTCACTCGACTATCTCCCCCTCTAGGTACTACTTACTGTACAGACTGTCCCACTTTAACCTACGTAAGATAAACGAGGTAGACGTCAGTATGACTGACACAGTCCTGGCTGAGCAGCTCTTCTCCGAGCTGGGGAATGTTACTTTACAACAGTTCGATCTGAGTCGGATACTCGGCCTTCTTCCTGACGTTCGCAGGAAACAGGTTAGATTATAACGCGTTAGATGCCACGTGACGTCATAACACGTGACATCACAAGTTGTATAAAATCCTCGAATTTTCCCACAACGTTGGGCAAGAGGTCAAGCCTTTCTTCAGAATCTCTGATATTATTAAACACGTTGATCATGGTGCTATAATCCCGATTTTCTCCAGGTGTTAGGGCACTGTGATACCTTAGAACAAAAGAAAAACATTTCACAGAGACAGACTGAAGATCGTAGAAAACTGATAATTGCTTCGGAACAGAAAAACAGGCCCATTGGTAGGCAATCCTGCATTTATTACTTTGCTCTCTTCTGTCTCGTCTTCTTGACATTCTTTTTAAAGTCTGTACTGTTACTATTAGTATTATGATTTTATTTTTATTTTGTTAAATTAATAGCTACACTTTCGTCGGATCTTTTCGACAAATCACTGTAGAATATGCTCATCACAAGATCTTAGTAATTAAAATACTAATTAAAATGCTGATTAAAATACTAATTAAAATGCTAATTAAAAAATACCGATTGAATGCCGTATGAGGGCCCTATTGATCGTTCTGAGAACTCCGTTTTTAAAATAATGTTAGCACAGCATACTGAATTTGATGTAAACTTAAATCTATGCTTACCATCAACCATGCAAATCCTTTTTTCACATTAAAAACAGTGAAAGAAAAATTAAGCAACACATTTATATTTGCTAAAGCTGTTAAATTCGTTATACTACTTCTTATTCGCTCTTTGTCTCTGGAATTGAGTTGTATTTGTTTGTAGACTCGAACAAATTATGGACACCTTAATATGCGGTAGATAAATGCAACATTAGGGTGCGGCAATTAGAGACACCTTATGCGGTAGATAGAGGCAACATTAGGGTGCGGCAATTAGAGACACCTTATGCGACCTAGATAAATGCAACATTAGGGTGCGGCAATTAGAGACACCTTACGCGGTAGATAAATGCAACATTAGGGTGCGGCAATTAGAGACACCTTATGCGGTAGATAGAGGCAACATTAGGGTGCGGCAATTAGAGACACCTTATGCGGTAGATATATGCAACATTAGGGTGCGGCAATTAGAGACACCTTATGCGGTAGATAGAGGCAACATTAGGGTGCGGCAATTAGAGACACCTTATGCGGTAGATAGAGGCAACATTAGGGTGCGGCAATTAGAGACACCTTATGCGGTAGATAGAGGCAACATTAGGGTGCGGCAATTAGAGACACCTTATGCGGTAGATAAATGCAACATTAGGGTGCGGCAATTAGAGACACCTTATGCGGTAGATAGAGGCAACATTAGGGTGCGGCAATTAGAGACACCTTATAATGCGGTAGATAGAGGCAACATTAGGGTGCGGCAATTAGAGACACCTTATGCGGTAGATAGAGGCAACATTAGGGTGCGGCAATTAGAGACACCTTATGCGGTAGATAGAGGCAACATTAGGGTGCGGCAATTAGAGACACCTTATGCGGTAGATAGAGGCAACATTAGGGTGCGGCAATTAGAGAATAGAGACACCTTATGCGGTAGATAAATGCAACATTAGGGTGCGGCAAAATTCGCGAACCATGCGATCTCTCATCTCGTACCTTTTCTGATTTCTATTGCAAAATTGCAAGAATATATACGGCAGATAATGCGATCCCGCACGTAAATGTTGCCTCTGTATACGGTACTGGTAGATTTCGACTAGTCGTGTTTCTGTAGTTCTCGTACAAATCATGATACTATCCTTTCTCATGTTCTCCAGACATACGACTGCACTGTTGGTATGTGTTTTGTGATATAGGGTCCTGATTGTTTAATCAGATTGTATTACACAGTTACAGTTTTAAGAGATCTTATTACACACAACCAACACGTCACCGTATACATAGTAGTACTACTGCTAATATTGTTATACATTTTGTATCGTACACTGCAAATAAAACACAATAGATTATACAATCGCCAGAAGACCCCGATCTAGATTTGTTGTCTATGTATAACTGACAGTAAACCCGCTTTTGGGGTCACGTCACTGCTCTTTTGTACACGCAATCAGACAAAGAGCCCACACTTCTGACTACATTACTTGTGACAGTGTATAGTGACACATGCTGTATATTGGAAGACAATGAGTCCTAGCCTGTATCATCACGTGACAATCACCTGTTATCACGTGACAATCACGTGTTATGTATGTGGAATTCATTAGAGTCCTGCCAAGCAATTCATCTAGCAATTCAGTATGTGTCTTTAACGCACTTAGGTCCTAGGATCATGATTGTAACAGTGTGTTACTGTGTGCACTTGATGCACGTTATTATGTGCACATGCACCAATACTGTGCACTTAGTTGTGAGCTGGTCTGAGACTATTCTTACTATCCCTTATTGTGGCAAGGTGTCATTTAATTTAATGATTAATTGCCACTTGAGGCAATATTATACAGGTGCGGTGAAATTGTGAAAATAGTGCGATCCTGCCTCCCTCACCTGCCTAAAATTGTTTTATGTGCGAAAAAATGTGGAGGAAAAAACACCGGGATTAAGCTGAACAATTTGGAAAATTTACAGCCTTTGGCTTTAGGTACTCCCAGGTTGGATCATTCATCAGCGTAGTAATTATAGTACATAATAACGTTGCCTTATACGATTGTTAAGTTTAACACAGCAAATAATTTAAAAGGTTAATGTCTTTAAATACTGAGTTTCCATTCGATTAAACTGTATAATTCTAGAATTACCCTCATCACATACATAATATAGAAGGTTTTACTATTAGATGGGCAGGAATCAGGATAACAGGGCTAGTTGAGCATATACAATAGACTATGAGCATACTTGAGGCAGAGTATTATTGTAACTTTACAACATTAGATTCCAATATTATTATTATAATATACTGTGCACTTAGTTGTCGGCTATATGTGGTGTTAGCAAGGTGTTCATAAACATAATAATACTATAATAATATGATTTGTTAATTATGCTTTTCTGGGTTGCTAGATTTATTATGCTATATAACTCCTTCGATCTTCAAGCGGTCTGGTTAATTAACTAAGCCACCACACCATAAGTTAACTATAACAAATCATTACGTTCTGTAATTGTGAGAACCACAGTCCACAGAAGTTGAAGTACCATTTGTGGTACTTGATTTGCACTCAAGTGTTGGCTCTTCCTAAAGAGATGTCTCAGTATTAATCACCTTCTCAAATTTGTTCAGTTTTTCTCTAACCATGTTCAATTCTAGCAGTTTTATTAAATTTATCGGCTCATTATAAAACTGCAGAGTCCTTACCAATTAAATTGCCACGTGTACAGGCCTACAGTTCTATACCTCAGCGCAAAACCTCTCAGAGAAACTCAATACGGGGCTGTATTGTCCATGTTACTCGCTCAGTACACGTCTTTGTTACAGAAAGAAAGAAAAAACTAGAATATCACTAGTATAGCCCTACATAGAATATCACTAGTATAGCCCTACATAGAATATCACTAGCCTCGGATGAAACGTGCTTCTTACAGCGATTATAATTTGCCCTTTTTCAATGACGAAAGATCTTGCTCTTTATAGACAAAGATAATTCAGTTTAATCTAGCACCCCGCTTTGAGCGGGCGGCTTATGACGTTCACAATTTACTAAAAAATAAAGGGATAGTACAGACTTTATATTGTCCAGCCTGCTGTTTTGTGTTATTATTACACTGAGTTTAAAAGATTAGGCGCGCTGGTCAGTGTAGTTAAAATTGCTTATGAGTAGTCGTTATGAGTCTTAAAAATTACACGTCTTATTTATTCGTATTATAGAGCAAAAATTCGTAAAGAACAAAACTATTAAGTTCTAACAAAACATATTTATAACATTTTTATAATATTTATTTAACATTTTTATTTAACATTTTTGTAACATTTTTGTAACATTTTTGTAACATTATGTAGCATATCCCGAAAGTAAGTAACATTGTTTCCCATCAGGGACAGAGTCACTGAACGTATCAGCGTTAGTGTATAATACAGTAACTAGACCTAAAAGCGCTAAACCTTCTGATAAAGTTACCAGCGCTACCTCCCAAATACTCGACGAGGTTTGAAATTTGATCTGTGATTTGTTAATGAACTGAAATATTTAATTGAAATTACGCCATGAGCTGATAATTACCCTCGGTAATTACTTATAACTGTAGTAACTAATATATGAGTAATATTATGATCTAAAATGACATCTGGAGCTTGTTAAATTGTAAAGACTAATAAATTACACTTTTTTACCACCTCTGACTTAATTATAAATTAAAATTAAAAATCTAATTAGCAAATTGAACAGCTGCTTTAAATTATATAACTATTACTGTAAGTTACATTATACATTATCCATTATACATTATACATTATACATTATACATTATACATTGTACATTATCCAGATAGTAGCGTCAGCTATATCACGACAGAACAAGCTGACTGCACTAGAGAAAGTGTGGAACAGTGTTCTGAGGGACACAGTCCGGGCAGCCACTAACGATTTTACCTGTTTGTCATCAACCGTGGACAAGGCTCTGTCTCAGATACAGGACACGTGACTGTGACATGTAACGTGACGTCATCACACCACGTGACGTTATTAATTCGCCTGGTATCATTGCTCAAGACCTAGACCTCATGTGACGTCACAGTGCAGATGACGTCATGATGACGTCATGATAGTAGACAATTGCTACCCATCTGATACGTGTCCTCTGATCTTCAGACTTTTCATTATTATATTATCTTAAATTATTGAGATTTACTAATATCATATAAGTTGTTTGAAATGGGGGGCAAATGATTTTTGTTAGGCCAGACTTCAGATAGTAACCTTAACCATGTTTTTAATCAGAAAAGCACTAGTTTGCTAGTTTGATAGTTTGCTAGTCATTGCCTGTCTTACTACCAGTATAACCAATATTTGTACATAAAAGTATCCCTATGGTACTATCATAACCTTACATAATGTAAATATGTAATACTAATGATTCAATATTACATAATTTTTAGTTTGTATATATTGTTGTATCATATATATTATTTGATAAACTTTATATTTACAGCACATTTTATTGATTTCATTTCATGCATTGTATAATCTATAGAGCTATAGTAGTTCCAATTGTAAGTAAGTTTAACATGTAACATGTAAGTCTGTCACTTGCACTTGTCCTAAGTTATAATCCAATAACATGCCAACAGTATCCAAATCTAAAGTAAAACCTCCATTATAAGACTATAGCATGTAAAGCATATTTCCCACTATTCTTCAACATCTAATTATATTAATAATAAATTGCGCTAACAAGAGCCCATAACCCACACACCCCAGTAACAACACCCAGATCCCCCAAGGTATGGATAACGCGGATCTAGAGTCCCTAAAACTGGTTCCCGGTCGTCTGAATCCCAAGTTCTCAGCGTCCCTAACAGAGTACAATGTGTTACTCAGCAGTGCGGCTACACAAGTGCGGGTAGAAGGCCTGACTGCAGATAGTGGAGCTAGTTACAGTGTTAAAGGTGCTGAGGGGGAACGAACTGTGCCGCTTAATGAGGGTATCAACTACGTTCACATTGAGGTCTCCGCTATTGACGGCACCACCAAAAATTACACAATAACTGTCACTAAACTAGCTGCTAACCTAGCTGAGCTGCTAAATCTGAATCTGGTTCCTGGCAGGTTAGACAGAGCGTACCAGAAGAAGATAAGTGAGTATTACGCTACACTTGGGTGGGCGGTTAATCAGGTGACAGTGAAGCCGGTGAAGCAGGACCCTAAGATGACGGTGGATATAGACGGGAACCCTCCAGCGACTCCAGTACAGCTGCAGAGCATGGAGACCACAGTTAAAATCAATGTTTTGTCCCCAGATCAAAGTACCACGAAAGTCTACACGCTGCACCTGCTGAAAGAGGATACTGGTTACAGACCAGAGACCGCTAAGACTGATTTGTTGTGTGGAGTTTGCTCGAGTTTGTATCAGTGCCCAAGGAGACTGCTCCAGTGTTCTCACAGTTTCTGTACGGTTTGTCTGGCTGTGAGTCAGCGGACTGATAAGAAATGCCCAACGTGCAGCGCTCCCCCACCCGTTGATCCACCGTTTGATGATGTTGACAGTGAGCTGCGTGAAAAACTCCTCTCTGTGGAAGTGCTGTGTTTTTATTGCGGCACTGGTGTGGGTAGTCCCGGACTCTTAGAACACGCTGTGGAATGTTCTGAGAGACTGGTCACGTGTCCCACATGTGATCAAGACGTGAAATACAGCACTTTAGAACACAGTGATTGCACTGCGTCTTGTAAACTGTGCGGAAAGAAGTACTTGGCGGAGGAGGAGGATATCCATTCTAAGATGTGCCTTCAGGGAGAAAGTCTTCCAAACATTGAGCTCACAGATTACAAGGCAGGAGTCAGTGATTGGGAAAAGAAGTTGAGAGTTGATACCGCAGATGATTTCAAAGAGCTTTATGAATCGGGGGAGAAGTGGGAGAAGGAGTACCACAAAGTTCGCTCCACCACTTCTGATGTCGTTGAAGTGAAGAAGAGGTTGGAAAGTGCTGCCCATGCCTATGCTAATGCTGTAGTTGCAAACTCCAAATCTTATAATGCACATAGCAGATTAGGTATTGTGTTGGAAGAGATTCATTATGTTGAGGATTTGATGGCAAAGCTAAAAAAGGAAAAGGTTGACGCATCAGCATCAAATAAGGAAGCAAAGGACAGCAGCAAGTTCGAAGAAATTGACGCTATTTGCCAATTACATGGAGTAGCTAAAACAGCACCACTCAGTGAAAAACTCAAGGCAATCGACATGGAGTACCATTCGTTAAAAGAAAAAGGAGACTCCTTCAGAGCTGATCGAGTTCAAGAACTTTACGCCTGGAAATCCAAACAGGCTACAACAGCAGAAAAGATTTCGCTCATAGCTGGAAGTGATGAAACATACCTCGGCAAGGCAGGGAGAAAGTACGAGGACGCAGTATCAAAGGAACCTTCCTCGTTTAGTTGCAATTACTTGCTGGGATGGAGCTACCTCCAACAGTTCAGATATGAAGAAGCAGTTACAAGATTCCGGGTCTGTATCGGTGCCAAACCTCTCCTCAAACATGTTAGATATTTGCTGGGGATAGCGTTGTCAAAGTGTCCTGGAGATGATCACGAGGATGAAGCTATCAGGTATCTCAAGCAGGGGGTACTGTCTTACCAACACTGGATATCATGCCAGAAAAGAGAGGGGGCTAACAGAAGTCAAGTAATGGCAGCTGAAACTGAGTTCTCATTATACAAACCTCAATATTTGCGTGGCTTCATATATCTTGCTCGACTCACGGATAGTAAGGAGGAGAAGAGAAAACTATTGCTTTCAGTAGTCTACTTGGTGCCAAGAATCCTTCAAACTTTGGAGCAAAGAGGCCAAACCTACAAGAGCATAGAGGCCGTTCAGTTTTCTGCCATGGATAAACTTCTCTCAATCGTGGAAAAGGACGAAATACAGACGTTTTGTAAGAGACTTAGTGCTCTTTTATCTAAAAGTCCCGACTCAGGGAACAGAAAGCTACTTGAGCTACAAGTTGAGACTAGCAAGAAGTGTGTCGTGGTAGAAGCAAGCAATGGTCAGTCTCTCACCACTCTTGGAGATTCGTTGCTAACCTTGTATGAGATGACTGATTCGAAAACACTGTTGAAAGAGTCAGAACAGTGTTTCCGTGCTGCTATTCAAGTTGAGGGCAAGGCGATCAAGTCTGAAGCCGTTCCCGAGCAAGTGAAAGAAATGCAGTGGTATAAAGAGAAAACTGGTGTTAAATCTCCCCCTGCTGCAGCTGGAAAGGGGGCCAGGGGAGGTCCTGCTAAAAGAGGAGCCCCCGCTGCGAGAGGTGCTGCAAAGGGAGGTGCAGCAAGAGGTGGTGCAGCAAGAGGTGGTGCAGCAGCTGGGAAAGGTGCAGCACGTGGCCGTGGTGGAGCTAGAGGCGCTGCAGCAGGAGCAGCACGTGGAGGCAAAGCTGCACACAGTTGTGTCCCTGCTAAGGGTGGTAAGGAAGAAAAGAAACCAGAGACAGAGCCAGGGAATGAAACAGGTCCTTTAAACGAGAAGAGTGCTGGACCCAGATTAGGGCTGGCCAGAGTGTTGAGTCTGAATGATGGAAATAACGTTGAGGAGAGGAAGGCACTTTATAACGAGGTTATTGTGATAGCGAGTGGTTTACATGATGCGTATATTGAACTGGGTGAGCTGTGTCGGGGCACCATGGAGGCTGTGGATGTTTACGATAAGTTCCCCTTCAGCGAGGAGTTGACATTCGATGATGCGTACATTTTTGGAGAAATGGTTCAAATTCTTATGAAGCTGGAGGAATTTGATGATCCCCGACTGGAGAAGTCCCTGATGGGATATGGAAGTGTCATGGGGTGGAACAGCCTGGAATCCTACGTTCCAAAGCTTGAGAATGCTTTTAAAACAGCTTTGTTGAGGAACGTGTATTGTCATGTCAACAAGAAATGCGCGGAGGATGATGATGTTAAGCAGTATTTCAAGATTAAACTGTGGAACTGAAATGTTGTTATCTTCTGGTAAACTGTAACTTAGAATAGGTTAGATTAGGAGATTATTTTCCAGGGAACTTGTTCTGTATTAGTTAACTTTGCATGTGTGATTCATTATGATTACATATTATATAATAATATGCTAATTTTGCACTTTAAAACTTGAATAGAATTCAGTACCTTGAGTGAACTTTGTGTCACCCAAGTATTTTTGTTAAGAGTAAAAAAATGTTATTAATTTCGTTACAATCGTTACTCAGTCCATATTGTAAATATTCAATAATTTATATTAATGGTAAGTTTAAATGTAAATAATTTTTATTGAACTTGTTAAGCATTTTGTACAGGTGTGTTTATTTTCAGCTCAAAGTTTGTCAGTCTTAAATTATTCAACCACAATGGTTTATGGTTATAATAATATATATTTATTTCCCAATTGAATATTGTAGATATTTTTGTAAATAAGAATATTAAATTTAAATCAGTATAATACATATCAAATTTTTACATTTTTCTACGGATTGAGAATAATTATTATCAGGAATGAAATTCGCTTTATACTTTTTTCGAACCAGCTTGTGTTTAATTACAATGAATCAAATCTCACACAATAATATTGTATTGAAAACAATATGAAGGTCGATGGTCATAAAAAACAACACCTTTTTTGATTTCAACAAAGTTGCATTTTCTTGCCCGCCCGTAAAGCCGTAACAATATGACCGACTAAACATTCACTCCCACCCAAAAATTAAAAAGCAGACTATAACATGGTAATAATAAGACAATCAAGTAAAAACACACAAGTTTAGATTGTAGACTGTTAACAATTGCTACATATTGGCACAGTATTACTACAGTTTTATAAGTATAACAAGAAACAAGTGTAAGACCACTATGTAAATTACAGGTACCCATGACAGCAGGTATCACTATTAGTATTAGTCTATCATATTATATTGTGTTAGTCATCAACAGTTTGTTGTTGTTGTTGTTGTTGTTGTTGTTGTGAATTACTAGAAATTAGTTGGGTAATTATTTAGCAGCTTAGAAAACTTACAGTAAGCTCAGTAAACATTTACTTTGAATAGAACTCTGGTGACCTCAGAATTTTTCAGAATTTTGAATATTTTAGATAGTTTGTCTTTCAAAGAAATGTGGCCCGTAATAAATATATTTGCCACTCATTATAGAAACACAAAAGATTAAGCTATAACACGATTATAGGTAATACTGAGTCCGACACATTTTATTTGCTACGCTAGATGCTGTTAAGCTGTTAGTTTCGTCAAATGCTTGCCAAGCTCGTGTGTTAATGTTCACAGTAGCTATACACTAGGGTGTGCCTCTGATAGTTGACATGGACAGTCAGTCAATTCAGGTGCTAACAAGGGAGGCATCAATAATACACACTCACTTAAAAAAGTGTCACCAGGAAAAGTTAGTAACTTTGTCATAAGTAACCGAAAGGTGTTACTGAAAGGTGTTACTGAAAGGTGTTACTGAAAGGTGTTACTGATTTAACCACAAGGTAATAACTCAGCTAATTAAAACAACACATACTGGACCTGGCAAAATTCCAACTGTTCCACTAATACAGTCACCATGTCTGGGGCCTGCTTAACATTTGTTACATGTAATGTTTTGTAAAACTTGTTTCTAAAACTCTCTTTAACATGTAGAATATGACAATAAGGCTTAATGGAAGACTGATAAAGAAGATTGTACTATATGGAGCAGTCATATTTGCAGTAGTCCTCCTATTATCACAGTTTCACTCTCCCATCCATATACAGGTTAGTGTTTATTTGATATACAGGTTAGTGTTTATTCGATATACAGGTTAGTGTTTATTTGATTATATACTAGAGGTTAGTGTTTATTTGAGGATACTGTAGATTTTAGAAATGAGTTGAACTTGAATTATGGTAATGTTTGATGAGAATATAAGTATCAAAAATTCAAATTTTATCATGAATACAATATCCCTTTCTAAGTATTCAATATCAGATTAGGTTTAGAGTTGAGATAATATGTATGATCTAGAAAAATATTAATTCCTACATTACAGCATTTTCACACATAGTTTCAGATGACACGTGTACAGTGTTTACGTGACACATGACTTTACATGATACTACAAAGTTATGTACATACATTTTGTACATACATTATGTACATACATTATGTACATACATTATGTACATAAATTATAAATGTACATTAATTACACAGTGTTATGCACCAAACCATATTACATCGCACACTCAACATTACCCAACACGACGTGGCTAATATATCGGGTATCGTATTATACAATTATATCCAGTATCATCAACTTATAACGGGATATCGTATGTCAGGTAAAAGTCCTTGACTTAGATTCTATTTCAGGTAAAAGTCCCCGACCCAGAAGACAGTACCCAAAGATTAACAGAAAACCCCGGGGACAAGATACCCCTTCCCATACCCCGTCAGAGACTACCTGAGGCTAAAAAGAAGCCTGATCTCATAGATGATAGGAACAAGTTCCAACCAGCTGTAAGTTTAATAATATAATATAAAGTAATAGTTATATAAGTAATATTAGTATAATATAAAGTTATAGAATATATAAACTTAATAGTTGTATAAAGTTATATCTATCTAACAAAACTGTAAGCTTTTCAAAGATGTATTGTTGTTGGGAATGGGCTGTATATTATGTAAAATGTTGATCAGTAATATTATCGGTTAGAATTTCATTTATTTGATTCCAATCATCTTACAAATAATTAATAAACAACTCTATTTCAGGTGCAGAACAAGCTGCCGGAAAGCAGAACCTACGAGTACACGTGGGTAGAGAGTGCACGATTGCGTGAAGCACGGGAGGCTCTGGAGAAGAAGTTCCAGCAGAAAGTAAGAGATCTGGGTGATGATGCTGAGAAAGTAAAGAATCAGGTCTGTTTTAGGAGTTTGTACTGTTAGATATGTTTGGAGTATTGATAAATTGATATCATGAGGAATTAAAAGAGTTTAGTGCCTATTCTGCCTTTTAATGACTTAAATGTACATCTTCGTTGGGTATATTTTAATGTCTAAGCGTGTGATAAAGTTGGAATTTATTTATTTTATTATCTTTTTAATAAATCAGAGTAAGCATATTTACCAGTTATAAGATATCTTCTGTATTAACGTATAGTTTAAATAATATGTAAATAGGATAATTGATAATTACATAATTACATAATTGGTCAGATCAATAAAACATGTTCCAGGGTACGGTGAACATGGTTACAACTCTCACTTAGCCGAGACTATAGCGGTTAACAGAGATATCGGGGATAAACGGCATCCACAGTAAGTATTGTATATAATACGTTATAATGGTAGAGAAATGTTTATGTAGGAATGGGAAGATTATAGTGGCTGTATTATAGTGGCCGTATAGTGACTGTTTAGTGGCTGTATCGTGGCCGTATAGTGACTGTTTAGTGGCCGTATCGTGACTGTTTAGTGGCCGTATCGTGACTGTTTAGTGGCCGTATAGTGGCTGTATCGCGACATATCGTGGCTAAACCTAATCTCCCAATTTCTCAAATGTAGCTCAAACATACCTTATCCCACCCGGGTATGTGTATTAAAATATGTATAATATTAGTACATACATAAAATATTATGTGTTTATATGCAACAGGGGTGTTATACTTTCATTCCGTGTATTCTTAGTAGCAAGCATGCAGTTTTAACCAGTTGTAACTGGAGATAGGCTTATTTAAAAGTAAGCAAGTTAACAACGTCTACTACGTTTACTGGTAATTCACAGTCGGCTGATCGTGACTTTACATTTGTTTGAGGTAATGTGTAACTTACACCTAAGCTGATCATGTAAAAGTGCTTACAAAAAGCACATACAATTACAAAGTACACACACCCCGCATTTTAAACATTCCAATCCTGTGTAATCCTACTTCATGCCTACCACCATCTCAATCCTGTGTAATCCTACTTCATGCCTACCACCATCTCAACTCATTTTACAGTGGATACACCCACGACCCTATTTGTCATAGTTATTAGAGGTGATGTAATAATGTAGGCTTATTTAGTGACTAGGACTGGTGTGCCGAAAATTAGGTTAAGCAAAATGAAGTTCTGTATTATACAGGAGTGTGAATATATTATCATGTTTCTGATAACATAATGTTAAATTGTAAAACTAATATTAGGTATGACTTATGTTTGAGTTGTTATCCAGAACCTCTTGTTATTGAGAACCTCGAAAGCATTGGTTAAAAGTGGCTAACAAATTATAATCTGTGCATCAATCTCAACAAATCAACATGAAAATTATCCTGACTATTTGCCAAGAAGTACAAAGTTTCATCCTCTATTTATTCATCTCACAGAGCGACTGTTATCATCTGTTTTTCATCAGGTGTAAGAACGGAGGATGGCCCACAGACCTGCCAAGAGCGAGTATAATCTTCTGTTTTACTTCAGGTGTAAGAACGGAGGATGGCCCACAAGAGCGAGTATAATCTTCTGTTTTACTTCAGATGTAAGAACGGAGGATGGCCCACAGACCTGCCTAGAGCGAGTATAATCTTCTGTTTTACTTCAGATGTAAGAACGGAGGATGGCCCACAGACCTGCCTAGAGCGAGTATAATCTTCTGTTTTACTTCAGGTGTAAGAACGGAGGATGGCCCACAAGAGCGAGTATAATCTTCTGTTTTACTTCAGATGTAAGAACGGAGGATGGCCCACAGACCTGCCTAGAGCGAGTATAATCTTCTGTTTTACTTCAGGTGTAAGAACGGAGGATGGCCCACAAGAGCGAGTATAATCTTCTGTTTTACTTCAGATGTAAGAACGGAGGATGGCCCACAGACCTGCCTAGAGCGAGTATAATCTTCTGTTTTACTTCAGATGTAAGAACGGAGGATGGCCCACAGACCTGCCAAGAGCGAGTATAATCTTCTGTTTTACTTCAGATGTAAGAACGGAGGATGGCCCACAGACCTGCCTAGAGCGAGTATAATCTTCTGTTTTACTTCAGGTGTAAGAACGGAGGATGGCCCACAGACCTGCCAAGAGCGAGTATAATCTTCTGTTTTACTTCAGGTGTAAGAACGGAGGATGGCCCACAGACCTGCCTAGAGCGAGTATAATCTTCTGTTTTACTTCAGATGTAAGAACGGAGGATGGCCCACAGACCTACCAAGAGCGAGTATAATCTTCTGTTTTACTTCAGGTGTAAGAACGGAGGATGGCCCACAAGAGCGAGTATAATCTTCTGTTTTACTTCAGATGTAAGAACGGAGGATGGCCCACAGACCTGCCTAGAGCGAGTATAATCTTCTGTTTTACTTCAGGTGTAAGAACGGAGGATGGCCCACAGACCTGCCTAGAGCGAGTATAATCTTCTGTTTTACTTCAGGTGTAAGAACGGAGGATGGCCCACAGACCTACCAAGAGCGAGTATAATCTTCTGTTTTACTTCAGGTGTAAGAACGGAGGATGGCCCACAGACCTGCCTAGAGCGAGTATAATCTTCTGTTTTACTTCAGGTGTAAGAACGGAGGATGGCCCACAGACCTACCAAGAGCGAGTATAATCTTCTGTTTTCACAACGAGAACTTGATAGTATTATTAAGATCTATATACTCGGTACTAATGCGGACACCGCCGGAGCTATTGGCTGATATCATTGTCGTGGACGACTCAAGTACAGAGAAACACCGTAAGTGTTTTTAACTGTTAATCTTCATTTTTTATCAAGCTGTTTTGAGGTAAAAATTTTAAAATGATCACAAGTTTTTCATCGATCGTGCATATTATGAATATAAATTCATGAATATACCAGATTTTCGGAAATCTGCCAGCATGAAGAGTATAGAAAAGTTGGTTACAGCAGAATCGCTACTGTACCCTACTGTAAACATGTAACAATATGTGTTACCAATATGTTACCAATATGTTACCAATATGTTACCACAAATTACATTATTATCCTTCATTACGGTTGAAGTATCGGAATAGTTAGTGGGCTAAATTAGGACACCGTATTTTAAAATATTTGTATCATTGCAATGTAGGAGTAATAGGACTGTAGTCGAATGTACTGGTAGCTAGGAATGTACTGGTAGCTAGGAATGTACTGATAGCTAGGAATGTACTGGTAGCTAAGAATGTACTGGTAGCTAGGAATGTACTGGTAGCTAGGAATGTACTTATAGCTAGGAATGTACTGGTAGCTAAGAATGTACTGGTAGCTAGGAATGTACTGGTAGCTAGGAATGTACTGATAGCTAGGAATATACTGGTAGCTAAGAATGTACTGGTAGCTAGGAATGTACTGGTAGCTAGGAATGTACTGGTAGCTAGGAATGTACTGGTAGCTAGGAATGTACTGGTAGCTAGGAATGTACTGGTAGCTAGGAATGTACTGGTAGCTAGGAATGTACTGGTAGCTAGGAATGTACTGGTAGCTAGGAATGTACTGGTAGCTAGGAATGTACTGGTAGCTAGGAATGTACTGGTAGCTAGGAATGTACTGGTAGCTAGGAATGTACTGGTAGCTAGGAATGTACTGGTAGCTAGGAATGTACTGGTAGCTAGGAATGTACTGGTAGCTAGGAATGTACTGGTAGCCAGGAATGTACTGGTAGCTAGGAATGTACTGGTAGCTAGGAATGTACTGGTAGCCAGGAATGTACTGGTAGCTAGGAATGTACTGGTAGCTAGGAATGTACTGGTAGCTAGGAATGTACTGGTAGCTAGGAATGTACTGGTAGCTAGGAATGTACTGGTAGCTAGGAATGTACTGGTAGCTAGGAATGTACTGGTAGCTAGGAATGTACTGGTAGCTAGGAATGTACTGGTAGCTAGGAATGTACTGGTAAAATGATCACCAATATCTTCGAATGGAGTTGGTGGTCGACTCCGAAGCGATTTCACTAAATACAATTTCCTGATTGACAAGCTAACTTAATATTTTATCTATGAATTTTACTTGATAGAGTGCTTATCTTAAAGTTAAATGTTTTTACAGGCTCTAAGGATGTAGTTTTACGAAGATTTCAAGCCTTACGTTGTGTGTTTCCCTTCGTGTCCAAAAGCATTATATAAATATTTTATCTTTAGAGAGAATGTTCGTGCCATAGTTTTGAGCAAATCCCCAAATAGAACAACAGATGATAACTTTCAATTATGTTACCATGGCGGCTGATATATAACGTGCTCGATATTCATCTCACCTGCCCAAATGGATACATGACAAAATGTGGTAGTACCACAGCAACGTCAGAATTTACATTAATATTAAATTTACTTCTGAGTAATTTCAGACTAACAGTGAACACGCCCTGTTGAGCGGCGTATTATATAACACATCCCGCGGAATACCACGTAATTTGAAATTTATATAAAAAGTAAATATTCTTAATCCAAAGAATTCACCCGATTTAGAGGCACGTGTTTAGACTTTAGTGACAGTTCGCAAAAACATAAAATATCGTAGTATCATGCTATCAGTATTATATTAGTAAACTTAATGACTACCATTATTTGGTGTCTTGATGATTTAATTTTGATTCTCAAGTTCGTGTATATTTTTTAAATTGTAGTTTCGGCATGGTGATCAGTTCTACTGTCAGTAAACATTCCCGTGTACTTTTTTTTGCGATTGAGGAGCACTACCCAGAGGCATTACTCGGCACTAACGCCTTAAAATCTTTAATTACAATCAAATATAAATATATGCACACAATGTATAAAATATGAATAATGTATAAAATATGATTAAGCTATTAGCAAATTTAAATAGTTTTATTAAGAATTTCTAAATAACTCTTATCTCTTGACATAAATTTAGAACAGCGACACAGGGTCTGAAAAATGCGCGGTGATATTTTTATCTTGTAAATGAAAGTGAAATTGCGCGGTAGCGATAGCATTGTAAAAATTCTCGAAGATAGTCATATTTCGATCTGAGGTAAAAGTTTTGTTGCTCGTCACTATCAACGTATGTTGTACCAAATTATTTAAGTTTCTAAAAGTACGAAATTTGAGTTGTTCCAGTCCTTGTCATCCGGGTTAAGTGCTTGTGCAGTGAGCACATGCTTGTTGACTGTAGACTTGAATGAATTTAAGAATTTGTCTTGTAGGTAAGTCGTGACGTATTTTATGTCCTTGTTAATAAAGTTTACCGTTTTGTTATATAACTTAGGCCCAATATAAGAAATGTTCTTGTCTGAATTACATAAACGGTTAAATGGTACTGCAAAGAACTTAGGTTCTCTTCTAGGTGCGTTTAAGTTTGAAAAAGTGAACATTCTTATTATATTTGGTGGTGCAGTGTTAGAATATACTTTGTGCATTAAGCTATTAAGCATAATATACATTTAGCTATCACGTTCGGTAAAGCTTATACTTCTAGTTTATTGAAAATTTTCTTTGTGTGTGAAGGTGTACTGTTCAGATCTTTGTCATAAAAATAGCGGTGGTATTGGTTGTCTGCAGCGCAAATGCCCTTTTTCTGGGCCGAGAAGACTCTTTTAACGGAGTTTAGTGATATTGTTCCCCAAACTGTGCAGCAATAGTACAAGTGAGACTGAACAAAGCTGTTGTATATCAACTTAAGTGCTTTGTTAGGTACTGAGCCTTTGAGTTTGTAGAGAATGCCCGCATTTCTAGATACTTTAGTGGCTAAATGTCTAATGTGGTGGGCCCAATTTAGCTTGGTATCAATGATCACGCCAAGAAACTTTTCGTGATCACTTTGCTTTAATCGTTCACCTCCCATGTAGATTTCTATATCCTCAGTTTTCTTATTTGTAAAGATCATATATTTAGTTTTGCTAGCATTTAATTTAAGCCCGTTATTAGTAGCCCAATCAATTATCAAAGTCAGAATCTCATTCACCATTGCATTAAGTCGTTCAAATGTATCTGTACTTATTATTAGGTTTGCGTCGTCAGCGAAATAAATATTTTTAGCTAAATTACTAATCTGAGGAATGTCGTTGATGTAAATTATGGACAGAATTGGTCCAAGAATGGAGCCCTGTGGAACTCCGTAGTTAAGTTTAAGGTGAGAGGACTTGCAGTTGTTGACGCTCACGTATTGCTCTCTATCGGTAAGATATGAGTCTAACCAAGATAAAGCCAACCCCCGAACTCCATAGTGCTCAAGTTTTCTTAAAAGGATACTTCTGTCAACCATGTCAAAGGCCTTGCTGTAGTCCAAAAGAAGCAGCGCTGTGACCTGCTTTCTTTCTAGTGCCCTTTGGATATGGTTTTGGGCTTCTAGTAAAGCATGTTCGCAGCTATGCCCAGCCCGAAATCCGTATTGATCTGAGTCAAATAGGATTTTCTCTGTCTTTAAGTGATCTAATAGTCAAAAATTTTTGAGAAACTTCCAGTATGATTTAAAGTGTTTTTTAAAGTATTTGAACAAGCTTAACAAGTATTGTGTAAATTATTAATATATAAATATAAAGTATATAAAGTAAGTCCATATAAAGCTTAACAAGTATTAAAGTATTAAGCTTGAGAATGCAAGTTATCTCAGCGAAAAATTTATTTCAGCAAAAATTCAAGTAGAAAGAAAAAATTCTCCGTAAAACGTATAAAATGATAAAGATTGTGGGTAGAATATAATATGGAGTATACTATATATGTAAATATGCGCGAAATATATATGTAGAATAATAGAATGTGTAAGATTAGTAAGTGTATTCACTAACCTTAGTACAGTCTCCTTCCAGCTGATATAAAAGAACCGTTAGACGAGATGGTTGCTCTGATGGGAGGTAAAGTTAAAGTTCTCAGACTCGACCAGAGGTCCGGACTCATTAAAGCTAGGATGGCTGGTGCTGCTTACAGTACTGGAGAGGTACTTTCACTTTCACTTTCACTTTCACTTTCGCAAACCTATTTATAAGTATCATATCTGTGCATTAAACATCCTCTTTTTTCTTGTTCCTTCTATATTCTCAAAATGTGTTTGTGGAGCTGAAGGGAGTGCAAAGAATTATAAATTAGAGCCGTTCCACTTACACACTTACCTTACATAAAATTACAATATACTGTATTAAAATACTCACTACTCTCAATTCTCTCAATTCTCTCCTACATTGAACCTTTAGTAGATGTAACCCTCCTTTAGTAGATGTAACCCTCCTTTAGTAGATGTAACCCTCCTTTAGTAGATGTAACCCTCCTTTAGTAGATGTAACCCTCCTTTAGTAGATGTAACCCTCATTTAGTAGATGTAACCCTCCTTTAGTAGATGTAACCCTCATTTAGTAGATGTAACCCTCCTTAAGTAGATGTAACCCTCCTTTAGTAGATGTAACCCTCCTTTAGTAGATGTAACCCTCCTTTAGTAGATGTAACCCTCCTTTAGTAGATGTAACCCTCATTTAGTAGATGTAACCCTCCTTAAGTAGATGTAACCCTCCTTTAGTAGATGTAACCCTCCTTAAGTAGATGTAACCCTCCTTTAGTAGATGTAACCCTCCTTTAGTAGATGTAACCCTCCTTTAGTAGATGTAACCCTCCTTTAGTAGATGTAACCCTCCTTTAGTAGATGTAACCCTCCTTTAGTAGATGTAACCCTCCTTTAGTAGATGTAACCCTCCTTTAGTAGATGTAACCCTCCTTTAGTAGATGTAACCCTCCTTTAGTAGATGTAACCCTCCTTTAGTAGATGTAACCCTCCTTTAGTAGATGTAACCCTCCTTTAGTAGATGTAACCCTCCTTTAGTAGATGTAACCCTCCTTTAGTAGATGTAACCCTCATTTAGTAGATGTAACCCTCCTTAAGTAGATGTAACACTCCTTTAGTAGATGTAACCCTCCTTTAGTAGATGTAACCCTCCTTTAGTAGATGTAACCCTCCTTTAGTAGATGTAACCCTCCTTTAGTAGATGTAACCCTCCTTTAGTAGATGTAACCCTCCTTTAGTAGATGTAACCCTCCTTTAGTAGATGTAACCCTCCTTTAGTAGATGTAACCCTCCTTTAGTAGATGTAACCCTCCTTTAGTAGATGTAACCCTCCTTTAGTAGATGTAACCCTCCTTTAGTAGATGTAACCCTCCTTTAGTAGATGTAACCCTCCTTTAGTAGATGTAACCCTCCTTTAGTAGATGTAACCCTCCTTTAGTAGATGTAACCCTCCTTTAGTAGATGTAACCCTCCTTTAGTAGATGTAACCCTCCTTTAGTAGATGTAACCCTCCTTTAGTAGATGTAACCCTCCTTTAGTAGATGTAACCCTCCTTTAGTAGATGTAACCCTCCTTTAGTAGATGTAACCCTCCTTTAGTAGATGTAACCCTCCTTTAGTAGATGTAACCCTCCTTTAGTAGATGTAACCCTCCTTTAGTAGATGTAACCCTCCTTTAGTAGATGTAACCCTCCTTTAGTAGATGTAACCCTCCTTTAGTAGATGTAACCCTCCTTTAGTAGATGTAACCCTCCTTTATTTTCAGGTCCTAGTTTTCTTTGATGCGCACATTGAGTGCTCACACGGGTGGGCGGAGCCTATGATGGAGAGAATTTATCACGATCCTTCTACTGTTGTGTGTCCTTGTATTGATATTATCAAGGTAATTAGTGTAATTAGTAATTACTGTTGTGTGTCCTTGTATTGATATTATCAAGGTAATTAGTGTAATTAGTAATTACTGTTGTGTGTCCTTGTATTGATATTATCAAGGTAATTAGTGTAATTAGTAATTACTGTTGTGTGTCCTTGTATTGATATTATCAAGGTAATTAGTGTAATTAGTAATTACTGTTGTGTGTCCTTGTATTGATATTATCAAGGTAATTAGTGTGTCCTTGTATTGATATTATCAAGGTAATTAGTGTAATTAGTAATTACTGTTGTGTGTCCTTGTATTGATATTATCAAGGTAATTAGTGTGTCCTTGTATTGATATTATCAAGGTTATTAGTGTAATTAGTAATCACTGTTGTGTGTCCTTGTATTGATATTATCAAGGTAATTAGTGTAATTAGTAATTACTGTTGTGTGTCCTTGTATTGATATTATCAAGGTAATTAGTGTAATTAGTAATTACTGTTGTGTGTCCTTGTATTGATATTATCAAGGTAATTAGTGTAATTAGTAATTACTGTTGTGTGTCCTTGTATTGATATTATCAAGGTAATTAGTGTAATTAGTAATTACTGTTGTGTGTCCTTGTATTGATATTATCAAGGTAATTAGTCAATTAGTCAATTAATCAGACGATTAGTTAAACAATGTTATAATTTTCTGATATAGTCTGACTTGAAGAATGTAATAGAAACGTTGGTTAGCAGTGAACACAATATTATGATCGTTCACTGTACACACTGGTTAAGGGGACATACACCAAAAGCTTTTATGCCCTGGCCCTGCTGTTAACGTCATATTAAGAAAGTATACATAAAAACAATAAGATTTGATACATTAAAAATTATTTTTGAGGACCCGCACTTTCGAAAAAATAAATATTTTCTTTTTCGAAAATTTTAGAAATTTTGAGAAGTCTGTCACTGTAATACCGATATTTCAGTCATTTTAAACGTTTATTGACTGATTTTTTAACTGAACATTATTTACAATTCGTACAAGAAGCCCTTCAAAGGATTTTATAATTAAAATATAGATGACGAAGTTACAGGCCAAACAAGGTCGAGAGAAGCAAAATTGAAATTTTTGTAAAAATCAAAGTTGTATATTTTACCATTCACCCAGGTCATAAGATATCGCTTCAAAAATTCTTGTGAGTGTAGCTGATGATCATATCCAACTTTTTGGAACAGGATTTCTCTCAATTTTGAGTTTTAAAATTTAAGGTATGAAATGTGGCCTCAAACGACTTAGTAAAATTCATCGTAAAAAGGGCCAAACATGGCAGATTTAAGGCTTAAAATGCCTATAACTCAAAAAGTATCAGTTTTTTTGAAATAATTAATTAATTTAATAAATAATAAAGACTTCTCAAAATTTTCAAAATTTTCGAAAAAGAAAATATTTATTTTTTCGAAAGTGCGGGTCCTCAAAAATAATTTTTAATGTATCAAATCTTATTGTTTTTATGTATACTTTCTTAATATGACGTTAACAGCAGGGCCAGGGCATAAAAGCTTTTGGTGTATGTCCCCTTAATGATATGATGAGCTGTAATCCAGTGGGCAGCGATTGTTATCATTTTCACTGGAATGGTTCTCAAATTTCACCAAACATTACACGGTTACTTTACCGTTAATATATGAGACTCAGGACCCAGTACTCAATGTGCATATTGTATTCTTCTATTCATTAGAATCGATATCATTTGGGAATTCGCTTTTACTACTAGCAGGACTATTTTACACCACACAATGCAAAAATGGACACACTGCATTTATGTTAAGTTATGGTATAATAACTCCTCGACTAAATGTCACTTTGAGAGCTTGGCAAATGTTAAATAAGATTGAAGAATATAATGAAATAGAATATGATAAAATGCATAAATCATGATAGCCTACGTCAACAGTAGTAGCCTTCATCAACAGTCTAAAAGGGAGATAAAATTCACAACTTATTTGATAGCTAAATCAAAACCATATTTCGGGAGCAATCGATAACCAATTCAAGCTCAAATTTTAATAAAATAATGTACACTATGAATTATATTTAATTATTAATAATTCCCCCCTTAAATTCCAGCACGACACGATGGAGTACCCCAACAATGCCCAACAAGAGATACAGAAAGGAGGGTTCCACTGGGGCCTCATTTACAAGTGGATACCTCTTAATGCTACTCAGCGAGCACTAGGAATAACCGCACCCCAGGCGTACGTTAATTTTACACTGCTGTACTTTTATAACTCATATTATCAGGTTTTTCTGGAACATTTGAAATGGAGATTATGGAAAAATCAAAGTAGCAGCAGTAAGACAGATAATTAAAAATAATGATGATGTGTTATAATTTATCTTATAATTAAATATCTTATAAATTACAAACCCCAGGTCTGCCACAATGGCTGGAGGACTGTTCGGTATAGCTCGGGACTATTTCTACCAACTTGGCACTTACGACGAGGACATGAAAATCTGGGGCGGTGAAAATCTCGAGATATCTTTCAGGGTACGTAATACATACTATTATAATGCATTTTACACATAATTGGGCTGCAGTAGACGGTCTGTATACTGTACATTTGTCCAGTTCAGAACATAAATCAATCATTACTTTAAATTTATGTGATATACTGACAAATGGAAAGTACAGCGCTGCTAACATGCCATATCATTACATATCATTACACCCATATCATTACACTACAGTGATTAGCAGCAACACACGCTCCAACGAATTGTAAGATTTCACACAAAAATTCAAATTCTGCACGGCATAACTTCACACTTAAGGTATTCTGAAGTACATTACTTCATTCTTTTAGGTATTTAGGGTTTAATTCTTATCTTTAATTCGTCTTGTTCTCACTTTCGTAGCTCTCAGACCTTGTACCTACATTTTGGGTCCATCAAATTACAGTAATTAAATTTTGGTATACCACATATTTTGGCGTAAAGATTTTAAAATGTATTTGAGAAGCTTCATGTACAAAGGTACGTGACATGCCGTGCTCCACACATTTCTAAAATACTTGTCTCCCTCTCTGGCAACGCATTGTAAAGGTTGTGATATTGTCTCTCTCCCTCTCTGGCAACACATTGTAAAGGTTGTGATATTGTCTCTCTCCCTCTGTGGCAACACATTGTAAAGGTTGTGATATTGTCTCTCTCCCTCTCTGGCAACACATTGTAAAGGTTGTGATATTGTCTCTCTCCCTCTCTGGCAACACATTGTAAAGGTTGTGATATTGTCTCTCTCCCTCTCTGGCAACACATTGTAAAGGTTGTGATATTGTCTCTCTCCCTCTCTGGCAACACATTGTAAAGGTTGTGATATTGTCTCTCTCCCTCTCTGGCAACACATTGTAAAGGTTGTGATATTGTCTCCCTCCCTCTCTGGCAACACATTGTAAAGGTTGTGATATATTGTCTCTCTCCCTCTGTGGCAACACATTGTAAAGGTTGTGATATTGTCTCTCTCCCTCTGTGGCAACACATTGTAAAGGTTGTGATATTGTCTCTCTCCCTCTCTGGCAACACATTGTAAAGGTTGTGATATTGTCTCTCTCCCTCTCTGGCAACACATTGTAAAGGTTGTGATATTGTCTCTCTCCCTCTGTGGCAACACATTGTAAAGGTTGTGATATTGTCTCTCTCCCTCTCTGGCAACACATTGTAAAGGTTGTGATATTGTCTCTCTCCCTCTCTGGCAACACATTGTAAAGGTTGTGATATTGTCTCTCTCCCTCTGTGGCAACACATTGTAAAGGTTGTGATATTGTCTCTCTCCCTCTCTGGCAACACATTGTAAAGGTTGTGATATTGTCTCTCTCCCTCTCTGGCAACACATTGTAAAGGTTGTGATATTGTCTCTCTCCCTCTGTGGCAACACATTGTAAAGGTTGTGATATTGTCTCTCTCTGGCAACACATTGTAAAGGTTGTGATATTGTCTCTCTCTGGCAACACATTGTAAAGGTTGTGATATTGATGACACTACTTGTAGGGTATCTCCGTGTCAAAATCAGGGTCCTCACTACAACAACACTCCTATTACTTATACACTGTACACCTTATACACTGTACACTTTATACACTGTACACCTTATACACTGTACACCTTATACACTGTACACCCGACACCATTCCTTACTACTTCATACGTCAGTCAACATGTACATTGTACACTAGATACCATATAACCGCACCTTTACTGTAAGTTTTTAACAGACAGATCTCATCAGCTGTCTCCACCAATTTGCTCCGTAATCAGTTAATTAGCCGTTAATTAGGTAATTAATTTCAGATATGGATGTGTGGTGGAAGGTTGGAGATTGTGCCTTGTTCCCGGGTCGGGCATTTGTTCCGAGTTAAGAATCCGGTGTCTTTTCCAGATGGTTCGGATACGGTGTCACGTAATACTAGACGTCTAGCCGAGGTTAGTGTATAACACTTTATAAAAATCGAGATGACCCTAATACATGGTAACTAATCTATATTATATCTCAAATTCTACATCCGGTACGGCTCTGTACACATGATATCTCTCTCTGCCATGAAACATGGCTAACCTTTTAAACTATGATTTAAAACCTAAACCTAAACTAAAACTCAACTGGGCTCTCCTGTAGCTGTGTCACCAAACTAAAGTGTATAACACTTTACACTTTACACACTATCTTGTAATATGGGAGGATCAGATACGATTAATGTATATCCTGACAAGTTTAAGCTTTTGATTTAGGGTATTGAGGGTGCGGTGGGGGCAGGAGGTGGGTTTGGGGAAAGTATAATGATTTATTTTGTTACAATACCTATTATGATGATTACATTATGCTGGAATAGAAGCGATATCCAGATATCCTGTAACAGTACGTGTTATTCAGGTTTGGCTAGATGACTACAAAGAATACTACTACGATATACAAGGTGGAAAAGGAAGGGACTTTGGCGACGTCAGCGCTAGAAAGCACCTCCGAGATCGACTGCAATGCAAGGACTTTAAATGGTATGTTAGAGGCGACGACTCCCTTATTAGGGTATTCCACTGTCACGTGACTCCCTTATTAGGGTATTCCACTGTCACGTGACTCCCTTATTAGGGTATTCCACTGTCACGTGATGGTAGCTTTGTTTGCTGGCCGCAGTGACCACACCTGAAATACGAACTGTTGAATACTGTACTACTGCGCAATCTCTTGTCCAGTTTAGAAACTTAGTTGGGAATAAATTGATCCGAAAGTTATTGATCAGTTGCTGATAGCCGTGATTGACAATTATTGATTTGAATGAAGCTGATGGTCAGAAAGTTTGGTGGTTATGACTTCTGATTTGGTTTATTATGTAAGCTGCTTCTGAGTGTTAAAGTGTATTGTATAGAAAGTGTATTTAACAGCTGTAAGTGTACAGTTATTATTGTCGTAATGATGACTAAAGGAGTAGACTGTTCAATTGATAAAATTCGTTATCGCTAATTCATATACACCATGTGATTAGTGATAATGAATCTTATCAATTAACACACTGTATATAAGTGGTAATTTGACCCGGTCCTGACTTTAACCACTCTACAAAAACTGGAGAAAGTACATCTACTCTCCAGCGCTTTTGCAACCCAGCAGCTACCCAAAATATACAGCAGACTTCAAGTCTACCCCCCATGTCAACATCTTCAAACTAACTCCTAAAATAGAACTTCGCTCCACCACTTACGAAATGATGCATTACGTGGTTCCAGCCCCTAATAGCAACACTTTCCCTCCCCGTAATGCTGCATTACGTGGCCCCAGCAGCCCCTAATAGCAACACTTTCGCTCCCCGACCCAGGACCCCTAATCTCGTAAAATATATATCCAAATAATGGGTATTATTCGCTTTTAACTCAAACAGTTACCACTTTTTTACTTTTATGATTCAGCTAAGTGATGCAAACTCGCCACCCGGTGACATGCCGAGGAGCCCCATTAACAAGCATCAAACAGAATCACACAATTCTCAATTCTTCTTTCTCCTCTCTCTCCGTGCTTGCAAAATATATATGATACACTAATACTGTATTTTAGAACACTGTCCGTACACATAGTTTGATGTGCGGTAGATAGTGTCAGGGAAAGATCTGAGAGATTAGAATTAGATTGATGGTAAACCAATGGGACTAAGTTTTAAATGTTGTTAAATCTACAAAATATACAGAAAACTGAAACGACTTAGCCCTTACAATTATATGGCGAGTATTCGAATTTCTTATATAATATATAATTGTAAGGAAAATAAAATCCCAAGTGACATTGTCTGGAATATCCATAAGGGAGTCACACGATTGTGTTATATCTCAATTATATTAGGGACGGTTCACATATTATTACGTCAGCAAGATAGTGTAGTTGTTAGTCTCCTCCGGCCTGTCAGTGACGTCACTAAAATAGTGACGTCACCAAGTTTACAGATAGCGTTTGTGTAGAAATAACAATGTCGTCAGCATGTTTATGACGCATACGTCATGATAATATGTAGACATTTTCTAAATCGTACATTATTTTCAGGTTTGTTAACAGCGTTTATCGAGAATTGGTTGTTCCTGATGACTCCAACTATGCGCTTGGTTCCGTGAGTAAAATTACAACTTTAACTTTATTTAACTTTATTTAACTTTATTTAACTTATTTAACTTATTCAACTAAAGTTCAAATAATAAAATTTTTAATTTTCGCCCTGTAGGAACTGAGTAACAGTAGGTTTTCCAAGCGAACGTGAAATAAAGTTTATATAACATCTCTACTATAATTCAGAGAATTGTTTCTGCTGTCTGTACGACCGCCCACGTGCAAATCAAACGAAAAATATGAACTTTCGTAGTAACCATGGTAACGAGGGTTATTAAGTTGTTACACGCACGTGCAAAGATTGTAAAAACGGAATTTTTATCGGTTTTGGTGATACTACGTTGTGTTTAGTGCGAGAAACTTTTTAATCGGCTGTATCTTCGGTTGTGTATTGACGCGATTTAAACTTACTAACAAAAAATACTATTAGCTTCCTCCCAGTGACCACGGGTTTTCTAGTCATCTCTACTATAATCCAGAGAATTCTGTACACTGTACGACCGCCCACGTGCAAATCAGACGAGAAATAGGAAGTTGCGTAGTAACCATAGTAACGAGGATTGTTACACGCACGTGCACGTGCACTGATTGTTTTAATGTCATTTTAATCGGTTTTGTTGATATTACGCTGTGTTTAGTACGAGCAACATTTTATTTGGCTGTATCTTCGGTGGGGATGAATACTTTTTGACACGATTTAAACTGACTTCCAAACAATACTATTAGCTTCCTCCCTGTGACCACGGGTTTTCTAGTCATCAATACTATAATTCAAAGAATTACTTCTGCTGTCTGTACGACCGCCCACGTGCAAATTATATGAGAAATATGAAGTTGCATAGTAACCATGCTAACGAGGGTTGTTACACGCACTTGCACTTGCACTTGCAAGGATTTGAGAGGGGCATTTTGATCGGTTTTTTTGTTATTAGGTGGTGTTCAGTGCGAGCAATATTTCAATTGGCTGTATCTTTGGTTTTGATGGATATTTGTTGATGCTATAAAAACTGACTACCAAAGAATACTATTAGCTTCCTCCCTGTGACCACGGGCTTTCTAGTAATAACATAATGCAGTTTGTCTGTAGCCAAGTTAGAGCATCTACTCAATATTGAATTTAAATCAAGCTGTTTTAAAGTTGCATAGTTTAACTTGAATTAAATGTTATATGTATAATATAGATATCCAGATTGAATTATGTAGTCAGGGAGACAACCTCCGGGGGGGGGGGGGGGGGGGGGGGGGGACCTTGAAGCCTCACTCTAGGAGTATATTCTCCTCGCTTTATTTGTACGCTATCCTATAGCGTGCGTCATGATGTGGATTGTGGATACATACTCAGACAAATACCAAATACCAGACAAGAAATAATACATATTTTGTTCACAATTCACATCCCCAAAACATATTAACCGTATTTTTTTCACATCCCCAAAGCTCCTTATCTAGAATAAACGTTTTCCAAATCTGACCCCGAGTAGCTTTTGTTTGTGTATCATACTGATCTTTGTTTGATTGTGAACTAAGGGGTCATTCAAATATTACGTATTCACCTTTTGGGCAGTTATAAAACTCCCCATTCCGTAGCTGTAATCAGTTTTACACATGGTTATTGTGTTAAAATCTCACTAGCATTATAAATGATAACCCCTCACTCCCCCTCAGTAATTACTTAATTACATAATATGTAAACTGACAATGTAGGGTATACGAGTAGCGTGTTTAAATAACAAGTATATAGACCAGGGTAGTATATACTCAGGGGAGGTAATGAAACAGTGCGAGTTCGAATCCCACTGTCTGCCTGGTCGTGGGGTGAGCGTCGTTGACGTTCAGCTAAGGATCAAGAGTGGTCTATGCAGCCCCCCGGTCTACTCAGCCGAATACTCGAGAAATCGGGTGTGAGGGTTAAATGAGGAGCTGCACATTGCAGCAAAGTCTCGGGCGAAGAAAGTATGGTACACACTACCTTAACCAGGGTGCTACTGTATCTAGAAGTACGTGTCAGGGTAGTGCATTGTAGGGATTTTTGTACGTGATAAATGATAATGCTGGTAATCGTTGTCAGATTGTATTGGCCGCTCTCCTCTGCACTGAGATCAGGAAACATTAAAATTCTCCTTACATTTCATATTATGCTAATGTTATGATAAGTTTAAATGCATTACAGGCTAGGTTCTATATAAGCCACTGTGATACATACTCTGTAACTCTCTATTTTATTTGTCAACACTGTAAATACGTGGTTAGTAGTTGGGGTTTATATCCACGTCCACTACCGCTAGTACAGATGGGCGGTGCACGGCTCCTACCAAATCTGCAGAGTATTAAAAGAGCGGGAAATTCGAGGTAGTGGTACACCTCAGTATGTATATGGGATAAGATTGGGTTTAAATATAGGATTATCAGTTAACAATGATCTGTGAACATACCTTCAAATCTGCTTGGAAACCCCCCGGTATTCTGAAATACATATTTATATCGAGTCCGTATATAATATAAAATATTATATGTAGTCCGTATTACAATTTCCATATTTCATCATCACTATAGGTAATCTACACGTAATATTTTAGTTATGTCATGTTGAATAAATTTTAGAGTTACATCTTTGCATGATAACTCAATCCTAGTCGTGGAATAAGATTTATAGCTTTTAAATTTAAAAAGCCATTAATAAGCACACGACTTTGGAATTGAAGTTATCAAAAGGGAATTTTCCATGAAGTGAGACTATTGAAGATTATCTGCCTTAAATGAATATATAATGACCTTCCAGTAGTCAATTAGTAAATCAATCACCAAATTAGCTTATTAATTAACTAATTAACTAATTAACTAATTAACTAATTAATTACTTCAGGTACGTAACCCCACATCTAACCTATGCCTGGACGACCTACAGAAACTAGACGATGACAAGGGTGACAAGAAAGTAGGTGTCTACTGGTGTCACGGCCAGGGTGGCTCTCAGTTCTTTATCTTCTCCAAGGACTATGAGCTTGTGGCGCTGCGCAAGAACGACTATTGTTTGGATAATAGTAACTACGCGCCCGGGGCAACTCTTGAGTGGTATCCGTGTCATAAGATGGGCGGGAATCAACTCTGGACCTTCAAAACACAGGTGTGATACAGTAACGGTTTTTTAATTGAAAGTGTAGTCGGTTGTTTATTTCAATTAGTATAACTGGTTATGATGCAGGAAGTATGATTACGAAATGATTTAAACAGAACTTATCATTTCGTAAAAGAGGATTGTAAGTTTTGCGCAATCTAAAAAGTTTTGTAGTTTGTAATTGTAATAACATCTAGATCTGTAATTTGTAATTGTAACAACACGATAACATTTTTCAGACTAAAGAGCTGATACACGTGCCGAGCAATAATTGCCTGGACGCGCGAGGCCTCAAAGCCAAGGACTTAGTTAAGCTTAACCCCTGTGATGGGTCTCTGGGTCAACAATGGGAGTTTAGTAAGGTCAGTCTCTCTCTTTTATTTGTTACAGCCTGGTTGTTAGAATCAGGTTGCAGCTGTGGTGCTGCTTAAACCACATACCAACATACCAACATACCAACATACCAACTCCTTTCACAACTCTGTTTGTTAAATAACATAGTTACAGTACTGTTTAAATGTTTACTTTTACCCAGATATAAGTCTGGTTAGTGTGGGGTTAAAACTCCCATTTTGGTTGTAATGTGGGTCAACGAAATGTCATTGTGTAAATGTCACTCTACCATTGAGACGTGTACTGGTTCTGTGGTAACAGACACCATGGTTTAACATCTTGGTTTGGTTATAATACCATACATCAGCTGTTGTCACCTTACATTTTGTGTGTAAAGCACCGTGCTTTTAATTAGAAGTGGTTAAAAACTCAACTTTTATAAGAAAGTTGATTAATTTCCACGTGAAAAGCCAGCTCACCAATTTTTTTTCAGGTTTACAGTAAAGAAACGTTATGGAAAAAAGTGAAGTAATAAACATTTAAAAGAGTTTATATATTTTTATAATAAGGTTTATATGATACGATCTGCTAATTGGCTTATTAGTTTAATTGCTAATTAGCTAATTATCTAATTAGTTAACTGTTGTACAGGTCGCCTGTGTATTAAACGATTTTTTCCCGATTTGAGTTGCTGTTTTTTAACGCTGTTGAGTATGTTTTGTTTGATACACTCCAATACTCCGTCATAGTGTCGATGTGAAGTCATTATTGTGACGTCATAATCAAAATGATGACGTCATAATCAAAATGATGAACTGCGTCGACATTATGACATCACACGCATTTCACCAACCATTCACAATCGCATCACTTAAATTTCAAATTATGTATTTAAACCTTTATGCACTTTTAGATAGGGGTTTTTAGTGAGGTCTGTTGCTGTTAAAAGACATTTAAGTTTAATGATTTTTAAAATTTAGAAAAAGGCAGCCTATCGAAGAATCTGGATAACCATGACGATGATATGATTTGATTCTGGGATTTGTGCATCGAATATTTGCTTAAAATAATAAAATGAGTTGTCTGTATTTTTAGTAATCTGTATTTTAGTAAATTATTTGGGAATTCCAAGTTAAATTTTGACATTCCGATAATAAACGACGCCACATGAACGAATCTCCGATAAAATGCAGTTGCAGTGTTTGCGTTTCACTTTTTAAATATAATCTAGCTAAAGGGTTGTAATTTAATTTTCAGCTTCTGGTGTCTTTGATTTCAGTTGCCTTATGATAACTAATAATCGATTATTATTTGTTGAATTAATTAGAAATAATAAATGGATTGTGCTAAAAATTGATAAGGTTTATTAACCCATCCATTAATGGGCTTAATGGTGAAATTATCAAGATCTAGCATACTTTAACTCCGGTGTATGGAGGAAAATCTTTACACAGCACCATGTCATCAATTTAAGAGATTTGATTAGAATTACACCAGCGTTCAGGACGTTGTCACGTCATATTGAGTGGTTGCTTAAATTTTAAAATTTGATGTCCTGATAAATGTGTCAAAAATATTACTTCTGAGCCCAAATTTCCGAAAATAACTCTGAATTCGTGACTGGAGCAACTCTTATAAAGTTAAAATGCGCAGCTCAACTGAGTAATGTCTGGAAGGCGCGGTGCTAATATTTTGACAAAAGCTCCTTCGATCTAGCAGTAAGTATATTACAAATGTCGCGCGCAGCGTGTTAGCGGCATATTCCTTGACACATCGACGAACTTCGGATACATTCCATGCATGCATTGCCTGTAGCTGTGGTTTGAAAGTTAGCAGTTATTGTGTGAGTCCACTCCGCCACTTGCTTCCTACATTCCCCAGAAAGTTTTAAAATAAAGAATCATGGCCACTGTACGCACAATTTTTTGTTGCCTACTGCCTTCGTAAACAGTAAAAGTAGAAGAGTAATGTGACTACCTTGTCAGATACGGTGACTTCCTTGACTACACGGTTACCCATTATCCTTGAGGACCTATCGTGATATCATTGATCAAATTAGTTCGAGCAGGATCTGGTAGTACTAGCCATTCTGCGGCCTGTTTGTTATGTATTTCGCACAACTCTGTGCAAATTAACGAATAAATTACCGACAGGGGGCTCGGGTTAAAACTTAAATGGTTAGAGGATTGGTATTAAAGCTTTTGAATCTCTGTTGCAGTGAAGATAATGTAGCCAAGAAGTATGACCCGGTCGAACCCTTAACGGCATTGTGCACTGATAACCCACCAGTACCACATCAAAGTCCATTAGGGGTCGAGTTCGCATATTACGTAATCACTTGTTGGACAATTTTTACCCCCCTCCCCTCCGTTTAATTAGTTTTACACATAGCTATTGTGTCAAAATTACACTACCCTAGTTTAAGTTATTTGGAAACCCCATCCCCCTCGGCTGATTACGTAATATGAGAACGACCGCTTATTATCGATTATCTTCCTTGCTTTTTATCGATATCATACGGAAATACTTTTTTTTGTGTGGATAAGTTTAATTTTGTGCAAGGTTTGATAAATCTTTATAATATTTTTGTAACCAACGACAAGTAATGAGACGTTTATCAACAAAGGAAAATTGAATTAAGAACATTTTGATGTGCTGATTTTATGGACAAAGCCGAGAATAGAAGACCTATTTAGTATTTATTCAATAAATATCGAAGGAAACACTATACATAGTATGGCAGGAATTTTTAAAAGCATTGTTCTTGAACAAACAGTGAAGTTACGAACAAAATAATTTATTGAAACTACCCCGCGTTCAGCCTTTTACATAATTAAGCTAATTACTAATTGCCAATAGATTCTTCAATCAGGTTCATAAATAGACACTAACAGTATAAATAAAACTAGCAATTATAGAGGTCCTTAGTCCTGGCGTACTGCATATTTACATATTGTTTATTAATTTATTTCCAGTTAAGATTAATAAGCTACAAACAAGTTCATACACAAAACTATTTAAGCAAATGTAATTTCTCAGTATCTGTGTCCTTGTCTGTATCTGCCAGCTATAACTGGTTTGAAGTCGTGAGTCTTGGGCACTTCATCAGTAAACGCCGCACTGAAAATACAGTTCGTCAATACATCGTAATAACAAGACAGATTTGTCAGTAATTTTCATCGTTAAGAATAATTGATAATAGCTATGTATGTCAAATTTAAATGTTGACCTACGCCATAACCGGACACTGATTAGTAAAAACTAGATTGTTGAGGTGGTTTCTACTCACTATGGTGAAATATTGTGGTGGTTTTAAACTAATTTCAACACTACAAATTTATTACATTTATTGAGGACGTTACAGAAGGAATTAGTTTAATGTAGTTGGAGGAGTCCCCACTCTCCTCACGTCCAACAATGGCGTTTCTCTCGTAGCAAATATAAAGGTCTGCGCCGCGTACGTTTATATAGGCGCGCGGCGCAGACTGGAGGAAATTACACTGTGTAAGCTCGATCAGGTGTAATGTAATATTTACGGCTTAAAGGTTTACTTACAATTCAGCCATGAAAGGCTCGAATGTTAACACCTCCGCGTGTTCTCGTTCTATTTGTTTCAGCGTTATTCCTCGCTCTACAACGTTAGCTCGATCCACCATGTTTCGTAGGTAGTAGTCTGAAATGTGTTACAAAGTGAGGGAAAGACACGTGACACGCTATAAACCAATCAGGACGCAGCCAGGAATAATCCTGGTGACGATCGCATTATCGCAGTAACGTATCATAAACTCAGCAATTATCAACCAGCAAAAAAGAATTCATGTAGTAAAGTTCATCCACTAGTCTCTCTTTGGAGCGTATTATGCATTCACCCAAATTTCAGCAAATTATAATTTATTAAACGGTTTATGAGTTTATCGTCAATTCACAGAATTGGCCATGGATTGATTTTTAGTCAAAAAGAAAACTAAGTTTGATAACTTACACAGCCAAAATATTCCGAAAAATCCAATAGCAGTTTGGAAGATCGTACTCTTGTTCCATTCAAACGTGGAATCTAAATTTTCTCTCGAAATAAACCACCTGAAAACGAATGATAATGTCAAATTCATGTAAAGAAGATGATAAAGCTTTTCATTAGATACCTCTTCAAAAAGGATGAATCATAACCATCACTTAGGCTTTTTGTACTACCATAAAGGATAGAAACAGTATTTATATTTATAAAGCTTAACTTTGTGAAAATAAAATAACCATGTAACCATGTTATAAACATCACCACATATTTAGATGGATTAAAGTTTAAACATTGAAATACCAACATACCTATCATGGGCTGGGTCCATAAGACGATGCTGACTGTCGTGACGCCACACGTCCATGTTATGGTAAGCCTGAAATATTGCGGAGTTAGAATTAGATAAAATAATTATTTGGTACAACAGCGTGTTATGATACAGAATAACTTAGACTAACCTGCTATAATAGACCAAAATTGGCAAATTTTATTACAATGAAAAGTTTTAGAAATGTTTATGTGGTGCCGAGTAAATTAGAATTGAAACATCACAAAAAATCGAAAATTAACATTTCTGCTACAGAATGGAGTATGAAGAATAACCTTCGTTGAAACTTACCGGAGAAACTTTTTCTCCTCTCTTGTTGATATATTGGTTCCGCGCACGTGCATGCAACGTGTTCGTCACACGTGCAAGGGTCACGTGCGTAAATCTCATGACCTAATAAGGGAGCAAAATTAAAATTTTGAAAATTTGATTTTACACGCTCTTGGAATACATTTCCATCGTTTAATGATTATAACCAGTCAAAATTAACTTGATCTGATACTCTGGATAATATTCATTTGGCAAGAAATATAGAGCGAAAAAGTATCAGTATTTCGAATATGTAAATTATCTGCGAATGATACCTAAAGAAGGAGTTGAAATTTAAATACAAATACGTACAAATATTGTAAGATAGTTAAAACGCGTTCCAGATCTTTTCAATTTTGTAAATTAAGGGTTGAAGAATGTAAGAATATTTTATGAAACCCAGGCCCAGCACGCAGAAAGGTTTACTTTCAAACATTTATTTTCAGCAAGCGATGCATGGGAAGAAATGAGATACTTAACTCGCTTATAAATACATAGTTAAAATTTATTTAATTAAATCCGACATATTAATTAAATTAATTAAAACAGTGGCAAATCTTCACTCGAATGCCATCTTGAAGTTCTTCTCCTGTTCCCGTTTTTTAACGTCGCACAGCAGGCTGACATCCTCCACACGTTTCTGTAGCACTATGGAATGTTGATCTATCCACACTAGTGCGTCCATGTGCATGTTTAGAATTTTAGATATCTGGAGGGAATATTTCTAGATTAATCACTGAAGGAGACGATAGGACAAACAAACAAACAAACAAACAAACAAACAAACAAACAAACAAACAAACAAACAAACAAACAAACAAACAAACAAACAAACAAACAAACAAACAAACAAACAAACAAACAAACAAACAAACAAACAAACAAACAAACAAACAGCTCCTCATTACCTGGTACATTGGATTATTCTCGTCCTGGTTGCTAGAGTTGACTGAGTTGAGGTGTTCTATAACCTCCGTCACGTCCCCTGACATCTGCTGTAATTGTCCGTCTATGTGTTCTGCCAAGGAGTAGGTCTTTTCTCGCTCGTTATCCGAGTACTGGTTGTTTAATGACACTCCTGAGGACAACCTTGTTAACTGCGTCATTTGTATGAATGATTTGTAAACTTGATCAGTTAGATTGGACTAGAAAGATCATGTGATTCGGACATTTATTGAGACAATCATCATATCAATTATATAATGAGGTAACCATCCAACTTCAAATGTTATGTGCTACACTAGAAAATAGTATAACACGGAAGTAAATTACAGTTAATTAGATAAAGAAGGAATAAAACCTGCAGATTTAATCTTCTCCTCGAGAGGTTGGAGCATGTCTTCCAACTCCTGCTGTTGAGATGAGATAAAGTCCAGGTCGTGGTTTAGCCGCTGCTGATCTGCTCGCACTTTTTCTACTTCGTTATTTAAATCTGAAAGATGGGTCACTAAGAGGGATAATGTTCACTGACTCACTTTTAATTCCATTTAAGTTAGATTTGGTCCTAATTTTGTGATCAACCGGTTTTGTCTTGCTTTTGGTATCTGTCATATACTGATTCCTTCCTTCACCTCTTTACGTTACGTTCCAGTTACATGTCAAGCGTTGCTGTCAAATCAAGAAAATCCTCTAGTTAACAGTTTAATAAGTACTAATAAAATACAAACTAACCTAGAACTTGTTCAGCGTTGCTCATCAGCAACTTTAATAAAACACAAACTAACCTAGAACTTGTTCAGCGTTGCTCATCAGCAACTTTAATAAAACACAAACTAACCTAGAACTTGTTCAGCGTTGCTCATCAGCAACTTTAATAAAACACAAACTAACCTAGAACTTGTTCAGCGTTGCTCATCAGTAACTTGTCCCACTGGTTCACTTGGTTAGCTTGTCTCATGAACATCTGCTCCTGTTCCTCCAGATCCACACTCCACTTGTTTATCAGCTCCTCTATCTGCACATTAGTAGGGTAATTTGAGTTAATTAGGGATAATTAATGATTAGTTTAATTAACTAATTAGGACAATTAATTGAGCTGACAAAGAGTATTATCTCCATATAAAATCACTGACCTGTTTATACGAGTAGGATGAAGTAGTAGTCGCGGTGGCGGCTGCTGGTGCGGTCGTGCTTGCTATCGCTGTAATTATGAAATTATTATGTAATTATGAAAAACATTAATGTTTGTAATTATGAAAAACATTCTTTAATCAGAGAAAATAATGAAGTATTACATGAGTTCCCCGCCATTTTATAGGGGGAGTATTGGGTCAGGCTATACTGTGCTTACATTGTGTAAATTTATGCTCAACCCAAGTGAATCCATACTAAGTCTATCAATTTTCATCAGCAGTGGTAACAAACATTAACGATTTTGAACATCAAACAGAATCATTTAAAAGCTCCAAAACTCCCAACAGATAACGTACATGTGGTACCACCGAGACTGAGGCCAGTAGAAGCAGGAGCTGCACTGGTGGTGGTTCCTCCTAACTTAAACCCGGTACTGAGGAGAGAGGAGGAGCCGGTGGTGGTGGTTGAGGTGCTGGCAGGACCTGCGGAGGAAGCTCCCAGTAGTCCACCGCCTGTGGAGTGTGGTCATAAATTTTGGATGACGGAGTTGTATGAAAATTATGATATTCCGGTAACAGAAGCAATGTTCAAAAATTAACGTTAAAATCTCGCATTAAACCATGATAACGAACATCAGTCAATTCTCCAGATTTACGGTATGTTCTACTTCCTTACCTTTTACCACGGCTACTGGAACCGAACAGTTCTGAGTATAATGAACTTCAATAAGACTCACCTAATGAAGGAGTAGCAGTGGTGGCAGCAGAAGATAACCCCCCAAACAAGGATTTAGTAGTCGCAGCACTTGCCGTCACCGCGGCAGCTGTACTAGTTCCCCCAAACATAGACCCTGCAGTAGAGGCTGCTGTTCCAAAGGAGAGAGCTGGTTTTGCAGTGGGAGCTGCAGCAGTACCCCCAAAAAGGGAGGTAGTCCCGGGTGTGGCTGAGGGTGCTGTAGCGGGATTGTATGATAGGTTACCAAAGAGGGATGGAGTGCTGGTTGCTGCTGTTGGGGCGGCGGGGGCAGTTCCTCCAAAGAGGCTTGGTTTTGCTGTTCCTCCTCCTGAATAAAAGAGAAGATCAGTGAAAGTAGATACTTAAAGTCGCAAAAAAAGGTCTGCGATGCACCTGACATGAATTAGAATAAATTGACAGCACTGTTAAGTTAACGTCCAAGTAACTAAAATGTAACTCACCAAAGAGGGGTGTGCTAGCTGCTGGTGCACCGGTCGTAGCACCGAACAAAGATGTTCCACCTGCAGCTAGAAATAGGATGATATTAGTGTTGTTGGATTGTAAGTAAAAATCTTGAGTCTCATACTTAAATTAATATCAACAGTTGGTTTTAACCATCAACAACGATATTCGTAGTCGTCAAATCTTTGATTTAATTTAACTCCGTGTATTTTTTGAACTACTGTCTATCCCGCTACTTTATCACGAAAACTTCAATCACAAATAATATTTGAGAGAAGAGAAACGCCATCTATCTTAGGACGCGAGGAGAGTTAGACTCCACAGACTACATAAAATCAATTCTTATAATCGTATTTATTTTATTATTATATTATGACGCAGTGAAACTATCAATATATTGGGACTTACCACCCCATGGCAACATTAAAATACATTGACTCTATTACATCCCTGTTAATATATGATTTTGTAATGTATGGTCCTGTTAATATATGATTTTAGTTTTATTTAACGGTGGTCCAACATCTACTGATTAAGATACCTGATGAAATGTCCTGAATCTTATTACTAGTGGCAGTAAAGTGATAACTTTCGGTGCGTCAATATTAACAGTTACAAAAATGACAGTATCGTTTTCAGGGAGCGGTAAATACTAAATTGTGGAATTTAAAGTTATAACCTTGGTTATCAAATGCTTTTTAGGTACCTAACAGGTTGTTTTCAAAAATAAGACCAGATGATGAAAAGCTGCCATTAACAACAATAATGAAAATCGCGCAGTGCGCGCGAAAACAAGAGCCCTTTTGTACACAAGTGTTAAATTGATTCGCGTCGTTTGTCGAAGGAGAATTATATAGCAATTCGGAGATTCCCTCATCTCTGTTGAAGGATGGAATCTATGAAGGATCTCTTCATACTGATAACTAGTACTTATCAGAAAACATATAAAGCGTCGAGCAAGTGCAAATTGGTAAATGACAAATCTTTTAAGTTAAGCTCTTGATTTTGTAATGTATGATCCTGTTAATATATGATTTTGTAATGTATGATCCTGTTAATATATGATTTTTACTCACCAGCAGGTGTACCAAAGAGTGATGGTGTACCAGCAGCAGGAGGTTTAGCACCACCAAACAGGTTACTAGCTCCCCCCGTGTTTCCAAACAGAGACATTCTTTATTCTAATGGTTGTTGTTATGGTTATTAAATATGTAAGATTGAATTCCTTGGATGAATAAAATGGTAAATTGTTTTATTTATAGAAGTTATAACGGAATTAAGCCGCTTCGTAGAGTCCTTTTATCTATTAAGACAGGTATTAACTTTATAATCCCTCTCTTTGCACACAAAGATCAAAGTTTTTCAATTTGTCCCCATGGCCCAGACATAAAGAGGACTCTCTAGTTTTATTTAACGGTGGTTCAACCATTCTACTGATTAAGATGACCTGATGAAAAGTACCTGAATCGTATTACCTAGTGGCAGATCAAAGATGATAACTTTCCGGTGCGTCAGATATTTAATCAGTTCACCAAAAATGAACAGTATCGTTTTTCAGGGAGCGGTAAATACTAAATTGTGGTAATCTTTAACAGTTATATAACTTGGTTATCAAAATCTAGTAAGTAACCTACACAAGGTTGTTTTCAAATTAAGACCAGTGCATGAAAAGCGGTGCCATATAACAACAAATAAATAAAATCGCGCAGTGCGCGCGAAAACAAGAGCCCTTTTGTAACTAAAGTGTCTAAATTGATTCGCGCGTTCCGTCGAAGGAGAATTATTATAGCCAGATTCGGAGATTCCCCATTCCATCTTTGTTGAAGGATGGAATCCTATTGAAGGACATCTCTACTCTATACTGATAACTTAGTACTTACCAGAAAAACAATAAAAGCGTGAGCATGGCAAATGTGGTAAAAAAACGACAAATCTTTTAAAATTACAGCTCATTTACATTTTACACCGTACAATACAAATCAAGGTAAAATTGATTACATATGAAACGATAAAACCATTAAAATCATTCACTGCAAGACTGTTCGCATACCTAATAAAACCTATTTTTAAACATTTAAAAAATCATAATCAAAATACACAACTGTCACCTACAAAAATAAATCACGATACTACAGGTATAAAACTATAAATCATACAAGGTTATAGGATTATAGTACCATAAGCACATTATAGTTCTATAATGTACTTATGGTACGGCACAAGACAACAGTCTTGGGAATATCTTCTGACCAAGATTTTGAGTAAAATTTTAAGTAAAAGTCCTTTAAAACTAAATAAAAGGTTAACATGAAAGGAAGAACATGCAAATACCCAATGCTGAAACAGTTCTTGTCCAAAAATATGATCTCGAGGCCCTACCAGGTAAAATCTGAAAAAGAGGAACTATTTCAATAACTGTGCAAAAATTTTAATCAACAAAAGATTAAGTTTCCAGGGGCAGGTTTTCTTGACGCGTGAGAATTTAGACAGCAAAATTGTACATATTGCTCATTTGATGGAAGTTCGATTTTATTACATAGATCGATGGCTTTGTCCTTTTATATTTATGGCAAAACATTCCATCTTTTACATAGTCGATCATTGCATACCAAACTTAGATGCTTATTCACCGGAAGATGATGTAACGCACATCACGATTCATGAAATCAATTAACCGTGAAACGTATAGAATTGTTTGCAAAATACTAAATTATTTCGAATTTCCATTTCCATAAAACCATCAGGATGTTACATACCATATAATGTTACTGTTCTAAATTAAATACCTATCGTCTCCCCCCGTGAAGTGGTTATTTTATTAACATACATGTATTATCATATTATAAGATTACTGGAAATAATAATTTCCGTTTTATTACAATATTTGTACTTTATAACAGTTACTATACTCTTCAGATTAGGTACTTCTTACGTAATCAATGGTTTCAGGCTTATCTCAAATAAATAATATAGAACCCGTGAGTTTCAGCGGCAAACCTTCTAAGTATCAAGTATGATGTTCAAAATATGCTCAAATTAAGCGATAAGGACCTAAAACGTGCATCCTCCCACATAAGATAACGCGTCACACTGCGGTACAGGACTCAAATGCAATTTCATACCTGACAAATTCCGTTCCTGTAGGAACAGTACGGGCGTTTCACTACATTTTGGCAACTTGCTAAATAAATATAATATCGTGTTGCACAGGCAACCCTAGATTTGTAGAGCTTCTTGGTGGAAGTGAAAATAATCTACCAAAAGGGTTAAAAGTAAAGGTCTAAGTTATCAGTAAACAAATTTTAATCGTTTAAAATTTTTAAACTTTTTGAGTTAAAATTTTAAAATTTTAGTTCCTGTTAGAGTTAGGAATGATAATGAAAAAAAAGATAAATTAACACTGTTAACACATAAAGTTATGAATTAAACAAAGCAACGGTTCTGGGCTTTGATAAGGACTGTCTGTACCAGTGGTGTTACGTTGCCTGTTGGCCCCCCTCGCTGAAAAAGCACCCCCCTGTTGGCCCTCCTCCCCTTTAGACGCCCCTCCCTAAAATTGAACAAATTAGATGATTTTAGAAGTGTGTTTCTAGAGCAAAACGCGCAGTTTTGCTAGTACCGTAGTTAAGTTATTCGAGATTGTCCCACATTCAAACGACGATTTGGCCCCCCCCCCCCTGCACAGCGGTGTCAGTGGGGCCCTTCGTTACGCAACTGGCCTGTACGACCTACGTCCGTACTTCTGTGGAAATTTATGGACATATCTTCTAGGCCCTGCAGAAAATTGTTCTCTATCGAGCTACAAAACATTAATACATTAAGATAAAGGCTGTATCGAGATACTGTGACGTATTTATCAATTTGTTTCAAAGAGTTTAGGCACAAGAAAAGCTCAAGGGAGGAACAAAAAGTTAAACAAACTGTTTCATAGTCTACAAGCCTCGCTGTCTTTATGTACTTTCAAAGATGGAAATTGAGTACTAAATATTTCATATACTATAGTTCATACAATTCTCTATTGTTTGGAGTTACTTCAGTGTTTATGAGAGCACGGAGCTACTCGCACAGCATTGAGGACCAACATTGACTTTAACGTGGCAATCCAATACTAAAACAATTGTTTTATTAAATATTTGTTTTATTATATCTGATGTTTCATATGATTTTTGTGTGGCCCTTACTTAGATAAATATACATGGCGGCCGCGGTGATCTCATCCGACCAACAATACTAAATTCAGCCAAGTAATTTATGATTTTATATCTTAATATAGATGAGTTCAGCATCGAAGACCCTGGAGGATTTACTTGTTTCCTCGACATACAATTTACATTTGACGTCGATGGAAACCTCCAGACTGACCTGTATGTAAAGGAAACTGATTCTAGGTCTTATCTATACTTTGGATCCACCCATCCTAACCATGTCTACAGCAGCATCATCTATTCCCAATGTCTCCGTCTCCGCCGTATCATCAATGACAATGATAGGTTAGCCCTAAGAATCGACGAGCTGAAAGAGTGCTTTTCGAACTCAAACTACCCGACAAAGATGATCAACAACATCTCTTCGAAGGTGAAAACATTCGAACGCAGGCTCCCCACCTGCAGGGATACCTCGAACAGTTCTATAATGCTCCCTGTGTCCCCTGATAACACAATACGTGTTATCTCCACCTTCGGAGGTGACGCGGCACTGATAGACGTAATTGAAAAGTTTGAGTCCACCATAGAGACTTCTCCGAGTTTGTCGTCTACCTCTAACACCGACACGACAAGTACAACGGAGACTACCAACAAGGATAGAAACACCGGCAAAAGACTATTCAGTTATGTTAAACGATCAGGTGCATCTTTGCGGAGAAGACTCCTCAACCCACAATTGCACGCAGAGAATAACACTATAACAATAACAGAACCTTGCCATCAAAGAAATTGTAAGTGTTGTGCAATGATAGGAAGTGAAAAGTGTTATTGTATTAATGGAGTCAAGATAAGACAAGCTCCAGGGACCTGTTCTAGCTACAACATAGTCTATATATTCATTTGTAAATTATGTCCATCTCCTTTCTGCTATGTTGGACGTACCATTAGGACTTTGCATGAAAGAGTAACCGAACATAGAGCTAACTATTATAAATTATTGAAAGACCCTTCCTTAAAACTTAGTGATGATTTTTTATCTGATGATAGTGACACCTATAGTTTAGCAGCTCACCTTATAGACTCACATAACCTTTCCAATAGACCTGATTTTGATGCTTCTTATAATGTTTTTATCCTAAAGAATTCTAGTCCTAGTAATTTAGAAGTTAACGAACATCTACTTATACAAAAACTCAGAACTTTGAAACCATATGGTATTAATTCATGTGATCCTTTTGGTATGCCACTTTTATTTGAAAATAAAACTTTTGACAATGGTCCTTAAATTATTTCACCCTTAATGCAGGGACTAGTATATTTTTCCGACTAGTTGGGGCCTCACAACCCCCCATACCCGAGTGCTTCCCATTCCATTTTTGAGAGTTTGGCTTCTTTTTACAGCTATCATCCTTTAGTTCAATTTATAATTTTCTGATATAATTGGAGTATTAACCCTTATCTTTATTAGGTACTGAAGATGTCCGAAAATGTTTTACCAATGATGTTATAAAGATTTTGTTGGAATTTTTAAACTCATTCGTTGTCTGACTGTGGGAACTATTGATTCTTAATTTATGATTTTATCCGAGGGTAGGTACTATAATTAATTCAATAAAAATAATGTTTATTGATTAATGACTTGTCCAAATCTTACAATGTTGCAGTCTACAGATTATGCAAGAGTGTCGGACCATAAACACTTTCGTGCAACCCTGAACATCACCCTAAGGCCTTATTTCATTATTTTTTAACGTTGACGGCTGATTTTATTTTATTTCATCCAAACATTTTAAAAGAAAACATAATTTTAAACAGCGTTACATTTCCCTGGAATCCAGCCAAAAATGTCACCTCCTTTTCCGCAATGTGACGGAATAATGACTCAATCACTGAGTGACTCATCGAATATTTTAAGAGTATACTCGAAAGCAAAACTTTTTTATTAAGTAATACTTGGGAGAAAAGTCTAGAAGGTCGTACATAATGCAATAAATATTACGTAATCAATATTGTAGCAATTTTTACCCCCTCCTGACAGCAATATTACGTAATCATGGCCTGACCCCCCCCCCCTTTCTGACTTGTTTCCCTAGAAAAAACTTTTCTCTACGTTTCATGATACCCTGATCATGATGAGCCGAAATCATTGTTATGATATCCGGCCAAGCACCTTTCAAACTGACTTACTATAGGAGCCGGATTAGATAAGGATTAGATAAGGAGCCAATGGCATAAAATGGAGAATTACCCAAGAGTTTTTTCCATTTTCTCCATAGAAAAAGTCTCAATTTTATGCCATTTTATGCAATTTAAATTATTGTTTATGTAAGTGATACTTGGGAGAAAAGTCTAGAAGGTCGTACATAATGCAATAAAAATTTCTGAGGAAAAATGATCTATGGCCTTTGAGAGTTTGAGGTCATACTGTGCACAAATAATCTTGAGAATTTTGTCATATTTTTGCACTTTACATTCCATTTAAATTAGAATGCCCCTGGAAATTTGTCATAATATATTATCTCTCATCACGATCTGTTAACACACAGACAACATTTTCATCGTGTTAGTAGAAAATAATAATATGATGTGTCGACATTTTTATAAAAATGTGGGGACTGGGAAGTCCAAATTTATGTTTCCCTCTCTGGTGTAATAAAAGAAGATAGATGCTAACTATAGAGGATAATCATGAGTAACTAATAGCAATACTATCGTTTTTGTAGAGGAAAACAAAAATTGTGACTTGAAATGAGTTGCCAGTACCAATGCTGTAACATCATAATATTATAATTTAGACTGTATTTTATTATAATTTATACTGTATATTATCATCTCGAGTCAAAAATATTCCCAACAACATAACAATTATCGCCATGTTTATTTGAACAAACATAAACGAGAAGGGGAGTTGAAGAGATTATAAACGAGTTTTAAAATTATCGTAAAAAATTGCTTAGAAACATAAAAACGTAAGAATAAAGTGATAAAATATTGACGACAAACATAAAATAAGTGATTAATCGTTAATTATAATTATAATCAATCGCTATTAAATGATTATGATCATTTACATCGCTAATTATAATTGGTATAATTATCTAATCTAACAATCTAATCTAATTATCTAATAATCTAATTATCATTTATCTAATCTAATTATCTAATTTGATTTAAGGTGACATTGTATGAATCCTTGTGCTGAGGTCAAAATATTAGTTTGCCCTGGGACATATTGTGAGCCAACAATTTCAATTAAATAACATTGACTCTTGAACGACAAAAGTTAACGCTAGGGCACAAAGGAATGACGATCATCGCCATAATTAATCATATTTGGGCACAGAAACCAGTTAACAATGTGAATTAATACAAACATAATTCGTGGGAGTCGTTGCGAGGCTTTTTGATTTTGTCGATGTTTTTCATAATCTTATCGTACATGGACAACTGAAATACGATTAAAGTTAATAAATTATTCAATTAACATCTTACTATATATAAAGCGAGACGATATATATGGATGGATCCGTGCCATTTTACTGACACCACGGCATCAACTTTAACGCGACTTTCCGCAAAAACCGTAAAAGATATACAACTGAAACTTTTTTGACTGGGTCAAATGCCTTTATGGCCTTCAAATCAGCATAAAAAAATAAAATATTGGCCAAGGAATAAGAATTTTAGTACCCAAAATTTGGACCCCCAAGTGGTGTCAAAAACGCGAATTAAATAGATATTAATTATTTTAGTCTCTTGAGTCTTGACACCACTTTAGGGTTAGACGGGTTCCTGCTAGTATAATTTAACGCTTCGATGTAGACTTATGAACATGATCAATGTTCAAATATTTAATTTTATCTGACATTTTTCATGACAATATCACGTATACTGTATAGGTAGATTCTCGGCGTATGATGTTATAAACACGTACATTGCAATGGGTCTTATAACGGTCGTACATCCGGATCCCGATGGCAGTTTCGCGGCACTCTCGTGGCCACAGTGTCGCAACAGAGCCACGAGAGTGCCGCGACAGTTCCGACATAGTGCCACGACAGTGCCATCGGCATCCGGATGTATGACCCTTATATCATGGGCAATGTTTCATATTTCAGTCCTGTAACTTAATATGAGACTATTTCTAAACTATTTATTTTTCTCGGGAACTAATCCAGTCCCTTGTAAGTTGTATAGGGGTCGTTCACATATTACGTAATCAATTTTTGGACAATTTGTAGATTTGTAACCCCCCCCCCTTCCCACTCCGTAATAAATTTTACACATAGCTATTGTGTCAAAATTACACTAGCGTAATCATTTGGAAACACCCCCCCCCCCCCCCCCCCTAATTTAAGATTTTTAGAACCTCCACACCCAAGCTCCAAAATATGAAGGACTCGTTTTAAATATTAACGAAAAGCTCGAATAAGATTAATAGATTAATATTTAAATAAATAAATAATAGTAACATTTAATTAAATAAAAGTAACATTAAATACTAACGTAGAAATAATATAGCTGTGAGATTGAGAGGCTGAACTTGATGAAGGTTGCTTCGTCGTACTCTTCTATACTCGTCCGTACACAGGCGTGAGCTTTACTTCCGTACTTTTCAAACTTTGATAACAGCCTCGCTCTCTCCACGTAGTACCTGGACAAAGTTTAGAGATCGTTAAATAATGTTGATATTATTCCGAGGATATCTCCTACTTAATCGATAATTCAGTAGGAGATAGCATTATGATATTCTGGCATGATGTCTGAACCGATATATCGGTTATACTGTAGAACCTATATGGACACGTTCATTGAAGTTTGAGGATATTGGTAAATATTAGTGACCCTACTGAATGGCACGATGATGTAAAATGTGTCACACTATGAAACTATATAAACCCTCTAACCCTAAGATAATCGTTTCATCCTCTAGATAAACTTTGTCGCATAACGATATCTTTATCAGACGATAAGATATCGCTTAAATGCGGCCGGCAGTGAGTTGTAAACTTTGTCACACTATAAAACCGTGACGGAGTTTATATGGACCCCTTGTTGCCGTGTTTGACCAAATTTTCGAATTTCCAATTCATAGAATAGCTGTATATGACTATTATCTACATATTTAGCGACTTTTTTCCTTAAATGGTAGCACCATGTAAACTCCGTCACACATTTAAGACATTTATAAGAGGGATGTTTATGACATCCTGACAAGTAATGCCGAATAGTCTAGCATTATTTTGTGAGCTGAATGTGTTTGGAATTGTTCACATATTTCATTGTTATCTGGCAAATACAAATACAGAAGGCAGAAATAGGTAAATTTAGTCACATAAATTTGTATGATATCTCAACATGTGTGAAATTGAGTAAATATTAGTATACCAACCTAAACACCCTATATTACGTACTATGGATCAATTAACAATATTTCAACCATACGCCGGTCATATAAATTATTATATGGCAGTGATATGTTAACATTGGATAAATTTCAACACCTGAACAGGGTAAAAATTTGTAAATTTCGTCACACAAAAAATATTATAACTTTATTTGCTCCGTGTTGGCAAAATAATTAATTTATCGACATAGTGATGGTGATAAAGTAACATTATGGACACCTTCAACAAGACGTTGTCTCACGTTTTGACTTTTTATAAATTGATTTTTAGAGTCTTATATAGTCTATTGGCTATGATAGACTCGATTGATTGGTTGCAGAATCTTCATAGCTTTATGACTATGAAATCAAAATCATGCTATCACATAACTTGACAGAGCTAGACCACGTTAAAGTCCAATGATACAAATATCACATTTTCTGAGATGTGATAATGATACAAATGGGTCTGGAGAGACCGAATGTTATCAGTTTTTTATGAAAATTTCGTAACATGATGCCTGTCTCCTAAGGAAGCAGTGTACAAAAGGAAATCGTTATTTAGGCTCATTATGATACAAATATCACACATTTTCGTTTCAAAATTGTCCATTTTATGATGTGATTATTAAATCCCCTTGACCTCTTTTTTCTGTTTCTTTGAACTCAAACTGTACCAGAGGCAATTCCAAACATAATTAGTGAAAATTATGATACAAAAATCAACCTCCCGTTAGATGTACTACAATTATCACATTGTATTTTAAAACAACGAAATATGGCTATTTTTCGGGTCCAGTTCTCTGGGTGGCTGTTTGAAGGGTACATAATTCATTAATAAAGATGAAACTTCATTCACACCTACAAAAATGGTAACTCAGTATGGATACAAGGATGAAAAATTGTTCCAACCACTTGAAGGATACAAATATCACATTTTTTGTGAACCAAATTTTACAAGTGTAACATTCGTGATAAATGTATCAATATGGGTCTATAGAACGAGATTCTTTTTGATACATGTACAATAAACATTATTACTCCCTGAACATCTTACACAGCACATCTAGGAACCAAAAAATGTTGTGAAGACCGTAGTCGCAGAAGAGGACCGTAGTCGAAATCTTCTTGTTTTCGGTTTGCCGGAGGAGGAGCAGGAAGAGTTAGAGGTAAGAATCGGCGAGGTTTTAGAGGAAATAGGGCAGAAACCGAAGGTGGAAGTAGAGCGACTCGGCAAGAAGAAAACTTCTACCTGTACTCGCCCAGTGAAAGTCTGCCTGACCAGCTCCTTGATCGTACATCAAATCTTAGCAAACGCTCGGAAATTGCGACAATCAGCCAAGTTTAAGACTGTGTTTTTGAGCCCTGACAGATCACTGGAGCAGCGGGAAGCCCGAAAGGAGCTGATTGCCAGCATGAGAGCTAAAGCTTTAGCGGAGCCGGACAAAAAGTTTTACATTAAGGAGGGACAGATATTCAGCTGTAGTCGCAATTGAGTGTACTTATCAGTACATGTGTGATAATGCTTGTTTTTCGGTGTGAGTGAAGTATTAGTTAGTGCTAAGCGGGTGCCTACTAGGCTTATAACTTTCTATACAGGACTGGATAGTCTTCAGACTGTTTTAAAGCTAATTTTTAGTGCAAGAGTTGGTTGCTAGGCATTGCATTTATCTAAGCAGCGCCTGTATTCAATAATTAATGAAATCTTATTAGCGGATTTAGGTATATAATTATTGTATATATTATTGTATGTATAAATTCTTGAGTAAACATTAACCAGTAAACAAAGCTGGTTCCCAATCAATATCACAATTTCAATTTAAATAATTTTTTATTTTTTTAAATTTTTTTTAATCAAGTGATATTTGTATCTGAAAAGTGCTTATTTAATGAAATGCCTATTACTTATTGACTATGTTTAATAATATTGGATGAATTGATCTTCAAAAACAACATTCACACATTATTGACATTGATTCGTGAAAAATATTGAATTTAATGTGATATTTGTATCATTTACAGGTCATTTATTGAATGTCAATCATTACAACATTATTTTACAGCCTAAAGCACCTTGAATAGCATTCAAAGCATCAAAATAGTCCTCACTGGTTGTCATTATAGCCTACCCTAAGTGATGTGTGATAATCGTACCATATTTCGTATATTTAACCATTAATCGCGGTACATATAACACCCACATGCTTCAGAAAGGTTTGATGGTCACATCTATCACGATAACTCTCTCAAATCATGTAAATTCGATTTTACACAGCCATAAACAAGTTTCCCTGTGATATTCTTCTCATAAAGTGTACAAATAACAAATTTAGCTGTTTCATGTTGATGAATGAGTGATTATTGTATCCTTGTTGACCAAACTACAAATTTTTGTGGTAATTGGTTTAAAATTGGCCAAGTAATAACTATCACATGGTTTGGCAGTCAAAATTCGAGCATGTGGCAGTCAAAACGTGAGACAACGTCTTGTTGAAGATGTCCTTATATACTAAATTTTGAGGTATGATTCTTCAAAATAGGGGCAAGAAATGTAAATTTCGTCACATCAGCCATTGCATTAGTTAGATAGATTTTCTTTCATATCAACTGCCCTTATTATAGTTGGAATGGATTTATACAGGAAATATAGAAACCCATGCCCATTTTTCATTACATTGAAATTATACTGTTGGGGCAGGAAAAGTAAATTTCGTCACATTTCGGTAAATTAGTGATATCAAACTCAGCATTGTTAAACTTGAGTTCTGATTTGCTGAAAAATAACCTACCAATAATTCCTGGAAGAATATTGCATTCTAATCGGGGTATGGTTCTTCAAAATAGGGTCAAGAAATGTAAATTTCGTCACATACGTCATTGTAAAATTTAGATACATTTTCTTTGACATCAACAGTCCTAATTATAGTTTGAAATGATTAATTCAGAGATAAAGGAAATATAAAAACCCATGCCCATTTTTCATCACATTGAAATTATACTTTTGGGGCAGGATAAGTGAATTTCGTCACATTTCGGTAACTTAGTATAATTAAACTCAGAATTGTCAAACTTGAGTTCTGATGATCTGCTGAATAATAACCTACTGATAATTCCTGGGGGAATATTGAATTCTAATCGGGGTATGGTTCTTCAAAATAGGGTTAAGAAATGTAAATTTTGTCACATACGTCATTGTAAAATTTAGATACACTTTCTTTCACATCAACAGTCCTAATTATAGTTTGAAATGATTAATTCAGATATAAGGAAATATAGAAACCCATGCCCATTTATCATCACATTGAAATTATACTGTTGGGGCAGGAAAAGTGAATTTCGTCACATTTCGGTAACTTAGTAAAATTAAACTCAGAATTGTTAAACTTGAGTTCTGATTTGCTGAATAATAACCTACTAATAATTCCTGGAAGAATATTGAATTCTAATCGAGGCATGTTTCTTCAAAATAGGGTCAAGAAATGTAAATTTCGTCACATCAGCCATTGCATTAGTTAGATAGATTTTCTTTCATATCAACTGCCCTTATTATTATTGTGACAATTTTTACATCAACTGCCCTTAACTTGAATCAGCTCTATCCGTGCATCGTCCTTATATACAGTTTTCCCGCCTTCCAAACCAAAATCAGATATAAATGATTTCGGCAATTCACCCAAAATTTTAAATTCCAATTATAATGTGACAGAATTTACATCATTTCCCAATAAGTGCATGTATTTGCTAACTTTTCAAAACAACATATTTTAGGGCTATGATTGGTAGAAGAACCATCAAATAATGAGTTGAAAGGGTTTTGAGAACACCTCACAGTAGAAAAGAGGTATCGTATTCTGAGTGTGACAAAGTTTACGAAATATTGCCTTAAAACCGTTCGATCCCTGCCCTTTAGCCAAATGTTGTATCATAATTGTTAGAATGACCTAATCTACTGTATTTTAAACCAAAAAATGCTAATTGGGCAGCTATGGTTAACACAGTCACAAAAATGTGACATTTTTTACATTATAGTGCCTAAAAACAATAAATTGTATTTCTGAGCCGTGTATATGGAAGTATGGGTCACGTGGCTAATGTCCAGAACTTCTGAACACGCTATTTTTGTTGGTTTACCAATGTCCTTAAACTTCAACATGAACGTGTCCATTTACGATTTCGTATCATTTTGTGACGATGTTTACATCAACTGCCCTATACGTCAATCAACTGTATCCGTGTATCGTCCTCATATAGAGTTTTCCCGCCTTCCAAACCAAAATCAGATATAAATGATTTCGGAAATTCGCCCAGAATTTCAAATTCCATATAATGTGACAGAATTTACATCATTTCCCAATAGCCAAGTGCAGTGCATGTATTAGTTAACTTTTCAAAACAACATATTTTAGGGCTATGATTGGCAGAAGAACTATCAAATAATGAGTTGAAAGGGTTTTGAGGACACCTCACAGTAGAAAAGAGGTCTCATATTCTAAGTGTGACAAAGTTTACGAAATGTTGCCTTAAAGCCGTTCGATCACTGCCCTTTAGGCCTACATTGTATCATAATTGTTAGATTGACCTAATCTACTATATTTTAGACCAAAAAATGCTAATTGGGCAGCTATGGTAAACAATGCCACAAAAATGTGACATTTTTTACATAATAGTGCCTAAAAGCAATACATTTAATTTTTGAGCAGTGTATATGGGAGTATGGGTCACGTGGCTAATGTTCAGAACTTATGAACACGCTAGATTAATATATGTTGAAATTAAACTACTATCGTCAAAAACGCTGTTTTAGAAATTTACCAATTTCCTCAAACTTCAATGAACGTGTCCATATATCTATATTCTATATATATAGAAATGTATAATATTGATATTGCCAAACTAATGCTCCAGCAACATCAAACATGGAGTAGTTGAGTCCCAACCCTGTGGAGCCACGCCTATATTTCATATTAGGCGCGTATATGGGAAATGTGTATCTCAGCTTAGATACTCGATTTCACTTAACTTCTAGAGTAGATTATTTTAATAAAACAAATATTTAATAAAACAAATATTTATTTTTACGGCACAATCAAACAATATCAATAATAAATAAATCAGGGGAGGTTTGAAGAGGTTTCAAGTGCCGAAGGCCACTGCTTATCTTTAGGATTTGAGAGTGACCTGTGCTTGAAACCCCCTCAACCATCCACTACGTCAATAAACTTATTATACAAATATAGAAAAATATAATTATCTAAGCTAAAATTGCTTATTGGTCTAGTTTGGTGACATAGGAGAGCCGAGCCCAGTTGAGTTTTAGTTTAGGTTTATGTTTTAAATCATAGTTTGAAAGGTTAGCCATGTTTCATGGCAGAGAGAGATATCATGTGTGCAGAGCCGTACCGGATGTAGAATTTGAGATATAATATAGATTAGTTACCATATTATTACTTGCGCCCAAGTGAAAATCAGTTTTTTCTGAATTCTTTCCAAAAATAAGCATTTTGGGCTTTCATGACCTTCATAGTGCCAATATAAATATGTGCATTGTGGTCATTTTAAGCTCAAGTTGGAGTCTCTAAGACCTTCAGAAGCTGAGATACACATTTCCCATATACGTGCCTAATATGAAATATGAGCGTGGCTCCACCGGGTTGAGACTAGCGACACAACATGCGGCCCGCGGTGATTTGAGTTACCAATGACCTAATGATAATCATATCCAGTAGCAAAAAACTCTGTACATCGAAGTGCACACTCAACTAATCCCTGCTACTGGAGTATAAGCCTCGCTTGAATAATTTAAATGTAGATGTTCGTTGGGTATATTTAAAGTCGGAGCGTGTAATAAATGCTTAAACCGAGTCGATGAGGCTACGGGATGCGTGCTGCCAGGGGTCTAATTAGTGTCAATATACACGCGGGGACTAAAATTATTATAAAAATTATGGTCTTACAAATTGAATTAAATCCGCCATAATATTACGTTGAATAATTCCTTGGCTGTTAACTGTTAAGAGCCTTTTCCTTGTCGCAACTAACGGGATCAATACAAATTTTACCCAAGAAACATAACAACTAGTTTTGCACCATTATTCAGTTTCAAATAAAGATTTTTTAAGTTTAATTTTTAACAGTTATTAGTTTATCATCTCTACTTCACTGAATGAAAATAATTTTCACTATATCTAATATTTATAATAATTAATAAAATAAATTACATATTATAATTACTGTTCTAAACCAAAGATTCTATTCTAAAGTTCTAAACCAAAGAAAAAATTAAATAACTACCAAATTTATGTGAAATTAATTTTAACGTTAATACTATTAACGTAACAATATCAACTTACCCATTAATGTAATAGTAGAGTCGCTGCACGTCAACGGAACAGTCATCACAAGTATTCACGGTCTCGTATTGAAGCTGCACTCCGAGATTATCACCGTCTTCGGTCTTTGGTACCAGCATTGTCACCCAGGTTCTCAACTGGGTGAATACTGCGTAACTTTAGAAATATTCATTAATTAGTTAATTAATTAATTGAGTTATGAGTGGCACGTTATTCCATTATTCCGAAATGCATGGTATTTTAGGGCTGTGCAGTACTAGACTCGGTTCAGTAACTTAACTTACAATTTTAAAACATTCCAGTAAGAAATACGAAATCCCTGAGTCTATTTAAAGTCTATTACAGTCGCACCTTTCTATACCGGATATCTCGATATACTGGGCCTCTTTTAGTTAATAAGCTTGTTTTGTGCAAGAAACTTGACTTTATTTCATTAACTCTTAACGCTTTTGGTGATTTAATTACAGATTGAGCTGAATTGCATCACAATACAATTTGTAGTGTCTTTCTTAGTCCAATATTTGCAAATTGCGTTTACACTTTACACCATGTTACTTGGTTCAGATCACGTGGTCAGCAGACAAGGCAGGTGAAGCATAACTCGACCATATAGCCGTGCCTGCCTCTCCAATGTTTCCCAAAAAAGCGAACATTATGTTTCCAAGGCCAAGGCTAACATATGTCTCTTGAGCTATTTCTATGTTCATAATGTGGCAAAATGCTTCAATTTTCTCAAAAATTAAAAATTCTAAGTTCTAAGATCACATTCTCATTTCTCAGTGAGAAATATCTCTAAAACGTGAAGTCACAATGTGACTTGGAACCTTGATAATTGATATTGACTTGTAAGTTACACCCCATGTCTCACATTCCATCTCTAAAGATCTGAATCAGATTATGCTACAAGTTTTCGAGAAATAAAAATAAAAGCTTGATTACTTGATTCAATCTTTATCCAATTTTCCCTCTTAGTTTCGAGAAATTTCTGAGTATAACCCCTAGATTTCTCACATTTTTTGTTATATATGGCAGTTTATCTCTATTCTGATAAATAGTAAATACCAGTCTCGGTTTCGGCCACATTTACAGCAATAAAGTAGCAGGGGTGAGGACTTGCCTGCTCTGAGAATATTTCCCAAAAAGCTAAAATACCATGTTTCTATGGCTCTGAGGGGTCGTTCACATATTACGTAATCAATTTTTGGACAATTTGTAACCCCCCGCCCCCCCCCCCCCTTCCGTAATCAGTTTTCATAGCTATTGTGCCAAAATAAAATTAATTAATTAATTAATTACTAATTACTATTAATTATTACTACCAGAAGTACCTACCAGAAGACTGTTATCAATGAATTCTCTCATTAGAGGCTTGAGGATAGCAAAGCAGTCTTGTAGGTAAGTGTTAGTGGTGGCAATATCCCCGTCAACAACTGAGCACTTCCTCACCTCCTCTATAGACTCCCATGAAAATTGTGCACTCTGGAAAAAGAAAATTGTTTATAATATTTGTCAAACCAAGGAGGAGGTTGAAACAAATTATGCACTATTTTGGACAGTTAAAATCTTAACAGTTAAATCTTTGGATCATAACTTAATACCTAACTCAATTGATTAATCGCTTTACACTGCTATTTGGCAGAAGACTTTCCAAACTTTAAAATTACAAACCTTGCTAAGACTCTCTAAAGCAGATATTCTTTTCGGTATATCAGTTGCCAGGAGGATGTCTGCCTGAATTTGACTGTATTAATTTTGTATTAATTAATACAGGATATAGATCAAAATAATCAAAATAATCTTCAGAAAACTCAATTTAGTGATGGAGTAAACAGTATTACCTGTTCGCAAACACCAGTCTTGTGATTCAGCTGAAGGATTTCTATGTTAGATATCAAATTAAATGATTCTGTTATATGGTTTTAAATGTCAACAGAAAATTCAAAATAACAGGTATATAGCCCATTTTAATGCCAATGACTATAAATTGCAGATTAACAATATTATACTGTTATTTCACTATCACTAACAAGCCACGAATCAGATAAATTGTCTTCCCATGATATATCAAAATTTATTATTATTAAATCAAAATAGAAAATAATTTAACTGATCATCCGCCTTCCCCTTTATGTCATCTTCAAATAAATCAGGACACGTAGAAGTGAAATTACACAAGATGCATTTTAAATAAGCCCTAATTTCTGATGTATCACTGTTAATTCATTTAGTTGAAAACGGTATGCAACAGATATGCAGTCATACAAACTAGATGAAAAGTCACTCACCAGAAATTTTTTTGATGATTCGTGCGATGTTTCTCCATTTGCCATAGCTGAGAGTTAAAAGATATTAATAAGATTATAGTATCAAGCTATTAAAACTATGTGAATAAAACAACAATCACCCAAATAAAAAGAAAAGCAAACGAAACAATAAAGAAAAGTAAAACACCATACCTCTCAGTCTGAGAGACTAGCGATTAGTGCTTGCAATAGTATTAGCAGCTGGTTTAAATAGCCAGCAGCTGGAGTCAGATGATAGTGTTAACCTTTTGCACTGATCAGCCAAAAGGTTGACAATTTGCTGTGATTCCCACCGCATTTTATTATACTGTGAAACCAGATATATCGTCATCGGTACTCATTTTCGCGAATTTCTAAAAATTAATTTTACTCTGCAGCATTCTAGGACCGGAGAACTGCATTATTGCAACCACGTGACTGCACAAGAAAAGATGACGCTCATCGGTGACAACTCGTAACGAGACCACTCTGGAACACTCGCATCTTCTCCAGATTTTTTCTTCTTTATATAGGCTGGACAAATAAAACACCTTACTAACAAAACGAAAACTAAAGCAAAGATTGATAAACATAACATCACTTTCGCAAAAGCTTCATCATATTCTAAAATAAAATATAGTTTTTTTTCTTCATTTTTCTTTTTGTTAACTTAATGTGCCGTCTGCCAAAGCCCAAGGTGTCCATTGCAAAGCAGCAAAACGCAAAATGAGAAGCTTTCATTACATGGGGAACGTTGGAAATCAGATTTCGTTATCCGCAAAGTTTTGTCATTGAAGTGTTGGTGATCAGTTACCAATACTGATATAAGGGGTCGTTCACATATTACATAGTCACTTTTTGGCCCCTCCTCACTCAGTTTTACACATAGTTACTTTGTTAAAATAACACTAGCGTTACAGCCCAGTTCCACGGCTCAGTTTTGCGACCAGATTTGACACAAAACTCCGCGAAAAGAGTTTTGAAAGGCAAAACTCTGCGATGGCAGTTTTGTTTACAATGTACGTTCCCATGCGGTTGGTATTTGCACACAGATTTGCGCGCACGTGGGTAATGAAATTTCCCACGCGAGCGCCCAGGTTAAAACTGCTTTCACGGAGTTTTGGGTCATATCAAAAATATTTCTCCGTGCGGAGAAATATTTTTGAATTTCATTTCCGGTCGCAAAAATGTGAGAAAAATGTGAGCAAATCTGGTTGCAAAACTGAGCCGTGGAACTGCAGGGTTATCATTTGTAAAGTCTCACTCTCAGTTATTACGCAGTATGTAAACAACTCCTAGCATTTGAGAGAGTTGTCCGACAGTTCCCAACATGAAAATTCAGACCCTCACAGAGAACCCACCGGGCCGAGGGCAAGAAAATCTAAGAGCTCAGCGTACATAAAATAACAGCAACATAGCATGGAATTTCCTAAAATGTAAGGAAAATGATGGAATGAAAAAGCTGTTAGAGGAACGAGTTACAGACTGTCTGAGCATTTTGAACATGTCTAACTTTTGCAGTCTTTACTCCGTACTCGCTGCGGTCAAGATTAAAATACAAATCTAAATATCTATATAATATCTTGCTGTCAGCAAGAGTTATCAATTATGTTACAAAAACGCAAGGTTTTTCAATGCTTGTGAACCTACAATTGAAACGACTATCTATACGCTGGGCCCAGATATGTTAGTAGATATTACTTAGCTTCCTCTGTTTCTTAAGTTGGGTTGATACCGTTCATTTCAATCTCTTCCGGTTGGTCATGTGGATTCATGCGTTCGTTAATAATACTGATAATATATGAAACTTTCTGCTTGCAAGTTTTGTACATGTCACTGTAAAATATTGGGTTTAGCAAACTGTTGATGGGCATCACAAACAGGGCAAAAACTTCAAATACATATTCTGGTGCAGAACTTCCGTCCGCGCCAAAGAAATAGTTAGCGGTTATCATTAGGGATACCCAGCTTATCAGTTGAGATCCGATCATCAAGAAAACCTTGATAAGGAGGTCTTTGTTTTGCTGATGATCCTGGTTGCGGTTGGCGATTGCAGATGACTTGTTATGTTTTACCACAATTACAATGTATGATACTGAAACTACTGCTAGCAGCACCGATATGGCAGTACAATATCCAATTTTATAAGCTCGGTAAGATTCCTGGTCCTGAAATATGTTTTGAATGCAAATCGGTGTGGATCCGTAATATCCAATCACTGTGAAGTCGAAGATGTTAGGCATGTTTGTTATTTGTTTCAATTCATTCAGCATTGTTGTAATGTACTCAGTGGTCTGGTTTGGGATGAATTTGTGATACAGATCTTTAATGTACTGTTCATCAAAGGAGCTCAACAGGGGATTATCCGCCATGTTGACCAAGAAGATTTCCGATTTGAAAATGTGTTCTATTTGGGGGAGCTTTACTGCAGGAATCATTGCATGAATCAAGTTAAGGATGAAAATGATGCAGGAACTTATAATTATGGCTTTATAAGGAATCCTGATAAATGATACATTGCACTGGATGCTTCTTACAATACTCATCAGAGAAACTATCGAAGAGAGATCCATGACTTGCAAAAGAGAAGATCACCCCCAAAATATCACAGTAAACGCTCGACCTCCACCAGTCAGAGAGTACACAATAGTCCCCCTTATACCGGAGAACGAGGGATGCCAACACGATGAAGCAGAGATATATTCCCATTATAAAGTCATATACAAATATTTGTATGCACAGAAGTCTATCAGTTTTCGCGATCAAATTAGAGGGATCGCTTTTAATTGCTTTATAACCGCTCCTTACATTCAGAATCAAAACAGCTAATCCAAAGATGGCATTTAGACAGGATAGAGCATTCGATTTTATGAGGGATTTTGGAGAAGCTATGTTGCCCAGGCCGCAGTCAATATTACACTCATCCATGCTATTTGGGCAATCTTTCACTTGGTCGCATTTTTTATGCGCTGGGATCCACATTGTGCTATTGTTAAGGTGAGACATATTCTCCAAATGGTTGTAGCAGTAGAATCTGTTCGGGCATCCTTTTTCATCTGCCCCATTTAAACAGTCTACCTTACCATCACAAAGTGAGGCCAATGCGGGTCTAAGAAATCTTCCCTCTGTTACTCTGATTTCACATGATAGTTCTGGAAATGAATGTATGCCCAGGGATAGAAGCTTGCAAAAATGTTGCCAGTGATTTTGTTTAAAGAAACTGCTGCAATTATTTTCACAGAGATTTATTATCTGATCATCCGAAAGCTGATATAATATAGAAAAATACTCTGACATACATTGTTCGATTGGATTGAAATAATCCAGGCTAAAGTTGTAAGCACTACAGTTAACTCGGGGTTGAATTTGAGCTATTTGATAGATATCTGAGAATGGCAGCTTTTCACAATATTGTCTTTGCGAGACACAGCCTATCGTTTGATTGTTTCAGTTTCATCTGCACATGGTTTTGACAGAAACACTCGTCACTCCCGTCCAAGCAGTCCATGATGTTATCACAAACCTGTCGTGGGAGGTGCGGTATTTAATTAATACAAACAGGGGTCACAGTGCTGGCAAGCACAACCGCGCCTCTTATATTCACTATACTAATTACCCCCTTCACTATTATACCCCCTTTACTATTTGCCCCCTTTACTATTTACTTCTTTTACTATTTACCCATTTAAGTTTGGTGGTGCCATAGATCAGATACCAGCCCACAATTTACTATTCGTTATAGGAGACCTCAATGCGCATGTATCATCATCAGGAAACTGGACATCTTTCCACAAGGGTCCAGCAAACCGAAATGGTAGACTGCTAGAGGATATGCTGTTGGAGCGACAGCTAGAAATCACAAACACCGTCAAGAACTCCGAAGCATATGGTAGTTTCCACAGTATTGGCTCAGATCACAGAGTAGTCGTAGCAAGGGTTAAGCTTAGTTTACGGATAAGCAAGACGGAGAAGAGGACTCCGCTTCTGGACTGGTCTAAACTTAAAACTGACATCGCTCAACAAGAGAGGTACACAATCTAATTATAGTTAGATTGTAGAGTACATGACCTTGACATAAAAGCAATGTAAGATGCACGCGCGCGACCATCACGTGATAATATGAAGGAGCACATGTTTTGCTTTGTGACACGTGACACCATACGAAAAACATACCTACCCTACCCTACCCATCCTCAAATCGTACCACTTCTAACCATCTTATACTTTTTTAAGAAAAAAAAGTTGATGGAAAAAAACATTATAATATATTTTCGTTACCTGAGAAAAAGAAATACATCCAGGCCGTTGAGCACAGTAGAAGACTGGCATCTGAGTTTCTGTCTGCTCAGTAGTCTTTCTTCCACACCCACACTCGTCAGTTAGGCAATTAGAGAAACCATCACACACATATGATCTAGGGACCAAACACGTCCAATTTGTTGTGTCCAATGTTTTATACACAAGTTGTTCTTCGGAATTCCAATGATTATATGAGTATGAGTATGAGTATAATATATCGGCAACGTTAATTGCCATGGGGCAACTGTAATTCTCGGATCGAAGTAATTTGTGTCTGTTTCTCACTAGGTACATATAATAAGTCCGATCATATGTAATTGAGGTTCCATTCGATTGGACAAAACTAATTGCATCATCTAGGCAGGTGTGTTCATTTTGCGAATCCATCGGTAGTAAGCCACCTAGTTTTTTGTACAGTCCAGCAGCTATAACTATCTTTTCTTCAGAAGGAGATTCCTGTGGAAAGTTGGAGCCGAGAAGAGCATCAAGGTTGGTAATTAAAATTAATATCCCTATCATGACACGGTGTCTTGTTATCTTAGCACTATTTTCAGAAGACCACAAACCAAAATCTGTTATCATGAGGGTTGTCAAACTGTGTATTGATGAAAGATCGACTGCGCGATATTTTTAAATGACCACGCAACAAAATAGGATAATTTGAACAACAGCTGTTCGACTGGGTTATAGATCGATGAAGGTATCAGATAAAGCTGAAACAATAGGTAGCCTCCTCCCTGCACACCCTGCG